TAGTTATTTCACTTGTTAAATTCTATAGCGTATTATGTAATTTGTACAGTTTACCTTAACATTTTACTACAACTTTTACTCTATGATGGAAAATAGGCTACACAAAGGGAAAAGAAAGGAAATCGCTGCCTTCTCTTTATTCTTAACATTCTTAAATAGAATAGAAAGAGCGTATACAACAAGATTCTATCGTCTTACTTGTATATACTATTTATTTATCTTGATTTACAAAGGTAACACAATATCCAATACAATAATTAAACTTAACCTTTCAACGTTGGCTATTATTTTTTTCTATAACAAAACTTACTTTCTCAATTTATATTCATTCCTATTATTACGATCAATTCCCTTCTCTTCCCATCTCTTTTCTTCTCTTCGCTTCACTTCTCTTCTTAATGCAATTTACCGTTTTTTAAAGGGTTCAAATGTTATTAAATATTTAATGAAGATCCGAGTAATATACTGTATACTGTATATATGAATTTGTACATATATATATATATATATATATATATATATATATGTATATATAATGTATATATATTAGTATATATATATATATATTATTTAACTAAATAAATAAATAATCAATCTATCTATATATTTACATTGCCTAAAGAAGAAAAATAAGAATTTTTTTCCACCTAAATTATTCATTACGTGAAAACATTCTCTGTTAATTTTGCTTAAAAAATCTTCTCAAATTTAGTCTCTTATAAACTTTTAACAAAATCTCTCGTTTGTTTATAGCCAAAATCCAGTTTGGCATGAAAAAGACTAATCGTTTCCTTTTTTTTTAAGGTTAGTCACTCTCTCTCTCTCTCGTTTTCACTACTCTTCTCTTTCTATCTAACCCTATATATTTTAAGAGGCTACTTATACTATTTGCTTAAATTCACTAATTGTCCTTTCAATTATGTCCAGAAGCAGGAAAAATTTTGCAGAGAAAGACGTTCCACTTTTATCTTGTCCACAGCAAAGAGAAATTAAACATATGCAGCAATAACATCTGATCTGCAAATAGCTATTTTCTCTTTCTCTATTTTCACCTTTTAGCACTGCAATATCAATCTCTTTTTTAATAGAGATATTTATTAACATTTTGTTTTTTTAAAAAAAAAAGACAATTGAATCTAATAAGATCTCCTTTCAAATCTTTTTATCATGTCATTCATCAATAATATAGTTGTATTGAAAAGGGAGGGAGAAAAAGAAAGAGGAGGAGAGAGAAGGATAGCGGTAGAGAGAGTGTATGTATGTGTGAATGTGTGCATGTATGTATGTGTGGGCGTGTGTGCGAGAAAACCTTGCACTGCAAAATTATGATTAAAAAAATATGTGCGAATAGAAAGAAATTAAAAAGAAATCTTCTAGTGCATACGGTATTCTTTGTAGCTGGAAATCTTAGTAATATAGTGTAAAATATATATATATCATGCTTTTTATCATCCCTACTTAGAGATCCCTTTTTATAGTCTAAGAAAAATCTTTGGAAGCTTCCACCTCTCCAGTAATCAAGCTTAAACTATTAAACATTAGCGAAAAAGATGAGAGATTATTAAATTCAAAAGGTTAATTTAAAAGTATTGATAAGGTTAAGGATAGAGAGTAATGGTGCTTAATTATTTCAAAAATTTCCTATTCTTAAACTCTTAACTTACAAACGATTTTTCCAAACCTGGTAAATAGAGAGAGAGAGAGAGAGAGAGGGAGGGAGGGGGAAAGAGGGCAGAAAAAAAAAAGAAACGACCTGCGGGATTATTTTTTCATCCAATGCCTGGGAAAGAAAGTAAAAAATGCCCTTTATTAAAGTCTCTTTTGTCTTCATTAAATCTTTAACTATAATATTTCTGCTTTAAGACGTACTGTTTTTCAGTTAGAATCGGCGTCTTTTCTGGTTTATTCTTCAGCAAGATTTAATTCATGGAAGAATAGCCTAGTAATCAAGCATCATTGGCAAATCGTAAAAGCCAAGTGCATAAAGCGCGTAATTTCTGTTTAGGAGTCGAAAAATCATTTCAATTGATATCTAAATAGAGTAAATTATCTTATAAAGTACTCGGCCGGACATTCCTCCCCTATCTTTCATTTAGATAACGGCAAAGGAGAGAAAAAAACAGTCTCGTCAAGAACAAGCGAGTATTCTGATTGTATTGGATAAGCGTCTATTTAGTCGTCTTTTCTGAAGCTAGTCCTATTCAAACTCGTTGGTTCACTTCTCCTGAATTTGGGAGTTGAGTAAATATCTCAAGAGACCGAGAATTTTCTATTAGTTCACTAAATGAAAAAGAAGCCACCTCTTATCTATTTTCCCCTGTTCTCTTTCTTTTACCCCTGTCACATTTTTTCTGGTGGACTCTGACCATTTCCACTTTCCATCGTCAGTTCTCCACTCGCCCTTTCTATCTTCCATTCTTTCCCGTTTCAAAGAAAAATCAGTATGACGTCAATGACATAATACTTTCAAATGTGTCTCCTGCTAATTCTTACGAATATTTTCTTTTATTAAACGATATCTATAAAAGAGCATACGAACAAGTTTACTAAAAGTAGACTATAACCTTTCTCTTGTTCCCCTTTTTTTTAGTTTAATTATTCTTTTCTTTTGTCTCTCTCTCTCTCTTTCTCTGATAGTCTTTTCTCTCTTGCTTTCTTCTCTCTCTCTTTATACAGTATATATACATTTAAAGCATTTAATCCTAAACGAGAGAAACCTAGTAACACATAATATTGTTTGCCATGCATCATTAGCGCTTAAGCTAACGCCGTCGTCGTTTATCAGACGATAAAAACTATAAAGGGAATAGACGTCTAAATTTCGACGTCAAATGAAATTTGGAAATTTCAATCGACCAGACGACGTCTCCATATTTTAAGGTTGACCCCCTCAGAGCTAGCGTCTAACGCTATAATGTATGTGGTGAGCAAATACCACAAGCATTATATGTAAATATGTGCCTTCCGTATTTTAATTATAATAATTAGGTTTATCGTTATGCAAACAACTGCTTCTTATTAAATTATTAACTACATTAAAGGTTAATGAAAGAAGAGTATTACATTATATACTCAAGATAATTCTTGTACGAGCGTCATCTTCCGGCTTTTCCTTGTGAAACATGAATAATAAATAGAATGAATGGAAAAGTACATATAGTAACGAGAAGCATCCGTAATACGATCATTTTACTTTTCATAATCCTTTATAACAAATTTCTCTCTGTCTCTGTCTCTGTCTCTCTATCTCTATCTCTTTCTCCGTTTCGCTTTCCTCTTGTTTCTTTCTATCTGTCGAAGATTCTCTTCAAGTTAAAAACTACTAACAAGAAAGTAGGAAGTGAGATTTCTAAGTAAATACAAAGAGCTCAAATGATCAATTCTATATGTAGGGTTGGTTTGTTACATCTGCTATATGCATACATTGTATACTCTATATAATCATACAATATATTTAATCTAATACTATACATGAACTCATCCGACTATCTTTTTCTCTCTCTGTATTTTTCCCTTCTTACTTGCTCTTCTTTCCCATTCAATACCATTTGGATAAGCTTCATTTTAAAGGGCATATACAGTATATACTACTGCTGCTTATGCGGGGGCTGCGTGTGTTGTAGGCTGTTTTGCTTTCTTTGTTAATTCTATCCTTACTTTACTTTTATTATTGAATATATCATTATTATAAAAATATTAGGCCTATTTTAAACTATTTATTTGTTATCGGGGCGTCGAAAACATACACTTAAATCAAACAGAGGTCTCTTTTAGTCTAAGCGCTTTCTGGACTTTACGTGCTTAAAACTAGCTTTCATCTTTAAACATACTCTGCACTTTTGACTGGCTATGAGAAATTCTACCTAAAATTGCAAACCACTAATTTTGTCGGCGTATTCTCTCTATAAATCCTTGTTTTCTTTATTATTCCCTTATATTGTTTATACTTGTTTATTCTAAAGGAAATATTCCACATTTTTCCATGTGTGTAAGCAATAAAATTTACAATATTGCAAACATTTGGACTTAATAATACATTAGTAGCAGGTGTAGGTGTTTGTCATTTGAATTAATGATAAGAACGAAGCACACTGATGCCAAAATTCTCTTGCGAATCCTTCAGCATAATTTCAAAATACAGCTAAAAGAATCTTAAATATGCTTTAAAAAGATAACCATTCTCTATTATTTCTATTAAAATACGTTGTTTATTCCCTCATTGGACTCTCTCACGAGTAAAAGGAACTTTAATAAATATTGTCCTCCCTTTTCGCTCAGATCAATTTTGCTGTCGGGTTGAAACATATTCGACGCTCGGAGGAGAAATCTTTCAAGTATTCTTTAATATTGAAATAGACCTGTAGGAGTGATTTTATAAGTGGGAGCCCTATCATAGAGAATTGCAAATATTTTAGCTTTATCATTGTTTTACTTAACTATCTTTTCGCTAGTTTCCCTTTCCACCGATAACTTTCACTCCTTTCCATCCTCCCCCTGAATGAATGAATGAATGAGTGAATGGCTGGACGAATGGATGGATGATGATTGAAAGAGTGAAGAAATGACGAATAAAAAAAATAAAGAGGAAGTGTAGTGACAGAAGAAGAGAGAAAATGTTAGAGATGAGGCTTTGTAAATCGGATAGCAGAGATAATTTGAGCCTAACTGATTATCCTATTAGAAGAGAGTTAGAAAGGGGGAGGAGCGGGTTGAAAAGAAAGAAATTTTTAAGAAAGCTTGAGAGAGGAAAAATAATACACAAAAAAGAGATCTGACACGGACGGATTGAAAAGAGAGTGGGAGGTAGAGAGAGGGAGAGAGAGGAGGAGAGGAGGAGAGGGAGATAGAGGGAGAGGTATAGGAAGGGGTGAAAAGTGATAATTTATGCTCTCTATTATCTCGGCTTTTCCGGGGCAAAGAACTGGGCGCGTTCGAATGTTGGCCACCAGATGACGCTTACACCTAAAACGTGCTACACATAGAGTCGCTTCATGTAAGTCATTATCGCGCCAAGAAGACCGCCTGTACATACATCAATCGGAAAAATCCATTCAGATAAAAAAAAGACGCAAGATCGAATCGATCGAGGAAAAGCTTGGCTTTTTTTGCATCATTTTCGAATATTCCACCGCAGCCAGAAAATGCTATGACCTCATCAATTGAGAGAAGAAATTCTGTTCAACCTAGAATAGAACAATATCAACCTCATCCTATTCTTCAGGCTGCAAAAGGTGAAATTTCTCAAATTGACCAACTTTTGGGCCCGTCGAGGCCAAAACCAAGCAAAACAAAGAGTGTGGACTGTACAACGGCAGCTGAGAGGAGAGCTAGATTAAAGCACGCCGAAACTCTTCCATCTTCCTTCAATTTTGTTCCTCAGCCAAGAAGTGCTCAGTACGAACCCTGTGAACTGTTGCAGACCAAATCATCCGACGGTTTATCGGATTTTGAGAGTTTTCTCCAAGAAAAATCTCTTGAAAAGACTGATGATCAAACAACACAGACGGTGGAGGATATTCAGTTAAATATGGAGGTAGTTAAAGATTTAAAGCAAACTAGGAAGCATTTTTGTCACATTTGCTAATGTTTATATCTATGTGTGTAGTGTGGAAAAGTGTATTAACTATGTGGAAATCAATTGTCGCCTGCCTTTGCAGTTGAAGCATCGATTTTAGTTGCTATGGTAACCATGCAGTCTTAAATATTTTATTCACAGTGCACAGTAGCACTTGGTAATCTTCCGATTGGCTACTTTAATAATGAGGATGATTACTGCGTTTGTACCTTGAGTTTTTTCCTTATTTTCGTTCTATATTCCGCCTTTCTTTCTTTATCCATAACTTTTTCTTTCGGTTCGCCTTTTTCTTCCTCTACATACCTATCCATCTATCTATCTGTCTATCTTTATTTTCTCTCGTTCGTTCTCTCTTGTCACTCATTCGCTCTTTCTGTCTGTGTATCTGTTTGTATCTTCTCTCCTTCTCTCTCCTCTCCCTCTCTCTCTCACTCTCTCTTTTCTGCACCTGCACCTTACTCTTCTTTTTTTACCTATCTCTAAACTTTTTTCATTCTCTTATTCTCTTTTTCCCAACAATAAGTTCTTCACTAATCCTTATCGCTTCATTCTTTCTTCTCTCTACATCAGTTCATTAGTTGTTATCCCCTCTATTCTCTTCCTGCGAACCTAATTCCTATGTTTTTTATTATGATAACTATTGTGGCGGCTATGGTTGTTCATTTATTTTCTTTCTCTGTTTTATCCCTAATCAAGTTTTAGATCTTTTTTGCAACAAAAAGAAAAACATATTTACAAAACAGACTTGTTTTCCCATTCATATACTGTATTTATATAAATGTGGGGATTTTGATTGATTTAACGGACAAGGCGACAGGAAAGGAGACGTTTTAGTACGCTTACGTTAACGTAGAAAATGAAAGAGAAAAAGTAATATATAGTATATACGGTATATATGTATATTGGTGAAATTTTTCCCTCTTATGTTAATTGACAAGAATCAAAAGAAAGAAAAAGGAAGAAGCTGGAGGAAATATGGAATAATAAATAAAAGTACCTGTAAGACGAATCAATACCCTGGAGGTTTTTCAATTCTCCAACTGCATGTAAAATATAATGAAAGTATTAAGTTATCATTTCCTGGCTTAAACCAGTAACGGAGCTAAACTTATCTGGTTCTAAAGAAATTTTTAAATGCTTCCCCTAACTGCATTTATTCTCCATATATACTATTATAATAGTATATATGCAAATAAATAAATATACTGTATGTACTGTATACACGTTTATTTATTTCTATTTATATACAATGTATGTATTTATACATTCTTTCAATCTGACCGTTTAAAACATGTTTATTACTTGCTTGAACTTTTATTTTGTTAAACAGCCGCAACAAAGGCACATTTCATTTCTATATACTGTACCATAAACAGTATATAAACTTACTAAATTAACAACATTCAAGTCTCTTTTTGTTTAGTTGTTTCTTTAAAATCATCTAGAATAAGAAGAAAACATGATCAAGAAATAGATGAAACAGAAGACGAATATTATTATTATTATTATCAAAAGAAATAATAAGATGAAGGACCACACGTAGAAAGAGAATGAATTAAGTATTTAAAATGAATTTATCGTCATTCTCCCTACGAAAAAAATCTAACTTCTTACGCTCTCTTCCTTTTCCTTTCCCTTTCCTGTATAAACATTACTTCCGTTTCTTTAGAAATTATTTTGACATCTACCAGTATTTCATTCTAATTATTAGAATGCAAGAGAGTAGGGGGGAGGGAGAAAGGGGAAAAGGAAGAAAGAAAAAAGAAAACATGCAAGAACGCGAAGGAGAGAGAAAGAGAAAGTGGGAAGAAAATCTCTATGATGATTAATTATTTTCCAAAGGAAGTTGAAACAAAAAAATTAAGTAAAAAACTAAATCGTTAATCAGAATAAAAGAAAAACTTTACCACTATCAGTAAATGATATGATAATCATCTAGATTTTTGTATTATCTTAATGGAACCAAAATAAAAAAAAAGCAATAGGGAAAGAAAGCAACTGATGTAGAAACATTTTAATTTTCCTTATTATTACTATGGCAATTGAAGAGGAAGTATATTTAGATTAGAGAATAATACTTAATAGTTTATATTTATTCAGCAAAACAAGAAGAAACTAATAAAGGAAATGTAATTGACAATGAATAGAATCCGTGCGCATTTGAACAAGTAGTAATGTATATATATATATATATATATATATAAACTGTATACTGTATATACATACATATATATATATATATATACTATTTATATTCATCTCTTCCTTCTCCTGCCATCTCTGCCAGTGATAGGTGACAAAAGAAGGAAGAACGCAAGAATGGAAGAATACCAGAGTGAAAACTCTGCTAGAAGAGAACAGAGTTGATAGATAGACAGAAAGAATAAAAGTCGGAAAGAGAACTATGTATATACTGTATATAAAGTATATATATATATATATACATTAATATCTTTACTGCAAATATATCAAGAAAGCGTAAAAAGAAGCTGTGTTTTGTTATCTGAAAATCTACAATTTATAGCAATTTAGCGACAGCCGGGCTTCTTGTTCCTCATTCTGGATAACCGCATAATTAAGATTGTTATGTTGTTGTTTTTTATCAACCTTATTAACCAAAAGCTTAAAAGCTCTAATTTGTTTTTTAGTTAATGTTGGGTAAAAAACTCGAGTGGGTTTGTAAACTGTTAGACTAAATGCTTATAAATATGCTTACTAAACATATAGATAAATAATAAAATACTCGTGTGGGATAGAGAAGAAGAAAAGAGACGGAGAATAAGGCAGAGAAGAAAGAGAGCGGCAAGAGGAAAGGACGGTAGCGTAAGGGGAAGGAAAAAAATCAAACAAATTTCAGCTGAGCTAATCAATTAATGTCCATAAGATGTAAGGCTTCAACATTTTTCCATCCGATACATTTCATTTAATGCTTGTTATTAACGTTATACGTTCATTAGTAATTAGTTTCGTAATTTTTACAACAAACTCCAAAAGCACAATATGAGAATGCTTCTCTTTTTTCACTCTTTATTTCTTCTTCTTCTTCTTCTTCTTCTTCTCACTCTATATCCTTTTATCAATCTCTTTCTCTTCTTTCCTCATTTTTTTCATCCAAACTCATTCTCCCCACGTTTATAAATACATTCGGATTTATATATAAGCTTATCTTTAACATTTATTCTATATCTTCTTCTTCCCGTCTCTTTCTCTAACTCTCTTTACACCTTTTATTTTACGTGTAAGCGACAGGATTTCCTTTGGAGGCCTAATCATACCGCGACTGGTTTAGTTAATTAGAAGAACAACTAAACTGCTTTCAACAACAAGTTTAGCCACATATTATAGTATTCGTGATTTAGGAATTTATAATCAATTAAACTATAGCCCTATAGAGAAAAGAAGCATACGAATCCGTCATTTATATTTCACCCAACTCTATAGCTTTCTATATAAAACAAACATTTCTTGTAATTGAGTCACAATGAAACCTTGAACTGACGTGTATAACTTTGATACCTTGTTGCACTACATATATAGCACAGTCAGTACAAATTGTCAAATTTAAACCACAAACAGTTGTCAGTTAACAACTGTTGAGATATTTTCTATCAATTGTTATCATTCATTGTTGCTATTGCAATTATATCTCATCCATCGCTACCCAAGCTATTTCTGTAAATTTCGTATGTCTGTAACCTCCCACCACGCTCCCTGATCGACGTTCATTGAAAAATCCAGTACACAAAAAAATGAATGAATAAACATACCGCCACAGAGGGAAGGGACGGGGGGCAAGGAATTGGATAAAAAAACAGATACAATTAACTATCTTCCACTCTCCTTCTATTCCTCCCCCTCCCACTCTTCCCCCCCCCCCCCCTCTCTCTCTCTCTCTCTCTCTCTCTCTCTCTCTCTCTCTCTCTCTCTGTTCTGGCTATCTGGTGCGTGTGTATGCGTTCCCTTCTATATGCCCATGTACGTGTGTGTAAGTGTAAGCTCGTACAGTAGAGAGGGGTTTAGAAACCTGTCTACTTATGTACGTCATACAAGGTGTATACAATGTACTTTGACCTATATGTAGTAATTCTATCTTTACGTAATCAAAATAAAATTCAGAATTTCGCATGTTTATTTTATCCAGAAATCATTCCATTTTTAGTGTTTCCTGAGGCCGTCATGTCAATATATTTTTATCTTTATACTTTTCCTTCTTCTCCTCCGCTCATCTCTTCCGTCAAAATCAATATTTATTACAAACTTCTTTCAAGTCTACATCAAATTATCTCTATTACAACCTTATTTTATACATCATTACATTTTTTTCTTTATCCTTTCGTTTATTATAGCCAACTTACTCAGTCAGTCAGTCAGTCAGTCACTCACTTGCTAGCCAGCGAACGCGTTCTCTCTCGCTCTCTCTCTCGCTCGCGCTCTCTCTCTCTCTCTCTCTCTCTCTCTCTCTTCCTTCCTTCCTTCCTTCCTTCCCTTATGTCCTTCCACTTCTCTCCTACAGATGGCGTATAGTGATAGACCAATAAAATACATCTCTTGGCGTTTTTCCGCTCTCTCCTTTATTACTTTATGTAAATGAGAAATTCTATACTTTTAAAAGAAGTAACTTAAATCGGGCTCATAGATATATTCTTCAATGAGGGAGGAGAAATAAAACGGCGTCCCCACGAACGATGATACTTTTACCGATGCTGAAGTGTAAAATGTGGAATATGGTCATTTGAAAGAAAAGAGAAGCGTCTAATAGTGTCATTTGTATTAGAAAAATGTATGTGGATATACAGTAAATAGTGGAAGCTTAGGTTATTGAGTCTTTTCTTAATTTTTTTCAGATAGAATGGATACTGAAGTAGAAAAGGAAGAGGGGAAAATGATTGTATCCTCGACTTCGACATGTAAAGCTTTAGAGATTCCACTCAGCTGTTATCGAAGTCACGGACGACCACCTCTCTTGCGGATGAAAGAGGAAATCCTTTAGAAGAGTTGAGCACATAGCTTATTGACGATAGTCATTTTTTTCTTAAATATAGATATAGTAATGAGAATCGGAGATAGAATATACCTAGAGAAAGAGGTCATTAAATTGAACTTAATGAAACTTTTTAACCTTTATTCTCACAAATCAATCAATTTCCTTCAACTTTTAAAAACTTAACTTTCATTTCAACTACAAAAAAATAAATAAAGTAAAAAGGAAAAGGAGAGAAGGAAGATAATTCCTTTTATATTCTTTCCATTAACAGTTTTAAAAGAGTAAGACGTCTAAGTAGAATTCAAGATTGTGGAAGTGTTTTTTATATGAATTTTCAATATGACGAATTGGGATGTAATTTCACATATTGCTATAATACACTTTCGTCTAGAAATTCTGAAGATATATAAGGGTTATGTGTAGACTTTTACCGACAATATTATCCATTTATTCAGTGTCTCATTTGGTAATATTACAGTAAATGAAAAAAGATAGAAATGATTAAGGAAAGAACAATTTGTTGAAAATTCTCTTTCATACTCTTTACTAGTAATTATTATAGAGAGTGTTTATTGTTACGACATTACTTTTACCTAACAATAGCCTATTCTTCCATATTAGTGAAAGAGAAGATGGAAAAGTAGATGGGAAAAAGAAGAGGCTGGAAAGGAGTAGGTGAGAGGAATAGACAGAGAGAGAGAGAGAGAGAGAGAGATAGTAGCATTAAAAAATACAAATATGAAAAACATAAAGGAAACAAATAAACAAACAAATAAACAAACAAATAAACAAAAACTCATTAGTATTTCACTTCTATTCAACTTTCAACAGCAAAATTTATTCCGTTTTCCAATTAAAACACAGAAAACATAAGAGAAAAAGATTTCACCAAAGTTTTCATTTTTGTTTGTTTGTTTGTTTGTTTTTTTCATTTTCTTTGATAACTAAACGAAATATTTTTCCATATTTCTCAATATTGACGAAGTACGGAACGTTTACCAAGATCTGGATTAAATTGAAAAGGATAGCCTCTTTTATCAGCATTCACATTCCATTGTCGTCTATTCTGTTCAAATGTATTGTAAGATTTCCTCAACAGCTTTCTTAACATTTGGTAATATTCATCAGTTTCTCCAATAGTTGGATTTGAATATTGCGGTTTTCCAGTACTGGTTGAAATGTTTAAGAAGAGAAAGAAGCAGAAGAAGAGAACAAGAATTTTTGAAGACATTCCGATTGAATCTGTTTTAAATAAAGAAATGAGAAAATTTCGATTCGTAAACAATTTTTTTTTTTCGTTTTACCGTTACACTTTGCGAATTCGTCTCGAAAGATAAACGGTAATTTATCAGCGCCACCTAGTAGTCGTATATAGTATATGTGTCTAAAGTTTTCTCTGAAGTATATATTAAGTTCTAAAATAAAAAGGGAACTAGAGAAAGCTGCCCCACGTTTCATTTATAATCCAACTAGCTATTATGCGTAACCTATTAGTTTTCTCTTTTATCAATATTCCAATTAATCAAAGATATCTATTGAACGATCTAAATTAAGCAAAACAACATTTAAAAAGATTGAAAGACAAATAGAGAAAGAATGAGTTTATGGGGAAAAAATTGCTATTCATAGAGTGAATTCCCGTGAAAAAAGATAAAGAATACAACACAAGGACAAAGGAAAAAGCTATAAACGTAACTCTGGGGAATTTTACTAGGAAAAGATAGTTTTGAACAATATCTCTATTTATACTCTTGAATAAAAAGTCAAACAATGAAAAATCATATATATAACTCTTTTACTTGTGATAATTGCTTCTCTTTATAGCAAACTAATGAAATTATGACCTTATTTCATGCATTCCTTTATAAAAATAATGAATATTATGAATGAATGATTTACGTATAAAAAAATAACAAAAAGAGGAAAATTAACAAGCTATACCTTTGTGGCCAATACATCACGATTTGTACAGACTAATTTTGGTGGAATAATGAGCTAGTTAGCTTGTTCCCTCAAACCTCTACCCTTCTGGTTTCTTATTACCGCTATCCTAATTGAACTCAACCAATGATAAAATTTTACTACAAGCCATTTAATTATCAATTGACAGAAAAAAAGGAACGCTTTAGCCACCTATGGACATCTATTAGTGATTTTTATGTGCACTTTTCTTTCTTTTTAGTTGGTTTTATATAGTTTCAATCAGTCACTCACTCAGCCAGTCAGTTTGCCGGTTAGTGGTTGTGCTCCTTCTGTCCTATTTGTATATACATATATATTACTTTATTGGCTCTAGCCTAATTATTCAGTCAACTTTCAGCCAATGTGAAATTAACGTCATGCGTGCTAAAGAGAATTTTTCTTTTTTTTTTTAACTCACTCGCTCTCTCTCTCTCTCTCTCTCTCTGTCGTTCTGTCTCTCCCAATAGAGAAATAGCCTATAGATAGTGTTGTACCATTCTCTCTACACACTCTAGATAAAGGTCTATAATAGAGTTCAAATAAAATAATAGAATATTTATCAACGAAATGGACTTGAAAAGTTTATATTTTCGTCATTAATTAGCTTTTACTATAAATTTTAATGTGAATAAAAGTCATAGTTAGTTCATTTTTCAAACTACAATAATAGTAGACTTCTTTTTTCAATGATGTATTCGAACTTTGTCTTTCCTATAATTAACAATATAATTATACTATTAACGAGCGAAACTATTGATTGGCCATATTAATTATATCTATACTCCATACTGTTATTAATTATATACAAAAACAGATAATTTCTATCATACTTTTACCAACAATCCTGTATTATTGTCGAATCATCTTCCTCCTTACACTTTCTTCTCCTCCTTCTTCTCCTCCCCCTTTCCTCGCCTATTCAAGTTTTTGCTTTGTCTCTTCTTTCCTCGTTCTATTTGTCTGTCTGCCTATCTGTCTTTATCCCTCCCTCCCTCCCTCTTTTGTCTCTGATTCTCAGTTTCTCTCTCTCTCTCTCTCTTCTCTCTTTTGCATCCACGCACACTCACACACACAACGCCCGCCCTCGAGCGCGTATTTTCATAAACTATGAGTAGAAAAGTGTTAGATGAATGGAAAAATATTCAAAAAAGTCAAAAAGGATTAAAAACTCAACGGACAGAAAATTCTGAAGAAAATTCTGCTACTCTCTCCTCTTTTGGATATGAAAAAAATCATGGAAATGAAGACGACAACAAAGAAGAATCTAATCAATTTCAATTGGAGGCAAATGTCAAAAGTGACCAGCCGAAAACGCCTGTTCTTCTTAGGAAAAAAAATCAAAAAGGAGTAATGTTTACCAACATTCAGGATGGTGATAACATCGATAATCAACACGTAGAAATTTACGATATAGAAGAAGAGGAAAAACAAGTCAAGGAGGATATTGAGAATGATAAAAATAGAAAAAGTGCTTTTTCCTTCAAGCGACGAAAAAGTCGACTGGCTTCCGTTTATCTGGAGGAGAAACTCATGAGACGATCCCTTTCAATATGCGGAGGTCTTGTACAACATTACATAAGCCCGGATCAGAAATATATGGGCGTAAAGGCGATCATTTTCTTCCTAGTAGGTCTAATTATATGTACTATAGCTTTTGGATTTAGTTATATAGGGAAACTAGCCTTGAAGAGTAAAGAGGATGATAAATGGCCAACAGTAACTGGCTTTATAATAATGATTGTATTTTCAATGGTATTTTCAATGACTCTGTTGTTTAGTCCTATGATGAGATGTATTGGAGCGCTGATGGTTCCCGCCATTTTCAGGTAAATATAATCAATCCTATCTCAGAGGGTAACACTAATTTTTATTTTCTTTTCCTCTCTTCCCTCTCCAATCCGTTTAGATCGAGGTGCTCGGCGCTGTTAGCCTTCGTCATTATACAACTGTTAATAGCCGGTCCTATAAAAAATAGTATAAATAACGGGGAAATTGGTGGTAAACAGGCAATTTGTCTGTATAATCAATCGAAGCTGACTCTGCAACAAGTTCAAAGCGATATAAAAGAGGAATGGAACGGCACGATCGAAACTTTTAAGAAATTTACAGGAACGTGGAAAGGAATAATGAAAGAATTAAGTCGTGTTATTAAAAATTTTGCTTATGGAAATCTGTGCGAAAATGGTCCAATTGAATTTCAATTTAACATTAGAGGAAAACGCTATAAAATAGACGCCTGCTATTTAACAAACGATAGCGTTCCTATTGTACCAAAAATCCAAATTATACACAAGGGACCAAAAGTCGAAAGTAGCGTACCGCTTAGTGAAATAAAAAACAAAATTTCAACCGACGTTAACAATCAATTAGAAGGGATGATAAAATAAAGTCCTTTTTTGACCTTGATAGAGGATAAACAATTTGGAACATACTATAGTATAACAGTATATAATTACTTATATTCTACTACATTAAAGAGTAGCATTCTAAATATTTTAATAGTTAATAATGGAATAGAAACAGATATCTGATTACATATCATCTAACTAAATAACGAATAACGTCCTTAGTTAGGTCTAATACTCTTTCTTTTATCATATCCCTTTTGAATTTAAGGTCTGAAAAAGTTTGCTCACATCCTTAGCGAACTATGCCCTTTGGCGGTTCTGCTCATTCTCTTACAGGCGATTCTATATAGGCGAGGATATCTTGGACGACTCAACTACGAGAATGTTTTTATCACAAAGTATTTTGTTGAACTGGACAAGAAGAAGGCGACAATTGATGAGAATCTTAAAGTTTTACCACTGAGGCGTAGGGAGAGTCTTAAATACGGATTCACTACGAAATGTATTGCAGGTTAAGCTCATTTCTTATTACACCTTTACCTCTTTTTACTGTTTGTCCTATATATTTTTCTTCGGCTCCTACTATCCTTCTAATAATCCTTCGGCCGACTAACAATATCATATTAGTAGTTGAAGCTGTATAATCTAGATGGCACTAGCTTATGCCCTCTTCCAGGGGAACATTTGTGATATTAAATTCATTTCTTTTTTCAGGCTATACAAGAAGGGAATTAAGGGGAATGGTTATACCGGTAGTAACCTTTTTGTGTTCTTTATTAATTGGAATAACGGCCTATGCGGGAGATTTTTTCTTTCATTTTATATTAGACAAAATTCAACAGCAATTAACCGATGGTGTTACAGTTACATCTTCAAGTCCTATAGGCTTGAATCAAACAAACGTTAAGCCAATTGTATCGAAATTATTCGATTCGGTCTATAGTGGTTTAAATATTGATAATAAAACTGTTGAAATAAATATTACCAGGTTAGGCCTTGACATTCAAAAATACTTTCTATCTTACTATGTTATTACTGTTTTCCTATTTATAGATGTCGAATGGAATTGAATCATCCCGCCTACCGACAAGAGGGTTTTAAAGTTATTATTGTCCTATACGCTATCTATTTTCTTCTAGTTCTCCTACATCCTGGTGGCTCTAGGGTTCAAAGATATATTATGTCCGTATTCCATCCCCAGCAAGAAAAGAGACGAATACAATACCTTCACTATACAATTAGAGCAAAGAGAATGAGCCTATTCCATTTGATAACGACAGGTCTAAGAAAGAAGCCAACAATAACGTTTAAACAGTGGCTATCGTTGAAATTTCCAACATTGAAAAAATGCTTTGCCTGCCTGAGAAGTGATGTATGCGACATATGCTCTGCAGTTTCTATGAATATAGTATTTATAACTAAATATAAAGTTTGTATATGCTGCCAAAGGAAGCTAGTGAACGAAAAAGGAGAAAAGAATTGGTCTCTTACACGCGGAAAGTCGATCTAATCAAAAAAAAAAACAAAAACAAAATACTGCTAATGATGTATAATGGATTGATATTGAATTCATATAGATTTCTTGTAACCGGCTAACGCTTCTTTATACGTTCCTTTCCTTTTACTATAGCCATTAATCTAACTTAGAGAATAAACGAGAACCTTTTATTTGTTTATGTGTTAATGATGGTAAGCAACAGAATTATATTATTAGGATGGATAGAGCAAGGAAGGAAGAGAGAGAGAGAGAGAGAGAGAGAGGCGGAGAGAAAGTGGAATGAACGGAAGAAAGAAAGAAAAAGATTTAAGGGAGAGGTTATATGTTGAAATAATCGAAATATTTCATAACCTGAAGAGTCTAATCGCGGACATTCGATATTCTTAAGCGTACTTGAATCTCTTGAATCGCATTTTATTCAATTTTATTACTTTGTATTTCCACTTCAAAGAGTAGTCATACATTTTCCATCCACTTTTAAATCTTCTAATATTGTCATTTACATCTTTTATCCTGCCTTTTTCTAATACTATTTGTTAATTTTAATATATTCTAATACATTATACAATTGTATTAGCCAATCATCAATCTCCTACAGGTATTTTTCTACTATACACGCAATTGATCGTATTATTGAAGAGCAAGCATTAATAATTAAATTTAATTGCCCCCTAACTCTTTATCCTTCGTATTATCCCGCATAAATCTGACCTATAAATCAATATACTTACGACGATATCTGTCCTTGAGATAAATTTAATAGCACCAATTGCTTAAAACTAAAATCATTTTTCATTCGTAGCATCATTTAAGCGTTCAAGCTTTGAAAAGCTGAGAGAGATAGGTAGAAACGGAGAAGGGAGAAGAAAGTAGAACAAAATGATATCAAGAAAAGACTTTAGAATTAGGCGTCTCTTCCTTATTTCATTTTGTAAGTTTATGTTTATTCAAGATAATTAGACTAACCGAATTTTCACTTTGTATGTATGCTCATTCTCTCTTGCTCTATGTTTGATATATCATTTTTCATACAGTAATTTCATTATTTAATGCGACGTCACAAGAGGATTCAATTCCAAGGAATACAGCTGTCTATTATGGACAATCAGCTAACCTAACTTGCTTCGAGAATAACGCTAATAGCATTTATCAGTCAACAAGTTGGATGGTTAGAGAAAGTCAATCGTCTATTACAAAACTTATAGCCGATAAGTCGGGTATTTTGCCGTCTGCCAAGTCTTATTATAGCTACTTGAACAGTCCAAGGGTTGATTTACACGTTAAAAAGGTCGATTCAATTTCAACTGGCCGATACGACTGTACAGCATACGACAATGATGATGAGGTTAAGAGGTATTGGGCATTTCTCATGGCGCTAGGTATGTATATGGGTGTGTATGTAGTTATATAAGTACGTGTATAAGTAGGCATGTATGCAAGTGCGCGTGTGTGTGTGTATGTACCCATTTCTGGAACTGGCGTGTTTCTCGTTGTATTTGGTATTTAATGAATTTCGTTTTCTTTTTCATATTGCCTCTTCCTCTCTCTCTCTCCCCTCCTTCTACCTACTACTCAATACACTCGTATTGTAGACGAAAAACCCGTTTGTGCTCAAAATGAAACTTTATCCAGCGAATATCCTGCAGGGACAAAAATAGTGTACTGCTATGCTAATTATACTGGAGATTATTCGCCAACAGTAACTATAAAGTCAATCAAGGGGGGTATTAGAAAAATGAGACAATTCTCGAAACACGAGCCTATTGGTGGGACAATTTCCATGGTTGGAGGATGTGCATTAATATTGCAAGACTCCGACTACAATTGCACTGTTGAATTCCTCTCCCCGCCTCCTTCTCTGATACTCAATTCAGGATTTGATCAATCGGCCCCAGGTATAAAACTAATTTAAAACAGAATTTTTTTCCCTTTCCCTCTTATTCTCCTATCTTTTTCTGATTTTCTATACTATCGGTGCTTTTGCACTCTATTTTTTTTCATTTATTTATAGGCCTACCGACTATATGCACCCAGAAACTTAACGATGATAGCCAAGTCCCTGAGTGGTTAAAGGGAAATTGTGAAACGTCTTTAGTACAGAAAGATTATACAAAACTACCAAAAAATACAGCAGCTTTGATAGATGAAACTGCATTATTAAATTGCAGCGTTATAAATTCTATTGATCATTCTGACGGTTCTTGGTCTCTTAGACAAAGCCAAAGCGATCAGTTAATTACGCTAACAGAAGCTTTTAACGTAACCGATCAAGTTGACGAACACGTACACTTTCCAGTTAATAATGTTTTTAATATAGAAGTTAAAGCAACAAATCGCTATACGGCTGGCTTGTTCGTATGTACAGGATATGACACTGCTAAAGTTGACTCTTTCGGAGCTTTTTTAAGCGTTATGGGTAATATATTATTACTTTAGCCTACTATTTAAGCCTATAGTTTTTTATTTCCAAGGTATTTTTTATTCATTTAGATAAGCCAAGTTGCAGTCATCAATCTCTATCATCAGATAAAAAATTAGCATATTGCTTCAATCAATATGCCAGCTTTTGGCCTCCAACAGTACGAATACTAAAGAATAACGTTGTTATCGATTCTGCCTCGTTTCACAATCAGAAGATATCGCCATTAGCTGAATATTCGCAAGTTGGTGCTTGTGCACTAATTGATAAGACTACAACTTTTGAATGTACAAACATCTTCGAAAGACCACCAGATAATTTATTGGTAAGCGATAGCATAGACGACACGGATACCGATTTAATCGCCTCTTGTTCGGAAACATCCGATCCTTCAGATGATCGACCAGGTAAAATGAATTCAAAACAGTATAAAAAGAATAAAATATTCCATTTCCTATCGTTTTATTTGGATGAAAGGGAAAGTTATTAATAAACTGTTCTCTTTTTTTTTTTTAAATTTTTTCTAGTTCCAGATTGGTTAAAGGAAAAATGCGAAAGCTACTTTGAAGTGGGGGAGATAACAACTACTGCTAGTATATCGACCACTTTAACTAAAACAACCTTGGATACAACGATACTTTCCTTATCTTCGAAAATTCCAGAGACAACCGCGGAAAGTCAAACAAAAACGGAATATCCGACAACGACCACTTCTAATTCTGCCGTTAAAAATCACGTAGAATTACAAAAGATATTACCGTTTCTCGTTATATTCTTCATGCTATCTCATTAGATTTCCTCCAAAGTTTTAAATAATACTTGTCCATTTGATTAGGAACAATAGACTTTTCTTTTGAGATCGATAGAATAGCAGAGAATTAGAAAAGAAAATCAAAAATATATTATATAGCGTCTCTTTCTTTCTCTTTCCTTCTTATTATGATAATAAACCAATACCAAACGTCGTTTTACGTAAATTATTGCATAATCTACAATAACCTGGTTATTAGTAAAGATTAAAAAAGTTGTATATTGTCAAAAAAAAAAAAAATATTTGTCAGCAATAGTAAAAGGCAATGTATGGGAAAGCTTTTACAGTATTTCTCAGCTGGGTACGATGGGTGAATCATCACTAATATAAGTTCTTTTTGTTAAAAACAAAACGAAGAAAGTAAGATCATCATAATGCCTAACGATAATAATATTTAATGAATAAGTATAAAGAGCAATGAAGAAAAAGTTTGTCGTGTGAATTGATTTTTTTTGTTGTTTTTTTTTTTATAGCTTGCTTGAACTGCTCCTGGTTTATATTCCAAAAGATTGCTTTTCCATAAAGGCCTACATATAGGCTTAATAAGCAGATTCTTTTTTTCATGAAAATGTCATTAATGATCCTTTTATCTCTTTAAATGTAGGTCGTTTTGATGCGTCTAAATTCCAGCACTTTTCCATTATATTATGCATTTCCGTGGGACAATCTTCCGGTGGTTCCATTCTATATCCCTTTTGTACATGTTCTGGCACCTCTGTTAAATGAATACGTGGGTAGGGAACTCTTCCGAATGAATACAATTCCCATAAAAATATTCCATAGCTCCATACATCGGAGTGACTGGTAAATTTATTGCTTTTGAGCGCTTCTGGAGCTGTCCATTTGATAGGAAATTTACCACCTTGAACTTCGGCCTGAGCCTGTCTAGCCAACCCAAAATCAGTAACTTTAGCAACATTATGTTCAGATAAGAGAACATTCCTAGCAGCGAGGTCTCTGTGTACAACTGAATTTTCTTCAAGATAACACATGGCTTCGCAAGTGTCTTTAGCAAATCCCAAAAGTTGGGATTTCTTAATTTTTGTCCTACCCCTTGACCGCAGAAAATCTATTAAGCTGCCCATTTCCATAAATTCACTTACTATTAATGTCTTTTCTTTATTAACTATTCCCACCAATTTAACCAAATTTTTATGCTTAAGTGTCATCATAAAGCGAGCTTCTTTAAGGAATTCTCCAGCTTTGTTTTTATCGTGTAACGATTTAATGGCAACCTGTTAGCCAACAACAGAAAAGAAAAGGTCAGCATTTTTACAGAATAATCTCATAAAAGATTATAAAAATAATTTTAGAAAAATTATAGCTATGTTAATAACCTTTTGATCTTTATAAATACCGCAATGAACCTCGCCGAATTCTCCTTTACCAATACATTCGCCCACTTCTAATTCGTCGATATTGATCTCCCATTTATTTGTATCGTAAAGAGGACAAGGAATCTTTAATTCGGTTACTAATCCATTTGCGTCATTTCCGTAATAAGTTATCAATTCGGACAAATTATCAAAAAACACCTCCTCGTCAATTGTATATTTACCACCTTTTCTCAGCACATGGTAATTTTCAACCTGGTTCAAATAGATTAAACAAAGAGTGAAATCGCCTGGATAGTTTGTACTGTCGCGAAGAAGAAAAGAACCGTCTTCACAATCGTTAAGTCTTCTAATTGCTTCTTCCCTACCAATATCACCGTGATACCAAGGTTTGCCAATGTGCGATCCATTCTTTTTATCCGAAGTTGGACCATTTTTACCCACGTAGTTGGCTGGGATCATTCCAGAGTTTCCAACTTCATTCATAGCTTGATACCACATGGGATCTCGTGTTGGACAAGTTATTTTTATTTTCTCTCCTTTTTTAAAAGATAGATCCTCTTTTGATTTACCTTCAAAGTTGAATAGGCCGGTAACTTCGTCACCTAAAAAGTTTAAAAGAAACACATCAGTCAAGTATCAAATGTTAATTTACAATTAGACGCTTAACAGGAGAAACTATTGAAAACAAAAGGAAATAAAATTTATTGCAGCATACGAAAAGTTTAATTTGGAGATAATTAATTCTTAGTATATAATAGTATTGAAATAGTTTCGCTATTAAAAAAAACATTACAAAGATGAGGAAAACCAGAAGAAAAGGAAAGAAAAAACGCAAAGAAAACAGAATACAATATTATTTGTTTATATAAGATATTCACAAGCATCCTTTTCTTTTCTCTTTTGCTTTCAGTCGTCTCTAACGAATTTTTACAGCTTAACCCCAACAAGATAGAAGAGAAATGAATAAAAGTAATAAAATCTACGTTTCATGGGTCTTTTAGTCGTAAAAGTCTGTCTTTATCAAAATTTGAAATTCTTTGTAGATTATCTTTCGCAAACATTGTAATATTATTTAAAAACTATAAAAAATTTTTTGATATTCATTCCATATAGAACGAAAAGCTGAGCGCAATTGGTTAACGACATTATCTCTTTTGTTAATATATATAAATATATAGATAGATATGTATGGATAAACTGATTAGATGAAATATTAAATCAGGCAATCTAATAATTTTTTAATAATACACTATACATACATCTATCTATACATGTTCTTCTAAAAACCTTTACTTAATTATTCCGATTAAGTGAGATCCGTTTTTCCTTAATTTCGCTAATTAGTTTTTAAGGGTCAAGTAAATTACAACGGCCGAGTGAAGGAGAAAATCCCATTTTCTATCTAATAAAATTACTATTAGGAGATGATTTTAGGAGATGATTTTAGTAGAGAATTGTCGAAAAAATATACGAAGAGACATTTTAAGAAGCAGGTAAAAACTCTAAAATTTAGAAATAATCAACAAGAGAACCTCTTTTTTCAAGTGAACGCACACTAGAGTAATTGTTCATATTTATAGAAAAAAAAAGTAATATTAAACATAGAGCGATCAATAATGACTTGCGGAATCTTTGAAAAATATCGAATGAATAGCGTGACAATATTGTAAACTTCTTACTATCTAGAAAAAATGTTTTTTTTATATTTAACACATTATGCCTAGTTAACTCTAATATAAATGATTATTTACAGCATATATATATATTAATTATTGCAAGGGAATAGCGTACTAAAAGTGATGATAAAATGAAAAAAATTGTTATTGTTGGATGGAAAACACCAATGTAGAAAGTTATAGGCATGCCCATATATCTATATTCCTTAATAGTTATATTATATATGAATATCAAACCTATATCTTTCGATAGGCCCTTGTTGATACAACATTTCGAATGATTCATTTGATTTTTTTTTATTTTTTTTACTGCCTCTGCTTCTTATTTTGTTGCTTATCAAGAATATTAGTTTTTATGCTAGATTCTTCTAAAGGATTGTAATAGAAATTTTAAAATGATATTCAAAATCTAATTATCATTGCATGCTGTTAATACAAATTCGTCTATAAGTGAATTATTATATAAAAGATATCGTAGAAACCTCTAATGAATATTTAAGAATGAAAAACGTTCTTATTCTTACTTATTACGTACAGTAGCAAATATTATTTAAAATATAATTAAACCTAACTAATTTCCACTAATGAAACAAGTCAAATTGTCTGCTGGGCATATAGTGAAAAGCATATTATAATCTTTTGACTTTGATAGTAAAAATTAAGGAAATAAAAGTTAAACCTTATCGGGACAGGATAAGAAATGTATTCCTTACCTGCTTTCCAAGTGTATCCCTGGTCATTTGTTGAAGCTGCCTTCATGCCTAATCCAGCCTTTTTTGAACGATTTCTTTACCTCTTTCTCGCTTTTAGATTTTTCTATATATATTTATAATGGACCCAAAAAAAGGGATTTTTCTGTAGGAGACAGCTTTTATATTCAAACTCAATTGACGGGTTTCCCTTCCGTTAAATATAATTCACCATATTTCTTTTATACTATCGAGTAAAGCCAACTTCCATTTTCGTATAAAAAATTACATTTTATTTTATTCCTTAAATAACTATTAAATTACTTATCGAAAATATGTAATTCGCAAACAATTAAAAAATATAAAATAAAAACGGATGTGACGACACCGGAAATGGAAAACGCTTAAAAGTTTGTTGATAGCGAATCGTACTGATTGAGGTAAGTAAAATCTTTAAAAATCTTCGTTCAATTATTATTTTAGACAATTCTCTCCAGTGAAATCTGTAAAGAATATTTTAATCTTTTTGTATGCTGCCTAAATATTTTCGTATTAACTGTAATTATCATATTTTGGCTTTCAGCCATTATCTGGGGCAGTGGGATATTAATGATAAGAAATTTATATTGTCGAATGTAAATATTCCCTATATTTTCAGACGAAAGAGCGAATTAAGACAAGTTTTTGACGAAAATCGCCACTAGACAAAGTAAAAAGTGATACTCTTCTTCTGTGCGCGGTGTTTATTGATTTTTTTTGCTGGGGCCGCTTTTCTGTATTTAAGCATCATTAAAGGTAATAATCAGATTTCTTTCTATATATCTACCCTTAAAAACTTGAATTTATCTTGCATGATGCAGATAAATTTAAATTATCGTTAAATAGCTCAAACACAGTTTTACCAAAGCGTCTCTTTGTGTTCACTTCCGTTATATATATATATATATATGTATATAGATTTTTTTTGACAAAGACGCGGAAGTATTTTTTAACGGAAACCTTTCTCCGAACTCTAAAAGAGTTAACTTAAATAATGTTTTTCTATATATTATATTAATTTATTTACAAGGTCTATTGCAAAATATCTAAATGACTATCATATAACCTAACCCAGCTTGAAAAAATTTGAAAAATATCGCCTCCTCCAACAAATTTAAGAAGAAAAGATATTTAATACAAGTATATCAAACTACGCTTTAGCAATTTAATCCATAATGTATACATTACAATATTCATGCAACACAGCGTATATGCCGAAAAATAAAAAGGTTCTCTCTTGGTATACAAACATGCTATTAAAAAACACCCTACGAATTCCTATAGCTTATACCCTGCCTTAAGGCTTGAGTCATCTATCGATAAAAAAAATAGTCGATTATTAATATTACGAGCACAATCTCCCACTGATTACTGTTATTTATATACCATTACTTCTCTATTTTTCATAGAAATATTCTTTTGCGTCAAAATGAATAGCCTATAACCTTGATAGTGGTTAACCGAGTACTCTGTAGATATTGTGTAAGGTTTCACATTAAACTTTGTAATGTTTAGCCTATAGTGTTTATAACTATTTAGCCAGTAAAAATTTTTTTTCTATATAAAGTACTCGTATTTATTGGCTTCACAAGAATAGAGATTTTTAGCTATATTTTTTTCTTATTTTAATAGGAAATACTTGACTTCCGCCATCTACATTCTTCCTCAGATCTCAACGAGTAAAAAAATTAAGAAAAAGCTAACTCCGCTAAACTAATAAAAAAAGAAACATGTCTTCTGTTGAAGTCGATAGTATTCAGAAACTAGAAACGGACGGCTGGAAATCCAAGCTGCAACTACCTCCAAAAGATAACAGAGTCAAAACAGCCGACGTAACGAATACGAAAGGCAACGAATTTGAAGACTTTTGCCTGAAACGTGAACTACTTATGGGTATCTTTGAAAAAGGCTGGGAACAGCCCTCTCCTATACAGGAAGCTAGCATTCCAATTGCTCTATCTGGAAGAGATGTTCTGGCTAGAGCAAAGAATGGTACTGGTAAAACCGGTGCCTACGCTATACCGTTGTTAGAACGGTGTAATTCAGCCGTACCAGATTTACAGGTAAATTATAATTAATTCAATACTATGAAAATGACGTTTTTTTTTTTTTGCAAACTGCTCTATCTATATATTCGCATTTTCTATTTTTAATAGGCTATCGTTATTGTGCCTACAAGAGAATTGGCACTTCAAACTTCCCAAATTTGTAAGGAGTTGAGCAAGCATATTGGTCTCAAAATTATGGTTACTACGGGTGGAACGAATTTACGGGATGACATTATGCGCCTATACAATACAGTTCATGTGATTATTGGAACTCCTGGCCGAATGTTGGACTTGATGAACAAGAATGTTATAAAGTGCAGTAAATGTACTATGTTGGTTTTGGACGAGGTAAGTGTTAAAAATTTTTAGTTTAAAGCATATATAAGCTGTATTCTATCTGGGAATTTGTGATATCTACATATATAGGCCGACAAATTGCTATCTCAAGACTTTAAGGGCATGTTGGATAGCATTATTGACCACTTACCAAATGAACGCCAGATTCTACTCTTCTCAGCTACGTTCCCACTGACCGTCGAGTCGTTCATGCGCAAGCACCTCCACAATCCGTATGAGATTAACTTGATGGATGAACTGACATTAAAAGGCGTTACCCAATATTACGCTTTTGTGCAAGAAAGGCAAAAAGTTCACTGCCTAAACACGCTCTTCTCTAAACTGCAAATCAACCAGTCAATCATATTTTGCAATTCGACGCAAAGGGTCGAACTACTTGCGAAAAAAATTACGGAATTGGGTTATTCCTGCTTTTTCATTCATGCCAAGATGAACCAGCAGCACCGTAACCGCGTCTTTCATGACTTTCGGCAAGGTTTGTGCCGAAACCTGGTCTGCTCTGATCTATTTACGCGCGGTATAGATATTCAAGCCGTTAACGTCGTGATCAATTTCGATTTTCCGAAGCACGCTGAAACTTATTTACATAGAATCGGTCGTTCCGGTCGCTACGGACACTTGGGTGTAGCCATTAACCTGATAACGTACGATGATCGCTTTTCTCTACACACAATTGAAAGGCAATTAAAGACCGAAATTAAACCCGTACCAAAAGTTATTGACAAGAAACTCTATGTCGCCGAGTATCAGAATGAGGAGGAGGAAGTGAAGAAGGGTCAAACAGAATAAGTGTCAAGCCCACCAGCTGTATTACTACTAGCGAATCAACATTATTTACTTATACACACTTAAATACGATTAAAAGGTATTTTAAAGCGCGAATCTTTAACATTATTTAAAAAAAAATGAAGCTCTTCCCTCTTAGAAAACTAGAGGAAACTAAGACGTTATTCGCTAAACACTGCCAATTGTGTTTTGTTGAATGTGTTAACGTGAATAGTAAAAAGGATATTTTATTTTTTTTAGATAATTACCTCCAAAGATGGAAAAATAGTGATTATTTAGTCATCTTTGAAAGTTTCGTTAGGGAATATAAGCTGGTGTTTGCAATGCTTATTTCATAATTTGTATAATGTTGTAATATAGTAATTTTTTGAAGCTGTTAAAAAACAAAAAGTGGGCGAATAACGGTTTATAAAAAATTTTTGTTTGTTGTTTAAAATTCGCCATGTGTTATATGTTTTTTTGCCAATTGGTGGCGCTCAAATACTGCTTATATAACAGAGCCACGCACTAGTTTTTTTTTCAAGAAATGCATTTTTCATTTTCATGTGCAGTGCGCTATCCCACTCTCGTTTATATAGTATATTTTGAATGTGTGACGTTATCCTATATCTACTCTAATGAACTAGCAAAGGATAGTATTGAACATGTGTGAGCCCAAAATAAGATGTCAAATTAACGAGGATTGCCGTAAAGAAACGTTTTGTTAAGCACACTCAAATTGTATGTAATTAGTTACATCAGTATTTTTCTGTTCTACATTCGCAATCCTCTCTTTTCCATGTTTACGATATATTCGGAATATGTTGCTAAACTTGATTTTTTTTTTTAGGCTAAGTGCATATTTTTACGAGTGTGCTAAGTGCAGACGATGCAAATTCCGTCCTGAAATTTGTATTAATGTGTGTGTATAAAAAAAAGAGGAGGTGTTTTATTCAGGACCGTGTTTTATTAATTCAATTTGCTCTTCTATTGAAAAACTAATTGAATTTTTAAAACTAAAATTTCAAGCGAGGTCTTTTTATCTGGTTAAGTTTATATAATCTTTTGAGAGATTATGAATCTTGTTTTTCTTTATAAAAATTTAACATCTGAGAGAAATTTATTTAAAAACTATGAGATAAAAAATATTGAAAAAAAAAACAAAAAAAAGCACACTCAAAAACGAAATCCTCACCATCTCGCCATAACTTATTTCTTCTAATTATTTTCTTTTTTTTTTTTTGAATGAATAGATAGCTTTTCAAAAAATATGTTTGAATAGACAAATATATCAACATCAATGTCCGTAACAGTAAAAAAAGGAAAAGTTTTGTATAATTATTTAAAATAAGAAACATCATTGCCGAGATCTCGCTTCTATATAATTTTTGTAATAATTGTTAAACAGTGCTTCTACGGACCTTCCAGGAGTGTGCTATGATATAAATTTTTTATGTAAGTTTTTTTTTCTTTTCGAGAAAGAAGTTGAAAAACTTCTTTCAAAGAAATCTTATGTAACAACTGCAATTTGGAAATGTTTTCTTTTTATATATATAAAGCTAAATTCCAACATCTGAGATTGAAAATCTTCGTATATGATTATATATCCGACTATCTACATATATATTTATATACTTTTTTTTTATAAAAAACAAAAAGGAACCAAAATTAATAAGTTTATTAAAAAGAATGTAGGGTTAAGATTTATTCATTTTTTTTTCCGCAAAATTCAATAAACGTTTCCAAATTGCTTCTATGTAAAAACAATTTATACAAGTGAAAACTTTAAAAGAAAAACAATTTTGAACGTTAAAAAACAAACAAATCATAAATTTAAAATGAAAGTGAAGCTTCTTTAAAACTTCGTCATCGTTCAAAACTTTTTTTTTTGAAAGGATTAAGTCAAGTCAAAAAAAAGTGAAATTTGTGCGTTTAACTATGAATGCAAAACAGTTTTATGTATAACTTCAATAGATATTGTTCTTCGTTTTTAACTTTATACTTGCCCTACAACGAAAAGTATCAAAATTTATGAATTTTTGAATAAACAAACTAAAAATTCTGGTGTTTGAAAAAAAGTCTTATGATCTCTTTTCTTTAAAATCATACTTATACTTTTATCGACATTAAAAAAATGAGCCAACTGTATTTTTTATAAACACTAAACAAAATAGACGACGGTACAACATAAAATCTCTAATAGACAAACAAAAAAATAATGACAAAAGTTTCTTTTCACAAGTTTTTTTCTTGCCTAGTGAAACGCTTTTGATTAATTTTTTTCTCAATCGCTTTAAGATGTATCAGCTGACATATGCTTTGTTAAGAATTTCATCATTCCAAACATTTTAACCCTTTTTCTGCCTGTAAATAAAATATATTACAATAATTATCTTTCTGGAAAGAAAATCATGAAAGGAAACTTACCAAAAACTTCCTGAAGAGCGTCATCACATAGGGTAAATTGCTTGTTTCGAGGATCCTAATTGTATAATTATTTCATTCGTTATAGTGGAAATAAACTAAAGTAATGGTTGCAAGATTTTTACCTGAAGGTTCTTTTCCTTAACATAACCCCACATTCTCTTGACAACTTCACTTCTTGGTAATTTCTCTGCTCCAACAACTTTAGCTAAAGCTTCAGAGAGAACAAGGTCTGCGTTGTATCCAGTTTTCTCTACAATGGTAAGAAAAAGACTTTCAGTGTCATACTGTTCGTATTCTTCACAAGCTACATCCATTTATATACACAAATTATATAATTCTTATTTCTATCAAATACAACAGTTGGTAATTGTCGGGGAATTTAGTTTGTAAAGGTACGGTTAAGGTTAAGAATTAGGATAGGAAAGGTTTTGCCTAATAGGACATTCTAATCATAGAAAAATTGTAACATTCACGAAACAAAGTTACAGTATACAATATCCTTACTTTTAACGGCTTTCTCTGGTTTGTCATTTGTTGTAGCGGCAGCTTTCTTCTTTGGTTTTGCTTTTGGCTTCTTTGGTGCTTCGTCGTCGTCGTCACCATCCCACTAAAAAAAATGATAAAATCAATTTTAGCGATTTTTTAAATTGAAACGCAACGTCTCTAATGGCATTTTAATAAATTTATAATAATAATAAATAATTATTATTATACTTTTCTTTTTACTTACGTCGGAATCACTTTGATTTTTCTTCTTTTTCTTCAGTTTTGGTTCATCATCATCGCTGGCCTAGAAATATAAACAGATTACATTATAGAATAATTTTAATATATCGAACGTACAGCTTCTTCTGGCTCTGAGGCAGACGAATCATGCGCCTCTTTCTCTTCCATTTCTTCAAGACATGCCATAACGAGATCGTCTATTTGCTGTTTTCTATTTTGTAATAAAGAAAAAATATTATACTATTTATTTCTACAGATTTTGTAAGAATTCATATATTAATTTTCTAAGAGATATGTGGAAAAAGAAGAAAAAAGTTCTTTTTTTTCCCTAATATAGAAGTGAATAACATTCGGTTAATTATTCTTTATATATATATATATATTTTTATACATTTATTAATAAAAATCTATTTTTTTTTAAACTATTTCATAAATTTTTCTAAAATTTATTGCTTACTTTTCCAAAAGATCTTCGTCGTACTTTTCTTCTAATTCCTTTCTCACCTTCTTGGCAGAAATAGAGTTCAGGTCGGCGCCTTTCAAAATTTCTATAAAATCATAATAAAATGAATAAAAGCTATAACTGTTGTTACGAAAAACTATTCTTGAATTTTTTCCTTATCTTAAATTCTTAAATAGCAAACCTAAAATATCCTTCTTCAGTTTATTTTCTGTAATTTCCGACATTACAATTTGTTTCAAAACAACAACCGGAAGTCAAAGCCGCGAAGCCCGTAAGTTTTGTGTGGTTACCGGTTCCGCTTTCCAGTCTCAAAGCCTAAACAAGGATTAGTCCTCGCTACCCAGTAATGTATAAAAATGCAGTAGCGATTCATAAACAAGGTAGAAAATCGTAAAATAATTATCAATTACATAAAATAAGTTAGTAGCTTTTAATTTCTTTTCTAAAATATATTTTATTATGATTTAATGTGATGGTTATGACTAAATACTGGTTAGCCCCGCTTCACGCTGTGCTCTGGGTCAAGGTTGTCCTAGGGGGAATTACGTTTTTATAGTAATAGGTCTGTTGAAGAGAAGAATTCCTGTGTTATATATCATATTAGAGAAGAAGACTTTTGAAATAGAAAATGCAAAGAAATGCATATAAACAAAATATAAATGATTTATAGCTTGGTTTATTCTTAATGCTTTTGAAAATATTTTATATAAATGCTTTGATTATAAAAAGAAGAATTTTAATATATTTATATATATATATATATATATATATATATATATTTAAGCTGTATTTATATGCATATATATGCGTATAGAACCAATGTAATATGACATATATCAACTTTTTTATACTAGCCACATAAAACTACTATCTAGCCATGAAGAGAATAAATGAAATTGGTGTTGAAAACACTTTCGATTAAATTTAGAAATACCAATCCGATTACGTAACTTGCGTAATATGATGGAATAGAACTTTTTTTATATTATATTCATAGATACTTAATATTGCTTAAGAGTGAAAAAAATAGAAAAATGTTCAAGTGACTCCAAACGCCATGAGTCTTTTCCTGGCCTTATTTTAGCATTACTCTCTAACTGGGCACAACTTCCGCTTTTACAAATCGATATATTTACATTACGATTTACAATTTTTTACTCTCTGCATTTTTTGCTGCATAAACCTTTTAAAGCAACAAAAATGTCGAACGGAGATGGAAATCATCCTGGTGTAGAAATCCTGGAAAATAAAAACCAATTAAAGAATGGAGAAACTCTTTTTGGGGAAGAATCCCTGCAGAACGCACCGTTTAAAGAACCGAGACTCTTCAAGAGAGCTAAGAGAGTCATGTCTGCACCGCAAAAAGAAGATAAACAAGCGTTGAATTTGAAGCGAATGCCGTTTTCAAAGAATAGCAAGAAGTCCAGAACTGGAAGACGGGGTTTGCCAAAGAAAGGTCATTGTCCCAGAAGTGGGTCAACTATGGTGAATTCCTTGTAGAGTATCAAACACACGTCAATTTAGAATTATTGTTCTACGCGGTAAAGAATAGAGAAATAATATTTTAGGTTAAAATTTAGCATTTATGAAAATAACAATAGATTTAGAATAATTGATAGGTATAATTGAATTCGCAGAAAGTCGTCTAGTCGAATTGCGTCTAACTTAAAAAAACAGAAAAGTAGGTTAAACTAAAAATGTTTTTTATTTATTTATATTTTTTTTTAGTTGGTAGCAAAAAATAGTTTTTTAAGCGTAACGTTAAAATTTTTATTTTAAAAAACAACATAAATAGTCTTTATTTATATCAACCGAATTCTATTTTAGATAAAAGATATCATATCTATAAAAAATATTCTTATCTTGTAACGTGCTAAATTTTGTCTTTGTACATATAACGGGCTTCCCTTTACTAATACTTTCTCCTTCCTCTCTGTCAATTAGGCTATATAGATATACGTATTTCTTTTGAATTTATGTACAGTATGTACAGTAGTTGACGCATATCTTATGTAGGGTGAGTAGTGGTTTTTATATGCTTTTGTCCTATTTTTTCTTAGAAAGGGCGTAAATTATGAAATAGCTTTTTTGCTTTAAAAGTTGATATTTTGTAACTAGTATTCGAGACTGTTAGCTAGCCTCTCCCTCTCTCTCTCTCACTCTTGACTCTGCGAAAATATTGGAAATGCCAACAAAAACTATATACCTTACAAATATCCGGTTAGGGAAAAAGCACTTAGGCCACGAAACTTGTTTTTTTTTTTCTTAAACCTTGAAAATAGAGATTGTTTTATTGTGTTAATATTGTTTTTTTGATATAGGTTTGAGAAAATAGCATATGATCAATTCTGATCTAATCATTAAAATATTCGTGTTAATAGTTTGTGACCTATTTTTTTTGCGTTTTGAGCCTAACCCTTTAGATTCCTTGATCTAAGGTGACTACAATTTGCAAATACCAATACTTCTCTTTTCCTTCCTCCACACACACTCTCTCTCTTTCTCTTGCTGTCTTTTTATTTAATTACTTTGTTTGATAAAGATATATATCATCTACTTAAGTCTATATTAGGATTTAGATAATACTATTAAAACAGAGAGTATAGGAATCACAATAATAGTAAATGAAATGAAAAGTTGTTCCTCTTTTTTAATTAACCTTTGTTGTTTTCCTTTATCTAAACATAATATACACTTCTTAATTCTTATTATTAGGTGGCGGCGGCGGCAAAGGAATCTGGGGTCTTCCAGGTGCTGAAATAACTGAAGAAGAAAATACCGAAGATAAATGCGATCCTAATTACGATTCGGATTCCGCAACCGAAGGTGTTCGCTTGGTATCCGTTTCCCCTCCTCTCTTGACAAATGTTAACGAAATCAGGTCTGCAGTTGAGAATCTTTTAAAAGAATTTTTCGAACATGGCGATACTAATGAAACTATTGAATGCTTGGACGAATTGAACATTTCGCTGGGTCTTAGATATAAGATTATTGTTATTGCCGTTTCATTGGCAATTGATCGTCATGACCCTCAAAGGGAAATGACATCACGCCTCATCGCCGATTTATCGATGTCGATGCTGGTTGAAGAAGATATTCAAAAAGCTTTTGACGAGCTTTTATCGGTCGTCCCTGATCTAGCGATCGATGTCCCAGAGGCTGCCAGTATGCTCGGAAGATTTATGGCAAGAGCGGTAGCTGACGACTGTCTTCCACCTGCTTTTATGAAACAGTACAAGGTATTGAATACGAATAATTGATATTATCGACTTTATTCTTATTAGGCCTTAATATGGCGTCGTTAATTGTTTCTATTCTTTTCTTTGTGTATAGGGAAGATCAGAAAGCTCTCAAGCAGCTGATTCTCTAAGTAAATCTGAAGTTCTACTTAATATGAAACACGGTATTGTTCGTTTGGATAACGTTTGGGGGGTTGGAGGTGGAACAAGGCCAGTTAAAGCTTTAAAGAAGCGCATAGCGCTACTGCTCACCGAATTCCTTTCTTCAGAAGATGTCGACGAAGCGACAAGATGCTTAAAAGAATTGGACGTTCCTCATTTCCACCACGAACTTGTTTATGACGCCGTTGTTATGTCAATTGAAAAGTCAACCGAGCGTGCAGCTCAGCTAATATGCAACCTTTTGAAGAGTTTATGTGAGACAATTGTCATCACCCAGGACCAAATGGAGCAGGGTATGAAACGAGTTTTTGAGGAGATGTGTGAAATATGTATTGATGTTCCGGCTGCTTACGTTCTACTTGAACATTTGGCGAACAAAATGAAGAGTAGCGGAATTCTGTCGGACAGACTATATCAAGAACTACCGTCGAGGTAAGCTTAAAAAGAAAAATAACAAAACGGATATTTAATCAGTTATCTTTGAAAGCAAAAGTAATCTAATAGTCGTTTTTCATTTCACTTTGAACAGAGGACGAAAGCGTTTCGTATCAGAAGGTGATGGAGGCCTTATCAAGTCGTAAAAATAATCCGAGTGAACGAAAACACTTGAGTTTGTAGTTTTAACTGTAAAATTTTGCGAATTGCTAGACATGGTGAAAAACTTAAAAAAGCCAAGAAAAAAAGAAAATACCTCAACGTAAAAATGAAAAAAAATAACAGAACTGTGTGTTTGCTTATATATATATATACAGTATACATAGATATATTCAAGTATATGTATTGAAGAAAAAAACACATACATACGTAACTTTTGTTTCTGTTTGTTTTTTTAAATAAAGACAAAGCAAACGTTCTACGTTTCCTCTTCGAATTTTCCAGAGTCCCTTAGCCATTGTATTATACGCCATCGACTCGCCGAAGATTCTTCAACATCCATCGACGACTGACATTGAATTTTTTTGAGATTTTCAACGCTTAATTTCAGATTTCGTTCCTGTTTTCTGCCGAAAGCACTCTTTACTTGAAAAGGAGAAGAGAAACTTTTATCTTGCCTACTGCAAAAGTATTTCAATTTCATACGAGCCATATCATAATTTTCTTTAGCTTCGTTGAATGCAGTTTGTACCCTACAAGGTGTATTTCTCGACGAAGTTAATTGAGTAGTCGGGGAACCGAGAGAAGGCAAATATAAACTTTTAATAGCTATTGTAATATAGATACGAAAAAGTGAAAAGATACTAGAGGGAGCTCTTGTATTTCTTTAATTTGTCATCAAGTATAATTAATTAAATGTATATTCTAAAGAGTGTGAGTATATTTAAGAGAAACGTCGGTAGCGATTAGAGATTCTCGCCGTCTCTATACAGTATATACTGTATATATTTTGTTCTATTTCATCTTTATACATTAAATAAATTGTTTCTTTATCCTTTAAATTTAGAAAAGTATCATAAAAAGAAAGTAGTTTACGAAAGATATACAAAGTAACAAAGAGAGAAAGAATGAAAAGTAACAGGAAGATTTGGAGAGACACTCGTGTTGATTGTTTTTACTAGTTGTAGGCTTAACTTACTGCAATTTTACATACATTATATACTGTCTATATGTATATATACAAGACAGCACTCTTCTCTTGTTTCCCCCCTACTGGTATTTTGTAATATTCCGGTTCCTCTGATAACGGGTAGTGGTGGAGCAGGACTCGACAATATCTTTTCAATCTTCGAACTCTTTTTCCTTTTTGAACTTAATGAGAAAAAGTCTGTAGATTGACGATTCAATGCTCGTATCCTGAACTTTTGATATGGCGAAACATTCGACATAATTACTAGTCTGACCAGGTAAAGTATATTCTAGCGGAAGAAGAGAAAAAAGTAAAATCTTGAAGCAATCTAGTTATATTGCCCATAAATTATAAATACAGTATATTATTCGACAAATCGAAGCCGGATTAGCGATTATATAAATAGTATTAAGAGTAAATATGACAATTATATACTGTGGCTAAGCCACTTTATGATAAGTTGTAGACTCTTGAAAGAGTAGTTAATTGACAAGGAAACAATAGAAATGATTAAGCCTATAATTTCTATTTTACTTAATTCTCTCCTCTAAGATCTTCTGAGACGGCTTTCTCCTTTTTAGTTTTCTAATTTTCTCTTCAGAAGTAACAACAACAACAACACAACAACGACGGTGACGTCGACCTTGCCAATAATAATATCGAAGAGAAAGGATCGGTTACAAAGTACTTTCTACATTTTCCCTTCATTTAATATACTTAATTTATCTCGTAAAATAGAGTAGGTTTATGATATTCTTAGCCTTTCTCTTCTTCCTCTTCTTCCGCATCTTTTCTTGCGTTATTTTTAAAAGTTTACAGCGAAGAGAGGTGAAATAAAAACAAGATTAATTATATATTCGCTTCCTCTCTATCTCTCTTATCTATCATCCATCTTTCTATCATATCTGGCTGTAGTAATAATTAATGCAGTAGGCTTAATTAAATGAATATCACTGTATTTTTTAAGAGAAAAGTCGATAAACTCATCACTGTGGGACATATTAAATAACAGTCAATTTTCCCTCGTTTTCGTATCAAAAATTAAGAGATAAAGAAAGAAAGAAAGAAAGAAAGAAAGAAAGAAGGAATGAATGAATTAGTGAGTGACTGAGCGAATGAAAAAACTAGAGAAGTAAGCAAGTGATTGAATGATTAAATAAAATTAATTAATCAATCAATTAATCAATTAATTGATTAAATAGTTAAATAAATAAAAACATAGTAAATCCCTAATAACAGTGTCTGTTTAGATTTTTAAGCGTTGCAATGTTGTTGTCTGTAGGATATAAAGACGAATAACATTTAAATTACATAGGACGAAACGGCATAAATGAGACAATTTGTCTTAAAATACAGTATACAATACATTGGCACATATGTAAAAGGTATATACGTATATTGTATACTGCAATGCTATTAATAATAATAGTATGGTAAGAGTCTGTATTTCTATTCAAATTATACAATTGTTCCACTTAGGGGAGCATCTTCTACTTGATCGTGATCTTCTATTTTTATATGAAAAGCCGTCGTTGGCATTAGCTCTTTCTCAGCTCCAGGAGGCTCTTGTCTTTTCATCTCTTTTATCTTTCTTTCGTCGATCAACGGCGAAGCTTGAGGAGAAAGGGAACTTGGCTTGATTAGATATATAATGTCGTCTTCGATCAACTCCAGATCATATTCTGGATTGATAATAACGTACGATGTAGTGTTTCGTCTAGGGTTCATATGAGTGTAAGCGTCGGGTGACATATCCAGCGACAGCATTCTACTCTGAACCATCTGGATGATTTCCTGATGCTCTATAGCGGCTTCGTCGTGTATTTGAGAGGTAGAATAGCGCGATGAGGACGATTTAGATTTTCGACTCCTTCTAAACGAATTTCTAAATCTCCAGGTAGGTGGGCTAGAAACTTCCGGATCTCTTTTTTCCAGTTTTTGAGTTCTATATATACCAATGGGTATTTCGCAGGTTGTAGAGCAGAGACGCTGATATAATCTTCCATAGGTCTTCAACCATAGGTCTTCCGGTTTTATTCTCATCTAAAATTTAAAATCGATTAGAGGACGACCAGTTAAGTTGATTAGAAAAAGAGTTCGTACAACTGAATACTTGATTCTCGTAGTATTTATACTATTAACAATCTACTTACGCTGCTTAGATGTCCAGATCCAACGGCTTGATCGATTCCTAGCAGCAGTCTTATGAAGGTAATAAGGTAGGATTTAACGAATGCCTGATAGAGTAATCCATCTAGCATGCTAGCGCTAAAGACGTTTCCTGCCGCAAAAGGCAACCTAAACATATAGTATAGGTGAGAACCTCTTTCTTTTTCCTTCTTTTCCATTTTCGATACTCTTAGCGAGAATGAATCTTTGGCTCTAAACTGCATAAATCTCATATTGTTGGCGTGGCATAATTCGGTAATAATATTAGCTTTTGGAAAGAGTCTGTGCATAGTCTGCACAGCCACAATCGTATTGCAGTCACTTAGCGTATCCTCATCCTGCGCGTTGGAACTCTCTTTACTGGAGACAATAACGTTATTGGCAAGATTAATGCCGGATTTTAGTAAATTATCTAGATTATCCATCGAGCCCATGATCCAATAAACCATTGGTAAGTAGCAAATAGTATCTAAAAACTTTGGATCGGGTTTTTTCTCAAGGAGTAGGACAATTGGATTTAAAGACTTTTTAGGTCTGGCGTGAGATCTTAGGGGTATAATAAAATTATATAAGCCATTACTGGCGTAATCGGCAATAACTATGACGGCGCCGTTTGTCCATTGGTAATCCGTTGCCGTCTTATAGGAGCAATGCGAGCAGGCCGAAGTTAGCTGAAGGCAGCAAAGTGGACGTTTATTTCTCATTAAATGGCACAGCGTTGGACTTGTTCCGATATACGGCGTTACCGGTGGGAAACCTATTGAAAAGTAAGGAAACATTGATGAATTAATGGTTATTGGAATTTTTTCCCCTTCTAATTAATACCTTTTACGTAATTATCGTCGTCGTCGTCACTAGACTCTTCGCTCGTTTGAGCACCTTCATTTTCTCTACACTCTTGTTCGCAAATTGGTGGAATAGTGGCGATACTCGGCTTTCTCTTCATGGCTTCGGTAGGAACATTTAAAAAGTCTTTACGAACTTCGGCTTGAGCTAAAGAACGATTAAAGTTGATTTCATTAAAGAGAAATTCGATAAAATTGAAGAAGAAGAAGAAGAAGAGGAAGAGGAGTAACAGGAGGTTGAGGAGGAGGAAGAGAATTTAATTTAAATAGCTAATAGAGAAGCATGCATTAATGTTTAAGGAATACAGCATTCAATCATTAGTTAAAAGTAAAGGAAAGATAAGATAAAAGTGAATATACAGTAAATATATAATATAGATACTGTATATACTGAATAGTAAGAAGATGCTTGAAATTTTAATCCATTACCTGAACTGGGACTATCTGTAAAGAGAAAAGAAGTATATTTAAAAAAATAGTGTCATCTTTTTAAGAGAGAAGAAAGGCGTAGGGGAAAAAAAAGAAAGTACAAAATAAAGATGAATATATATACAAGTATGCATATCATTCTCATACTTAATAAATACATCAACCGTCCATAATCTCAACTCTATTTCTTTTTATATCTCTTTTTATCTAGTTAAATCTCTTCTTTTTAGACGAAAAGATTAGATTTAATCCGTAAAAAGATGTCTCGATTGCGGATGGTTTAAAAATTCGTGTATGAAAAAGTGAATGTTGTAAAGAAATATCCATAAAAAAGAATCTTCTAAAGCAATAATAAAGGGAATAAACAAAATTAAAAACAATAATGTTTACAACGTGATTGACAGACAGACAAACAAACAAACAAACAAACAAATAAATAAATCAATAATTATTAAATGTTTCTTTAAACAAAGATATAAATAAAATAAAGGAAAAATATATAGAACTGTGCTTTATATTTGTGCGATAAGTTTTGTTAATTGCTTTACTTTAATTAATTAATTAATTTATTTATTTATTAATTTATTACTACTTTTTTTTTATTGTTATTATTAATACTATTTTGCTTTTTTTTCTCTTTTTTTTTGACAATTTTCTAAGAAGAAAAAACACCTACGATCTCGCCTCTTTAATATTCTGCTAAATGTAGGCCTACTACTTGATCTCTTTACCGCTAAGGCAACGGCGCCTGAAAATATTATATATATATACTGTATACATATTATATATATATATATATAAACTTTATATATATATAGATATATAGATATATGATAAAAAAATAGGCCCATAAAAGAAAGAAACATATTAAAATTATTACTTTTCTTTCGGTTGAAAACAAAAGAAAGAGAAGAAATAGCATTACTAATAATAAAGGAAACTTTTCTCCTTCCCTAACAATTATCTTGGTAACAACTTTTGAATTAGAGTTATAGTTAATTTCCTGTTAATTAATTAACTATATAGAAATATATAGAAATTCTATGGAAGATTAAGGAATGTAGAGGAGAGAGAGAGAAAGGAAAAGTAAAGAGAAAATTTTGATGACGAATGACAAGTTATATATACATAATAGACAGTATACACTACAGTCTTATTGAATGTATGATATTTTCAACCGAAAGAAATACAGAAGTGATAGAGATAGAGAGAGAGAGAGAGAGAGAGAGAGAAAGAGAGAAAGAGAGAGAGAGAGAAGGAAAGAAAGAAAGAAGGAAAGAGTGAGGAGAAAAGTAGGAAAAAAAGGAATATTATTAAAATTTGTATACATGTACTTATATATTAGTATATCTATATATATATTTACATGTATACTATTTATAACTAATATATTATTATTAGTAGTACTAATAGTAGTAAAAACAGTAATCATACCAATGTTTGCTACGTTTGAAGCTGCTCTATTCGTAGAAGTTAATTTCTCCTGATTTTGATTTGATTGAACGAATGTATTTTCTTCCTTTGTTATGCTCATATAAAATAACAAATCCGTCTTTTTCATTAGATGTCTAGGTCCCGGATTTAATTGGATGGTAGAACCGGAAATATCTTGTTGCTTAATTCCAACCAATGCAACACCGTATTTCCTATGAGCGTGAAATGAGGCATAATTAAAACTCTTTCCTTCGTATTCTTCGAAAAATTTCGATTTTCCCAAGACAATCTGATAGATTTCATTTCCGGAACATCTACCGTACAATCTCATCCAATTTTCATTCGAACTCTGCCCTTCAGCTCCTCGCGACGTATGTAAAAGAAGGGTAACGAGCGTCGAAGTACCGGGACAGAGACAATTATTAGCTAATAAGGCATATTTGAATTCATCCTCACAAACAACGTGTTCGGCAAATTTAACGTGAATCTTATTCTCGGGTCTGAACATTTGAACGTACTGTGGAACGTATGGAGCGAAATCCTTTACAGCCCAAGACCTATAAAGACATAAAAGGAACGAAATGGAAATCGTATAAAAACGAGTAACGCGGGAAAAATAGAAAGAAAAGGGAAAAGCGAAAATATAAAGAACTGATTAGCGTAAATTAATCCTACATTGTAATTAATTATTGATAAAATACGTTCCGTTACGATGAATATACTATATTTTCTATATATAAATATATAGTTTTCTGTATGCAATGGTGTATTGTACTGATTATATTCCTAATTTACTATTATAATGGTTAGCGCCTCTTTCTATCATCTTTGTGCGCTTTCCTTCGCCCCCCCCCCTCCCCTACCCTTCCTCTCCTTCCCCGCCTCACACTCTTCTTTACTCTGCCTTCGTATCTCACTAACACATGCATCATCTATTTTACTGTGAATATACATCTTGGAAAAGATATATATTAATACTTATAGATCTTCTTTTTCCTCCTTTTAACATTACCCCTTTACGCTTAAACTCTTATTATGCCACCTTACCAGCCTATAATAGTAAGCCAACCGGAAAATTTGTGATTAATTACGCCTAAGATCCCTTTCTCCCTTCAACTCTCCCTCCCTCATTCAATACTAGAATTTTGCTGTTAGATGTATCATTGCCCTATTATACTTAAAGGGGCCATTTTGTAATCAAACTAATGGGTTAATTTATACCTGAGAATTGTATGCTGATCGGCAGCCGTTCTATCAGTAATATTTCTTTCGGCAATGACAAAACAGGCTTCGGCTTCCTGCATTCGACACCTATTTAAATCTGAATCCTTCAGGGCAGATCCTTGTATATAGATTACTCTAGCCGCCCATATGGGAACTTGAAGTATCATTTTCATTGTAGCATCCAATTCGCAAGGAGATAATAAGACAACGTAGTAATGCTGCAGTTTAGGGTGAGCGTAAAATTCGTTGAGAAAATCCATAATTACATCGGCGTGTAAGGTTGTCGTACAAAGAACAACGTGCTTTTCATTTTGAGCTCTGTGACTACTATACGTTCCTCCTTGCTTCTGGCGTTCAATCCAAGTAAATGCCAATTGCTCGACTTGCGTCGGAAGTACAATAAGAGCAGCGATAATAACCAACATCATAAATACTTTACTTGGCCATATATCAGGAACGACGTCACCATATCCAACAGTAGAAAAAGTTACAATAACATACCAGACGCAGTCTATAAGATCCATCTGACGATTACCAGCCCTTTGTAGGTGTTGGATGCCGCAAATACTAATTAAAATAAGAGAAAAACCAACTGTATTTCATAAATAATACACGAAAGATAGGAGGCAAAGTGAATTGAATTACGTAATGATGAACTAATTAGAAAAGACAAATCTGTTCCTCTCAACAACTCCTTTTAATGTTACTTAATAAGAAAGAACGAAAAGTGTTCGCTTAGGCAATTTAATTATGTTTAAATATATACTGTATATACAGCATTAATTTTTAGACGCCTATTCCCATTTCCTTACTTCTCGTCCGTAAATTGTTTACCAAGTAAATAGTTGTAATATGGATAAATATAGAATATACATAGTTTATAAACCCTACTTGTGTCCCCTATACTACCCTCTATAATAATCTATCTCTCTATCTCTCTATCTATCTATCTGTCTGTCTGTCTGTCTATGTTTCTCTCACGCTCAATATACTATTATAAAATACACGAAAGATATTGATAGTAAATTATCATTCTTCTCCGCTCCTCTTCTCCTATCTTAATATTCTATTTAATCAGATATGATCGTATCTGGAAAACGGTGCGAGTAAAACATCATTTAATACTATTTCTTCAATATTTTCAAACTTCGTCATTTACTTGATAAGTTAATATTTCTTCTTTTTTTATAGAATAGAGAAAAACTTGTCCAATCTTCTGTTGTCGATTAATTAGCTTCGTACGATTTCTATAAATAGGAAGAAGACTGAAAATGTTGAACCTCTCCTTACCCCTCCCCTTTCCTAAGGCCTTTTTTTTATCAGCAACAGAAAAGTGTCAAATCCTGTATAGGAAATGAGAGAGAAAGAGAGAGAAAGAATGAGTAGGAAAAAAGCTTAAATCTCTCTCTCCTCTCTCCGTCTTCTCATAAATAATAAAAAAATAAAAAAAGCTTGATAACTATATAAGTAAATATATGAATTATTAACCTTTTTGTTCCGTTTCTATTAACTATTTAGTATATGATATACAATGAGGTTGATATATACTGCAGTCTAGTTTAATCTTTACAGTACCCTACTGCAAAATATTTTGTTTTAGATTATTCTTTAAAGAGAAAAGTCTGTAGATTAGGTAAAGTAATCATTCTTTTGCCTTTTCTACTTCAAAGTATTGCTGGAAAAGTCGAACTGGGGCTCGTTTAAAAAATATCAATCAAAATGAAACAGCTTGAAGCAATTGCTGTATAAAGTAACGTAGTAACGTGCTTTCTCAGGCTCATCAGTCAGAGAGAGAGAGAGAGAGAGAGAGAGAGAGAGACAGAGAGAGAGAATGGATAAAAAAAAGAAAGAAAGAAGAAACACTCTACATATTCTGCAGTTTTAAATAAATGTAGAAAGAGAGAAGAATAGAAATCGCTTAACACTCTTGCATTAGCTTTTTAACATAAAGAGGAACAGTATAAATAATACATGTTTTGTCGTGTATAAAAGATAACGGACTTTTTTTTTATAAAAACAAAAGATTAGCTAAAAGTTAAACCAGGATAAAATTCCCGTAGTAGGAAATATCCTGTTTTCTTTTAAAGTTTCTTTGCATGTAAAAAACATAAAGGATAAAAAAAGGAGTAAGAAGTAAAGCCTTATTTTCTTTTTAACAATTTTCTAGCAAGGTAAACGGCTTTAGATAAATAAAACGAGGAGAAATAAAGATAAAGAGAAAGAGACAGAGAGAAAGGGAATGGAATGAATTGAAGAAATAGTCTGCCAATTCGTTATTATAAACTTGTAAACTGGTAAACAACTATCTTACTCTAAAAGCGTGCATAAATTTAGTCAATTAGAATTACCTAGTGAAAAAAAGGCAGAGAAAAGTAGCTATTAGGATCATCATGTGATGCGAGAGAGCAGACTGAGACTTGAGCATGGCTCTATGTAAATCGTTCTGTGAGGAAAAGTCAATCAGTTAAGCAATACGTGTTTCGTTAATAACAAAGCAAAGATCTTATCATTTATATTGTTAGTGTGAAAAGCTAAAACAAAACAATAAACTCAACACACACACACACATTACGCTATACACAGTGTGTTCTGTATACATGCATATATTAATATAGCACGTTATCTACTAAATATGTTAATTAGTTAATTAACTAATTAATTAATTAAGCATTTAATAAAATAATAAGAGTAATCAATTGAAAAGATGTAATGGAACAAGAGTGATGCTGATTCTGCAAAGAAATCTCACCCGGTAAAGAAGAAACAAATATTCATGACGACAAGCAAGACAATTTTGTACATAAGCGAATCATGCATCAAACTCGAGCTAAGGCTTTTCTGGATAAGAAAAAAATATATACATTTATATAAATTTTTCACTTTGTCTCGCAGCTAAAGAGAGACTGAAACAGAACGAGATCAGACAGAAAAAGATAGACCTAGCCAACAGACGACTAAATGAAAAGGAACTATGGAATGGGTTAGTACAGTAGTTTGTCAGAAGAATTTGATGAATAGAAAACAAAAATACTTACAAACATACTTTCCAAAGCAGCTTTAGCCAACCAACAGTTTAAGAAGACGGGAACAAACAAGTTTCGTATTGGAAAGTAGAAAATCTGAGTTGATGCATCAATTTTATAAAGGCGATATATACTGTATTATATACTGCATATATAAATATACTAATATATCTATATATAATATAGTGTGGATTAATTGAACAAATGAACGAAATAATAAATAAATGAATAAAAAGATGAATAGGTTAATGAATAATTTAACGCTTACCGTAATAATAAAAGGTACTGTATTAACTATTTCGAGAAAGAATACTGGACTTAAAATTTGCTGGATGATGTTGCCTTTATAGCCAAGGTAAGTCAAGAGTAACTGTTCCGCTAGACTAATTATAGCAACAGTCACTTGTATAGCCCAAAGCCATTGATTTCTATTCACCCACAACAGTAATTTCCAATCGATAGTTTGATTTTGTCTAAATAATTCGGCTGGCATTTCGGATTTTGTAAAATTCCAACAGGTTTCCGATTGAAATGGTACTGGATAGCATTCAATAGTTTTTGGATTATCCATACTAACCCTTACTATGTATAATACGCATGATAACAATTTTATAAATAGATTAAACAATCTTATTCTTAGGCTTGATCTTTGATTTTTTATAAAATATACTTGGAGTCTTTCCTTGAATGATTTTTCATTCGTAAAGAATTCCACTCGCACCCTGTTCAAAGGAAAAAAGAAAGAGACAGATAATGAAAATTATCAGTTAACAAGTAAATCAATATTCCATGTATATGATAATATAAGGCGCAAACAATGTATCTGACAAAGAGCGGACAGAGAAAGGAAAGATGGAATAAAGAAATGGCAGACAAATCGTTTCAATGAAGTGAATTGGCTTGAATACAATATACAGTATACTAATATACATATATATATATATATATTGTATATCTATGCGAATGCTTACTTTCATTCTATTTTTCTTATTTAACACTTTTATCCTTTTCTTTGTTTATTGCCTCTTAATAAAAGAGTTTATTCAAATAGAACAGAAAAGAGACGCTGCTTCTCTTTTCATTACTTTCTACTTTTTATTTGTATTATGTTTCCTAGAAAGTTATTAATTGACTTGGTTGGTATTACTGAAGGCGGTGGACATAACAAGTGAAGCTATAATGAATTGGCGAAAATGAGCGGTGGCTACGAAGGAGAATGATATACTGTATAATATATATATGCATGTATGTATGCACACGTGTGTACAGATATAGATATCAACGCAGAAAAGGAAAAGGGAGGAAGAGGGAGAAGAGAATGTCTATAAACATAGAAATATCTCTTTTTCTCCTCTTTCTTTCATCAATTCACTCGCGTATTTTTGTATATCAATCCACTTTTCTGTCTAACTATTCGTCTAACTAACTCTAAGGATTGATCAATGGACTGTCTTTTTCCTTTCAGGTGTTCTTTCTGGAAGGAAAATTAATGGAGGTGATTAAAACGAGTCAACTACACAAGAGGGAGACTATCTGAGATTATACACGACATGAAAATCATTATTTACATACGATACCGTAGTAAGAGAGAGAGAGGAAAGGGGGGAAGTGGAGACGTAAAGAAGGAGAAGGGGATGAGGATAAATGGAATAATGTTGAAATTTGTTTAAAAAGAATTTTTTAAGAGTATACGAGTAAAAATTATGGAAAATCAATTTTTTCCAGTCTCGTCTAGTTACTTTGTGTCTCTCATAGGTCAATAAAAATTACGGCTTGTGTTTGGGGGAAACGAATACAAAAGACAAAATAAACTTTTAATAAATACTTATCATCATCAAACAAAACTACGCTTTGCAATTGTAATAATCAATTTTCTCCTAACGGTAAATATCTATAGGCAAAGGGGTTATAAGCAAACTTTTGCCTCTTATCTCTTATTTCTCTCATTGCTCAGTCTTAGTTTTTTGGGAAGATTTCCCCAATCCCTGCTTAATAAGTATCAACGAAAATAGTCAGTCCGATAAAGAAACTCAAGCGAGTTGGGAAAGAAGTAGGACTAATAGAAAGTTATAAAGGACTTAATGAATAAACCAGCAAGAAGGGAATCTCGTAATGGACTTGGGCTATTCTTTTCTTCTGCCTCCATCAGTCTCCTTTATTGTTTCTGCTTCTCCTTTCTTTTCCTCTTTTCGCATTCAGTCTTTTCGCATTCAGGTGAAAATTTTCAACGTTTGTTACCGATATGAGGTGAATAATGAATGCATTTATCAACTTCCTATACGGATTCGTTTGCAACACAAGCGCCTTAGTGAAAAATCGATAAAATACAATAATTCTACTACATAAATATAAAGGAAGGGGAAGGGAGGAGGAGACCTAGAAGGGACGATATGGTCAGCGAAGGAGAAATATTCCATTCATAGAGAGAGAGAAAGAGATAGATAGGGAGAGACAGAAAGACAAAGAAACCAGAGGGAGAAGGGGCAATAGAGAGCAATATAGAAGTAAAAACGTCTCTTTTTTAGTTGTCAGTAAACGCCTGAAGGAAAATTCATTAGGTGTTACAAAAAGAAGAATATATGTAAATTTAATGGAAAAGGATAGAATGTATATAGTATGACTGTCTACTTTGTATAAATGTAAAGCATATACAGTATATGCTGAGTAGTATTATGTAAAATTATAACAATAGATGTAAAGCATTGGCATTTTCAAATATATAATTATAGTTAAAAAAAATTTGATGAACTGCTAGAAATAACGCTGTCTATACTCGATATTTTGTTCTATTAGAATAGTCTATAGCTATTTATCCTATCAATCTATCCATCTCCATCATCTTTAGCCTAGTGACTATTCTTTTTTTCTTTTCCCCAACATTCTTCGTATTCTTTCTCCGTCTTTATTGTTTTTGTATTTCTTATTATATCTTCCTCTGTCTGCCTATCTGTCTGTGTCTGCCTGTCTATCTATCTTTCTCTTTCTCTCTCTCTCTCTCTCTCTCTCCCTTTCTACCATTTGATTTCTAGTGATTTATAGAAAGTCAGTGAAATTTAACGAGTAGAGAACGTGATCCGATAAACCATAAATTTGAATAAATCAACCGTTTCAATTATGTAAATGCAATCGTTATGAGATAGGAAGCTGCCATTCCTTCCAGTATAGACGCCTTAAAAGGGAACTTTCTTTTATTCTTTTCCCTTTATACAGGAAAACGTCTTGTTACTTTTTCATTTCTTTGATATATTCATAAAGTTGATTTGTTAGAAAGTGAAACTTTTTAGATATAATGTATCTACTTCATATAATATGGACATAGAAACTGCATAGGAGCTGAAAATTTAAGGTATCTCTTTCCGATATAAAATCGGAAAATGTATAATCCTACACGGAAAATTCATCGATATTATCGATTATCTTGTCCTATACATGTTTTCAACACTAGCCGGTCGGCTTGTGTTTTGTATTACTATGTACTTGTGTTTTTTTGTATACTATAGAAGAAAAATTTAGTAGCAGTCGGAAATTTTCAAGAAAACTCAACCTCCCTTGTCTGTCGTCTCTTTATTACATTACTAGAGAATCGTAAAGTGATATATGTTCTTTAGTAGTTTGTTATAAAAGACATCAAAGTAAACTGCTTAATAGAACTTGGATAGGAAATTAAACTAGACGCTCATTTTTAAACATTAATAAGAAAGTTTGAATAAATTAAAAGGTCATATCTGGTCTATACAAATCTATATGGCGTATATTTACAGCACAATTCCATTAGTCTATTCTCAAAACAGTTGTATTTCTCTCTTTTTCCCCTTATTCTTCTCTGTAATCCTTTCTTATATACTTGTTAAAATATTAATTTATACATTCAGCCTAGCTTAGTAAATTACAAAGTCTTCTCTTCCCTATCAGAGAAATAATGGACAAGTGTAGAATATCCTGTTATCTATGTATTTTTTAAATGAACTATATACTAATATACATATATATATATATACATATATATATATATAGTCTGCATTATAAACCTTTATTATTACCATTACTACTACTACCACTATTAGGGGTATTGTTACTACTGTAAATGGACAGAATCTATCAGATATCGCCTTTTCTTTCGCATTTTTCTTGTTAAAAGCGCTTTGCAGTAACCATTTATTTAGTCCATCTACTTTATCTATTCTATACATCATGTACTATATATGTGCATACTAAATCCTTTTCTATTAGGATATCTATGATAAATTCTATGCATACAATTATGGATTTTATACATATCATGTTTATTTATATAGCCACCTAGATAATGAATCGCATAATATGGAAAAGCGTATATATATATATATACATTTGTTACCGATATTGCAATTAGTAGTAACACTTGAATATCAAAGAGATCGGGTCAATGAGTCGGTCGGGAAAAGAACACAACAACATAGACCTAAACGTTAATTTATAGACCAACATCGTTGTCTTAACATACAGTCGATCTGTTTTTGTAGGTGAAAAGAAATAGTCAGAATATCTTAGATACTAGACAAAAAAAGATGAACAAACTCTCTTATCCTCTAACAGAAAGAAATTGAACTATTTCTCTTTTAATAGATGTTAAACATTTGGTTTAAACTACTAACTTTTCTTCGCTGGGAAATCGAAAAAAACCTGGAATTTCTAAAAATCCTTTTCCATGCTTTTCGGTTAGTTTATGATGGAAGAAGGGAACGTTTTCCTCCCTCTCTTGCAATTCCATGGCATCTGACTAAGGATCTCCTAGAACTAACCATCTTTGGCGGCATCTACCGTCTAAAACAATAATTTCTAAACGAAGCCATCTAGTTTAAACTCGAATTGATTGTTTAGCCAAATGCTACATTCTGGGAATTTACTTAAAGAAGTTTTTCTTTTCTACGTCAGCATTTTGAAGCTTCAATTAATTGTCAAGTAGAAAAAACAACGTCAACCTGTTGACCAGCACTCAATCACGAAGACAATTAATTATTCACTACTATGCAGGGTTTTCCCCTTTCAACCCTCAGGTAACTGCTAAACTAGTTTGATTAAGTAATATTTATCCGTATTGTTAGCCTCTCATAGAGGGAGGAAAGGTCAAGGGTCGAAGCGTTTAGTGGAAACGCTATAAACGCTCGCGTCATTCATTCATTTGCATGGAATGAAGAAGTGTAATTTAAGAGCGTCTATTTTTCATTTAAACGTCTAAAGATTTCCCTATACATTTCTCTGTTCACTTTGAAAATTTTATCAACTTTCTCCTTCCTAGAGAATCCCCTTTCAACACCGCATAACAACGAGAAAATATATACCTTCTCCTAGGATTGTTTTCCCATTTGCTCTACTCTTATATAACGCCCCCTACCGGTAAATAATATTTTTTGATAAATGGGCTAAGTACAGATATAAAAAGCCTATAGTAATGATAGATTAATCAATACATAAGTGAAAAAGCTGGATTACAATAACATTCTTTTTTCTTTTTCATTCTCTTTTCTAGACTCTTTTCTTTTGATATTAAAAAATAAAATAGTGCTGGTCTATCCAATACGAATTAAACTGTTACGGACATTTTACACTTAAAACTAACGGTTTGTCCCAGAAAAAAGAGAGTAAGCAGAGATCGAAATGGAAGAATGGAGGAGGTTTTACAGTAATAGTAGTAATAGTACCACTACCACTACCACTACCAAAGGAGATACACATTGAGAGAGAGAGAGAGAGAGACAGAAATGGCCAACTGCCCCTACTAGATATTATATATGTTGGATGGAGAAAAAAAGATATTAAGTAGCTAAATTGCTATAAAACGAACCTTTCTCTATATTCTTCTGTATCCAATAAATGCTCCAATTCTCCCATATTTTCTATTCATCTATTCTCTTAATCTCAATGGGATGATGTGATTGTTTTTGTTTGGAAAATATAATTTTAGAAGACACTACTAACTGTTGTCTATAGAAGAAAGAAGGTGGCAGCACAACCACTCGACATACTCTCCCCCTCTCTCTCTCAGCAAACACATACACAACTCTTGCATAGAATGGTAGAGATCGATTTGGCCTAGATTTTGCAGTGTTTCCCGTAGCAATTTAACTATTATTATCACTTGAAATAATATATTTTCTTTAATATCGTTAGGTATTTTTTTAATACTTTTAATAATTTCCTTAGAATCAAAAGCTAAGATGTAAAAAAAATGTATTTCTCTTTCTCTCTCTCTCTTTCTTTCTTTCTCTCTCTTTCTTTCTTTCTTCTGTCTATCTATCTATCTATCTATCTATTACTCATTGGCCTATAATCTGCTCTTTTCTTGTCCATGTCTTTTTTTCTTTCTCAAACTCTTCATTTCTCTATTCCTTCTTTCCTCCTCCTCCTCCTCCTCCTTACTCTCTTTCTCTCTCGACTCTTTATAGCGACACTGTTCCAATAGGCCTATCGGTTTATGCCAAAATATATTAAGATGGAATACTTAACGAGTAGTTGTAAGTGCTTATTCTACAAACGGATAGGGTAATAAATGACACTGCAAAGACTCTTTTTTATGGAATATATACACACGGGTATTATTTACATAATAAGAACTAATCATAATTATCCTTATGATAATTGAATTTCATTGTTAGAATAGCATGAAAGAGATATACTGTCTGCTACATCTACGCTTTCTTTGCCTTTTTAATCTTTCATTTTCGTTTATTATTTATACAGTTCCCATATATGCTTGCTATACTACATTACTTTATATGAACACGTGCGTGTTAGGTACACTATAATTCATGTTTTGTTCATTATACTTGCTCCAATAAAAGCGAGTACGTTATCAAAAATTATTCATTATCAACAACATTAATGGCATTATTAATTATTGATTCTTTGTGAATAATAAACGAATTGGAGGCGAACCAATGTGAAATGGATAAAGTGTGAGAAATCCTTGAAAATACACTTTACTACTTCTCTTACTGTCGCCTTCAGGGAAGCTACCTAAAAATGAGATTGTATTGTTTACGGTAAACGCCACAACCTTTGCAATTGCTGTTGTCGTTGTTACAATGATGGTTTTTGTAAAGGAGAAGGGGAAGCTACCAATAGAAAAAAGGTTACCCGAAAGGGAATAAAGGAGAAGAAGAGAAAGAAGGAGATTGAAAACAATAAAGGAGAAAGTATTATTTAAGAGGATTTATTAAGATTATTGCGTTTGTTTCTATTTGTTTCCATTCCCTTTAATTGTTTCTGTACTAGTCTAATTAACTTAATACCGTCTTAAATCAAACAAACAATACCAATAACCCAGCTATTTATTGTTATTGTTATTGTTTTCGTCGTTACTTTTAATAATCAAAGTTGATTATCCGTATTCTAAGACAATTATGGAAGTAGAGAAGGACGAGTATGAGGAGAGTCAGAGAGAGAAGAAAAGCGAGACGGAAGAAAATATATACAAATTGATATATGTAATATTAAGATGGTCTCTGGTTAATTATCATGACAAACGTCTAACATTTCCCTCTGCAATATTGTCTAAAGTATTTGGTTTAAAACTTAAAAGTTGTCCTAATACTTTTGCTTTCTTATCACTTTTCAACTGTTTTAAACATTATACCCTTGCGGAAAGAAGAGTATTATAACAGATATATTCGACGCCGGCTGGATAATTAATAAAGATTCCTTCGGTTCTCCTTTGAACTACTATATTTCATCAAAGTAAAATAAACAAACCTCAATAGCTTACATAGTATTTTACACTTGAAAAAAAAAAAGAGAGAAACAACTCATCCTCTTATTTATTCATAAAAGTCAGTGATGAAAGCTAATAGAACCTTTATGAATTACCATGGCAACTAGTGAGTGAAAGTGGACAACAAATTTATTATCACGTTTTAAGCTTTGATGAGAGATATATATTTTTTTGAAGTATAAAATTTTTTAATCACCACGAAATTTCTTCTTATTCCTTTCTCTCTCTCTCTCTCTCTCTCTCTCTCAATACAGTACATATAAATCTATCTATCTTTCTCCACCCTTGTGTGTTTCTCATTGTTTGTGCTTGTTTTACCTTCTTTACCATTTTTTCTATTGTTTGTCTTCTCTCTTTCTCTTCCTCTTTCTCCCTCTCTCTCTCTCTCCCCCTCCCTCTTTCCCCCTTCACTATATACAGTATAAGTATACACACACGCATATATATATAGGCCAAGTATGAATTATTCAAGTTGTAAATTGTTCTATATGTTCAAATTCGTTCATGCTTAATAAATATATAATAATAAATATAAGTTTGTGAACAATCAGTAATTGTTAAGTATTGTCTATACTGTATTTATAACAAAAAAAGAGGAATTTATTCCCTTCACATACACACTCTTCTTCGTGCCTCTTTTCTTCATTCTGTCCATCTTTTCAGTGACGTACAGAAGAAGACAAAAAAATTGACGTTGCAGAGGAGAGACAATAGCGACAAAAAAAAGACTTGTTGTTAGGTCTGTAGATGTAAAAACTATTGTTCATGTCAACAAGACACTTTAATTAAGATTTTGCTATTTTTCATTATGAAAAGGGGAATTAATCATATAATCATATTTATTTACGTACACTTTAGTCGCTTCCATAATTAAGTATAAGCCTAGTATGCGATTGATTCAGTTTATTTTGACTTTTAAAGAATAGTCTTTCTAAAATTGAATAAACCATTAAGGTCAAACGATTATAATTGATCAACCTATCCAATTGGTAGGAGATATAGGTTGTGTGTTTTTTTTTAATATGGGTTGATAGGATTCCTATGGAGAAAGAGAAAGATGGAAAATGGGCTACTATTGCAAAAGAATTACATTTGAATTATTAACACTCTGGCAACAACCAAAGGCTCCCTGCTTTTAAAGCTTTTCCATTATACGTGCATGCAATTAATTATCAAGCTTAAAAGCTTGCAAAAGACTCAATAAAACAACTTTTTAAAAGATATATAAAGACCGTAATAGGAAATGAAAGTAACGCGAATAAGAAGAGAAAATTTTCTAATCACCTATCATCCAACTCTTCTTTTGGATTTTCTCCCCGGATTAAATCCCTGAATCTGTATCTTGGTGGCAATTCTAAGGCACTTTTCGGAGCTGTTTCATCCATTATCTTTTCTAATTTTCTCTGCAAATAAGCTTAGCTTGGTGGTAACTGACTGACAACTGCTCGTCCTATAAATTAGACTGGTTAATAGATTCAACAGGCAAACAGGTTGTATCCCACTCTATCTCTGTTTTTCTCTTCTTATCCTTCGTCTTGTAGTTTGTCTCTTTATATTTTCTCTCCCATTATTCAATCTATAAAAGTAAATTTCATCTAATAACTGTTTCAGTCAGAAATTTTTCAATCTTTATTATTCTATAAAGCAATTACAAAAGCGTATCCGATAATTCATATCAACAAAATTCCTTCTCATCCGGTAATAACATTCGTTCTAAATACACACGCTACCACTGCCACCTAGTGAAAAAATTCCTCCTCTGCTCTCTGTCTCTCTTTATTTCTCTACCATCTCCTTTTTATCTGCTCGCCCACTTTGCACTTGCAAAAAATATCTAGACTTCAATAGAAATATGATTGTTTAACTAATTGGAAAGGTTATGAAAAAGAAAACTCTCTTTTAAACTCTAAGCCTATTCCCGAAGCGTTTAAGTTCCCCATCTTTCTTTTCACTTGATCCCAACCACTAACTAAAGAGAGAAAAAGCAAGAGAAAAGATGGATAGAAAGAGGAAGAGAAGAAGAAAGATATTGCTAATCTAACGAGAATGAAAAGATGCTAATTATTTCCTTCAAGTATATACGATTTGGATAAGAATAAAATATATCATTAATGACCCTATTGGGTGTTGTATGCCTATACAGCAATCCAATGAAGACGAAAAAACAACACGTTTAGGGAATTGGATATATTTCACTCAAAATGAAGGACCTGTTTGGTTTATGAACAATTTTTTTTTAATATTTTATAAGACAGATACAAAGAAAGAAAGAAGGAAGAGAGGAAGGAAGAAGGCAGGAAAGAGAGAGAGAGAAGAGAGAAGAAAATTAAATTATAATTTTAATGGTTGAATTAGTATAAAGAAGAAAAGTTGAAAAAGTCAATGGAAAACGCTTATAAAATGTTAATAAGGGAAACGGAAAGAAATATTTCCTATTCATATATATACTGTATAAATTAATATATACGTAGTTTAAGGCATGGTAATGCAAAAGTGTTCCTCTGCTCTTTTCCCAAAGACAAACAATCGAAGCAATTAACAGATATCCCGTTGCAAATGACTCTAAGCATTGAAAATGCTGATAATGTCTGAATAATGATTGAAAAGAGTAAAGGGTTAACCGAGAAACGAAAAAAAAGTCTCGCTAACATTTATATATATATGCATAAAAATTAACGAATAAGAAGGACAAATACAGGTAATTAATTCCTTCTCTTATTTCTCTTCCATCTCTATCCTCCTGTCCTTCCTTCCAGAGTCATCCGATTACAGAATAGAAATATACAAATATTGCATTTTAATGTAAAATGAATAAGGATATTTGAGGTTGAAAAATCTGTCTAAAAACAAAAAAAAACAAGGAGTATCGTCTTCTTTTTAAACGGAATATAAATAGAAAATTATTAACTTGATCTTTTTTATAATATTGACAAATCTAATATATGCTTCTATTCAATAAAATAATGTATATTGTATATAAATGTAACGTAAACAAATATGTATTATACTAGACTTATTACCTTATTCGTAAAAAGTGCCTATTAAACAAAATTTTTTTGCCCTTTGTCTACCTCTTCGAGGCTAATGTACACATTAATATGTATATGCTTTATATGGTACATATGCACATATACTGTATACATCTAAACACATACACCTCACTGTGATCATTCTCCTCTTTCAATTTTCATGTTATACCCATCTCTCACTAAAATGACGTATAGAAAATAGATTAGAAACATATAGATAATGTATCAACTACAATTACATCAATTTGTAAGTTACAAGTAGAAACTATATCTTTATATTTACCTTACTTTTAATCAGTAAACTTAACGTTATCTATTAATTCAACTAACCAAATTAAAATATAAAATATAGCTGTATAAATCTCATTCTTTCTCAACTAATTACTCATTAATCATTCATTAACATACGTAAATTCTAGATTATACTTTAGCATTAACATTATTAGCTTATGCGCTGCCGTATCCATCTTTTGAATAAGGCATGCACATATCATAAATACACTGTTGGCAGTGAATAAAAGCACGCATTCCAATTGGGAATAAAATTAGAATAAGAAATATTAAATGAATGACAATAAAAGTAACGCCCGCTGTAAATGTTTATTCTAATTGTTAGACAAATAATGATAATTTTACAACAGAGATACAACACTCCTCCTCATAAATATTAGACAGTTTCCAAATTAGAACCAATGAGATAAGGAAACGGCGTTCGGGTAACTTACCTTTAGAGACGTTTTTATTAGTCAGGAAACCTATTCTACTCATTTACCTTTCTCACAAACGCTTTTAAATATAAATCAACCTTTCTGGTAAATTTAATTACAGCTGTTTCGGTGGATTTAAGAAATTACTTCCTTGATACCTCTGTCAATTGAGTAGTCTTCGATAGAATGGTTTAAATATAGAAACATATCATTCTTTGTCTCTTTATATTTGTCCTCCTGGACCTTACAATGGTTATTCATAAAAGAAATGCTCTACAGGAAACGTCTTATAATAAAGTTAATCTTGAAGGGTTAAATAACAATTCTAAATACTAATTATTTCCACTGAGTCTACCTTTTATTCATTTCTACGAAAAGATTCTGACATTGACAGAATAGGTAACAATTATTGTTGTCAACCTCTACTCCGAATCATAATAGTTGGTCATTTTTTTTTTAATTAGTTAAGTAATTAATTAATTAATGCCAAGTACTCATTCACTGTTTTTATTTCCCTTTCCTCCTTCCCCTCCTCATGTTCCCAATCTTCCTCCTCTGCCTAGAGAGTTGCCGTTTTTAAGTTTGATTTTATGCTACAGGGACAAATTAGGCAATTTTTCCGCTACATATGCCGTGAAAGAAAGATCTGGAAAATTTCCAGATAGGATCACAGTGCTTTTGGCATGTTAATGACACTAGATATTAAGAACGCAAAGTCAACATGATTGAAACTGAGAAAAAGTTTATGTAACTATTTACATAAACCAGATTTTTTGCTTCTTCTACGTTAGATCTATTTAACAAGATATATAAAAACGTTATGGGTTTACTTGTTCATTATTTTTTAAGTTTATACAAGATGAGAATGCAACTGTCAGAAATGACGTCTTGCTATGACAAACCGTCGAGGAGCTAGCGCTTTTTTTCAAGCAAGTAGAATATGCTGTACATTATCTTGCTTACACTATCAATTAAGTTCTCTTGTAATTCTTTATCAAAGAGTTTTCATTGTCATTTACCTTTTATTTCTTACTCTTCCTTCAAGAAACGTATAGGAGAGTTGTGAGCTACTACCAAGAACCCCTTACAAAGATCCCACATTACATAGAAGAACTCTATCGAAATGCCTACACAATAGTCTTCAATGAAAATGGTCAAAAACTTTACGACGGATTACAAATTCGAGTTCTACAAGAACATCTCGTAAACAACAGCGATATAATCGAATCGCTCAGCAACAATTTTCTATCGTCCTTAAACATCGCATCGTTAAAACATCAGACAGCAATGATGACAATTCGAAAGATTAGTCTTTCTTTTATATTCCTTTCAGAGACAAATTAAGGAATACCCTACTACAAATGGTTGCCAAGGAAAGATCTGGAGAGGTTGTTGATAGAATCACCGTGAAAAATGCTTGTAATATGCTAATGACACTAGGTATAAATCAACAAAGATGTCCGTGTATTAGATTTTGAAGATCCATTTTTTGAACAATCAACAGGGTTTTATCGTACAGAAATTCAAAAATGTTTGTCAAGAAAATTGGTGAAACGTTGACAGTTACATTAATAAGGCGAGTTTGAACATGAATTATTATTTACATACATAATTTACGGCAATGTAAGTCGTTCGGGTTGTCTTTGAAGAGGTTTACAAATGTTACTTTCCCTATCTTCCTGTTTATTTGTATTAAACCGAGAACAGTCTATTCATATATTTTAATTTTCTGTTCTTTAATAGATTGGACAATAAATGGATGATGAAGTATCCAGTACAAATAACTACCTAGATCCCTCTACTGAACCTGCAATAATTCTTCAAGTTATTCAATACCAACCGTCCTTTTGGAGGTATTAAAATAATTAATTTGAATAATTCATAATAATAGTCTTTGATTTATTTCTCTTGTCAATAAATATAACTAATTTTAAAATGAAAAACAGGATTACGTCAAAAAGAGGAAAATACAGGATACTACGAAAATAATGAACTCAACAAAAATTAACACAACTATCGCTTTAGTGGATGTCAATTTGTCTTAGCTGTTTCTTTTCTTATGCGAAGAGTTATATACTTTTCTCTTCGTTTCATGTGTGTTTCACGGAAATATATATTGATGTATTATCAAATCTCAGGGCTATATTAGCAGTTCGGTATCGTCTACACTTCTGTCAGCTGATAGATTTGTACTACCAAATTGTTTATAACAATGTTAGGATTTTGATAAGAAAACCAATTTTTATCTCTTCAAAAGGATAAGTAAAATGCAGTTTCTTCCTAGAGTATAAATGTAAACTTAATTTTCTAACAAGGTTGTTAGGTTCGTATTTTCTGCTTAAATCTCCAGATGACAACCGCCATGATTAATAGACTGGTTACCTGGTTACTTTGGAAAATATTGGCAAAAAACATTTAATCAAGTTTTCAGTAAAATATTAATAAATCATTGAATAAAACGAAAGTTTTAGTTAAATATTTGTTGACGTATTTTTCGTTTAAAAGAAAAATAGTTTTTGAAATAAAATAGTTGGAGCATGCGCAATAAGGATAGCTATGATGGCCGCGATCGTAAAGCAGTTAAATTTTTCATAGAGATATAAAAGAAATTGAAGGGGAATCGTTGGCTACTGAAGACGTTTACATATAAATAATTCTTTACTTTGAAATTTAGCGTTTAATTATATTGTAGTAAAAACATTTCAAGTGATTATGTCGTCCATGTGTGGAGGAAGCAAAAAGAAAGAATCATCAAAAATGAGAATTCGAGCCTTTCCAGTAAGTGAATCTGCTAATAATTTAAATATATATTATCCTGTTTATATTATTTATCAATAGCAATTATTGTTTACTTAAATTTCGATTCAAAAATTAGGATTTTTCCTTTATTTATTAAGATTTTTATTTACAAACATCTAATCGAATAAAAAATTTCTTCACTCATTAAATCCACGTAGTTTAAAGAATATAATAATATTGTAACATAACGTAAAATTCCTGTGTAAAGGCTTAGTCAATTTTCTGGAGAAAAAAATTTGAAACATTCTCTTAATTTTGTCATTTCCATTCAATAAAATGAAGAAATCGTATTCTCAATTAATAAATTACCTTACCTATTCACTTATTGTTTCTTTCTTTTTTCCTACTCATCCTCATCTTCCCTTCAACAGACTAGTATGGATGAGAAATTTGTTGAAAGTATATGGGCTCTCCTCAAGAACGCTATACAAGAAATTCAAAAGAAAAACAATAGCGGTTTAAGTTTTGAAGAACTCTATCGAAATGCCTACACAATGGTCCTCCATAAACATGGTCAAAAACTTTATGACGGATTACAAATTGTTCTACAGGAACATCTCGTAAACAAAGTTCACAGCGACATACTCGAATCGCTCAACAACAATTTTCTATCGTCCTTAAACACCGCTTGGTCAGAACATCAGACAGCGATGATGATGATTCGAGATATACTAATGTATATGGACCGAGTTTATGTTAAACAGAGCGGCGTAAAAAATGTATACGATTCCGGAATAGAGAAATTTAAAGATTGTGTAGTTTATTCACAACAAATTAGGTGAATATTCAATCATTTTTTCTCCGTCTGCTTCTCCTCAGCTACTCTTAATTCTGTTTTTCTTTTAATCTCTCTCTATCTATCTCTCGTTTTTCAGCCCAAAACTTTCGACTACTTAATTAGAAGTTATTTTTCATTTCCTTCCATTTTGTTTCAATATACAGAGATAAATTAAGGAATATCCTGCTACAAATGGTTGCCCAAGAAAGATCTGGAGAGGTTATTGATAGAATCGCTGTGAAAAATGCGTGCAGTATGTTAATGACACTTGGTATAAATCAACGAGGGGTCTACGTATCAGATTTTGAAGATCCATTTTTGGAACAATCCAGAGAGTTCTACCGTACAGAAAGTCAAAACTTTTTGTCTGAAAATTGCGCTAGCGTTTACATTAATAAGGTATGTTTGAACATTTAATTCGCACTGTTAAATATACCGATAGATGCAATTTCCTTATTGTTTTCTAGGTTGAGCAAAGGATCAACGAAGAAGCAACTAGAGCTGAAGTTTACCTAGATGCTTCTACTAAACCTAATATAGTCAAAGTTTTAGAAGAAGAGCTAATTTGTAAGCATATGAAGACTATCGTTGAAATGGAAAATTCTGGGGTAGTTCACATGCTTAAAAATGATAAAATAGACGATTTACAATGTATGTACAAGTTATTCGCTCGAGTTCCTGACGGTTTAAAGACAATGATGGAGTGTATAAGTGGATACTTACGGGAACAGGTAAGATAAAAACTACAATTTTTTAATACTAAAAGTATTTGATTTAATTAATTCATATATTGAAAATTTATTATTAATTCATTTGTATAGGGAAGAGCTTTAGTGAGCGAAGAAGAGACTGGAAAAAATGCTATTGCTTTCGTTCAAGCACTCTTGGATTTGAAAGACCGTTTCGATAATTTATTAAAAAGAAGCTTTGCTAATGATGTCCAAATTAAGCAAACAATTTCAAGAGACTTTGAATATTTTATTAACTTAAATACGAAAGCACCAGAGTATTTGAGCCTGTTTATTGATGATAAACTGAAGAAAGGTGTTAAAGGAATGACCGAGAATGAAATTGAAAACATTCTTGACAAATCAATGGTTTTATTTAGGTAGGGAAATTGTTACAATTTCTTTTTATTCTGTGCTTTTTAATTTTCTATATAAATCTTTTTAATTATTTTCATATAGGTATTTACAAGAAAAAGATGTATTTGAACGATATTATAAACAACATCTCGCCAAACGACTCCTACTCGATAAGAGTGTTTCGGATGATAGTGAAAAGACAATGATTACAAAGTTAAAAACTGAATGTGGCTGTCAATTCACCTCCAAATTAGAAGGAATGTTTAAAGATATGAGTGTTTCTAAAACAACAATGGAAAAATTCCGTGAAGAAGTTCGAACAGAGTTACCCTTAGATTTATCTGTTAGAGTTTTAACAACTGGTTTCTGGCCCACTCAGGCTGCCACTCCCAAATGTCGAATACCAGAAATGGCTAGTCGAGCATTCGAATGTTTTACAAAATTTTATTTAAGCAAACATTCAGGAAGACAATTAACCCTTCAACCTCAATTGGGATCAGCTGATTTACATGCACAGTTTTATGGGAGGGAGTCTTCTGAAAATGCTTTGGGTAAATCCGCAATCCGAAAGCATATTATACAGGTAATTTATTTACTTGCCTCTTTTACAGATTGGCTTTCAGTTGCTAATTTTTATTGTTTATTTTTTATTTATATAAAATGTAAAAATATACGATAAGGCGCATACTATTATTAAATGTTGATTTTTTAGGTCTCCACATACCAAATGGTCGTATTAATGTTATTTAACGAACGCGACGCTTGGACGTTTGATGACATTAAAAACGAAACTTACATTCCCGATAAGGATTTAATACGAGCTCTTCAGTCACTCGCATTGGGAAAGATTGGTCAAAGGATTTTGGTTAAGGAGCCGAAAAGTCGAGATATAGAGGGAACTCATGTATTTTCGGTCAACGATGCGTTCACTTCAAAGTTACATCGTGTTAAAATTCAAACTGTAACAACAAAAGGTGAATCGGAACCCGAGAGGAAAGAAACTCGTAACAAGGTCGACGAGGATAGGAAACACGAAATTGAAGCTGCTATAGTTAGGATCATGAAAGCTAGAAAGAGATTGCAGCATAACGTTTTAGTTGCTGAGGTGACTGAGCAGTTGAAAGCAAGATTCTTACCAAGCCCCGTCGTAATCAAGAAGAGAATAGAAGGATTGATCGAAAGAGACTATTTGGCGAGGACACCGGAAGATCGGTTAGTAAAATTTATATTACATATTATTATCTATAGCATTAGATGTAATGAGAAAAGATAAGCTTATCAACTTTTATACGCAAGTATAAACATCGATTTATTCATCTGTCCTTCAGCGAAAGTGTAGGTTAAAAATTAGGTATCAAAGGAGTTTTATAACATTTATTTTATTCGATATTCATTTATTTAAATTCATGGTCATGTTATATATAACCTTGCCATTCGGACATATTTCAATATTGTATTGCATATATATAGATCATCTAGGTTTACAAATTTAATGTAGTTGCCACTAGATGGCTCTTATGCTAGATTTTTTTAAAATATTTTCCAAAGATAAATGATTCTAGTGTAGTTAAATAGAAATTCTCGTTTTCTATCTTAAGAAATATACATAGGTCACATTGAGAGAAAAAGAGCAAAGCGATTTTTTATTTCTATATATATATATATACAGTATATCTTGTATAGACAGTATATATAGAATATATATATATATCTATATATATATACAGTATATTAGTATATATATATTGCTCAATAGAAACTATTTAGGATTTTTAAATAAAGTTAAAAATTCGTGATGTAGTTTGAGTGAACAAAATAAAATCTATTCAATAAACTTAAATTAAATAATCGTGCAGTGGAAAATTTTGTATTTTATTTTTTTTTCTCAAAGTATTTTCATTGAAATGGGCAGTTGGTGTATAAACAATTAAAGAAAATAAATATATAAACTAATATAAGTAAAGAATATAGGACTAATTAAAATTTATAACGATAGATATTTTAGTAATAATATTATAATGAATGTTATTTTCTTTTTATCCTTTACAGAAAAGTGTACACGTATGTCGCCTAAAACAAACAAAAAAAGAACTGATAACTCATATATACATTTAATATAATGTATTAAATAAAGCATATATATATATATATATAGATTGTTTGTATATAAATATATGGTTTATATATATATACATATATATATATATGTATATATATTTATATGTATTTATATATATATATATATATAAATAATAAAAACGATAAATGCAAGATGTGAAATTTCCTTTTATTTAAAAAAAAAAAATATTATTAATGGAATGAAAATAAATTTATATTTTTTGTTTAAAAGAAAAAGAAATAATCAAACAAATTTTAAAAAATTATATAATTAAAGAGATATAAAGAAGGAAGGAAGGAAAGAAGGAAAGGGAGAAACAATGTAAAAACACGTATATATATATATATATATATATATGTATATACGATACACAGTATATATAATATAAAGTGTTTTATATTAATTTTCCTTTCTATTCTTCTCTCCTCTTCATTTTTGTGTTCCTTCTTTTTTAAACTTTGTTGTTTTATATACTTTTTTGACTTATTATTTTTTTTATCTATTCTTTTTAAAGAGAAACTTGACGAGCAAATTATTTTTTTGTTTATTAATCTAATTGGGAAAATATAAAAAAGAGAAAAAGAATGTTTCGAAGGAATTTGCTTCCTTCTCTTATCCCTCTGCTCCCTCCTCCCCCCCCTCTCTCTCTCTCTCTCTCTTTCTCTTTCTCTGCCTCCATCTTTTTCTTTTTTTTTTACGAAAGAAAAAACTTTCTTAATAGAAAGTCAGTTTTTTTTTTTGATGCAATGGAAAGTGTAAGGGTAAGGAATAGCAAAAAGCAGAGTTGAAACGGGATCCAGATTAACCTAGATTAGATACTGATAAAGGCGGTTTGCAGTACGCTGTGTACTGGAAAAAACACTGCAAAACGCCGAGCTATGACGACCGATATATCGGCTTCTGATCTGGAAGGTTTGGTTTTAATTATTTTATTATTAAATAAAGACTAAAACAAAGTAAAAGTAATTTACATAGGAAAGAAACTCGAAATGTATAAGTTTTTAATGAATTTTCTTTACCAATACATTACTTGTATATGCCTGTGTATACGTATAGGTCTGTTTGCGTGTGTGTGTGTGTGTATGGGCTTCGTTATTTCCTCTGTAATTAACGAAGAACAGTTAAGGATAAAGATGAAAATAAGGAAAGAATAAAGACGAAATAAAAAAAAACCGGATTATTTAAAATCGTCTATCAATACGAAAAATTAATTTATACATACTTTATAATTAACGTAGAGAAAAGAAAAGATCTTATCTTTTAACCTCTTTAGCCTATTCTTCATTCTTCCTTCCTTCCTTCCTTCCTTCCCTCCCTCCCTCCCAACCTCTCTCCCTGAATATAAAAAGAAGAAAAAAACTATCGGTGGATAGGAGAATTTAAAAAATTCAATTATCTTCGAGTATAGAATTAAAGTAGTTGTATGTAAAGACTTGAAGTTGTAGTAGAATGGAAAAAACGATTTAAGCTGTTTATTTATATTACTACTAGTGTAATGGCGGGGGATCTTTTGCAATTATTATATTACATTATCGTCTATAAAAACGAATTAAGAGTAGGATGGGAGTTGTAGAGAAGAGAAGGTGAACAAAAATATTTACTTTAACCTTACGATCGAGTTGTTTAGTAAAAAACAAAAGTTCCCTTTAAAGAAAAGAAGGCTATGCCAAGGTATCTTAAAAACAGTAAGGGAAGAGGAAGTGGAAGTAGATGCAATTTATAGATTGAGAACAAGCAACTTTTCAGGTGTTGGGTGAAAGGCGTTAAAAGGTTATATAAGTGGGAAAAGGTTTCAAATTAACCAATTAACAATTATTAAATCAGTCTATGCTGTTTTAGAAGAAAATAAATTTTTCCCCTTTTCCTCTCCTCTCCTTACCTTTGCCCTTTCCACCCCAGCCCATGATCATCTACTAATTTCTCTCTTCGTAGGGAAAGTATGAAAAAACGATTTAGAAAAACTTGTGGCCTATCTATATATAAAACATAAACAAAACTGCAACGTTCCGACAGCAATATGGTTCGAATTTTTGCAGTATTCGCACGCGGTAGAATATACAAACATTCCATTAGCACCTGTTTTTGTTATACTAGCCTTTTTTGACCCGGTTTAAACCGTTTGAAAAAAATTTTAATTCTTTTCAAATAAAAATTTTTTCAAATAGAAACTTTCTACTGCAAAATCTAAATGCAGTATATGTGATATATACACACACGTACACACTTATATATACAGTATATATATATATATATATATATTAGTATATCTATTTATATACCTATATCTATGTAATACTCTTCCTATTTTTATTCTCTTTAGATGTCAAAGAAGTTTTCGACCTCTTCGACTTTTGGGACGGTAGAGATGGTCTGGTCGATGGAGCCAAGGTTGGCGATCTTTTGCGTTGTATTGGTTTAAATCCCACTAAGCAAGCGGTTAACAAACAAGGAGGATGCGAAAAGTTTGGTAAGAATTATACTAACATGTAACTGCATAGCAATCAAATACCTTAAATAATCGACTACTATAAGAACAACAGAAGGAAATCTTAGACGAATATTTTAGGTAATTCGACCCTGTGTTATTATTTATTATTCGTTCATCCTTTCCATTTTTTGTATTTATTTAAAAAAACAATTCTCCATTTTATATAAATAATATAGAAATATTATTTTCGTAGCTGGAGATTCAATAGCTTGCATTATTTACTCTTTTTTATCTTCTCTCTCTCTCTCTCTCTCTCTCTCTCTCTCTCTCTATCTCCCCTGCCCCTATCCTATTTTCCTCCTGAAACTACTCCCTTCTTGCATCTGTCTTTATGTGCATATGTCTCTCCTCTTCCAGTCGCTCACTCTCTCTTTATTTATATTATCTCTCTTCCCTCTTTCTCTCTTTCTCTCATGCTTTCTCTCCTACTCCTCTGCCTTCTCTTCCTCGCTCACCATGTCCTATTTTTTAAATTTCATTATTTTTTAATCTCTATCCTTTCTATCCTTTACTTTCTCTTTCTGGATTTTTCTTTTGACTTTTCTTCATCTTCCCCCCTTCCCTCTTGTCTGTAGACTTGTCGAATACATTTTTTTATCCTTTTTTCCCCTCCGCAATGATGCAATAAAGTTAAATTGATGTAGTGTTATCTAATCATACTCGAGTTATCAGGTTATCATTGCAGTCAGATGCGGATTTACAGGCCTAGCAAAAATGCAGTAACGATTTTGTTTACACGTAAAAGAGTAGATGGAAGCAATTGATAGTTAAAGTAAACTAGTAAAAAGACTGAATTTAACAAACCAAACGCTGATCATCGAATAAAAAATTTCATTTCAAAAAGAAGTTTTGTTCTTAGTAGAGAGAAACAGATAAATAGAAAGAAAGAAAGAAAGAAAGAGAGGGGAGGAGGAAGGGGGAGTATAAGAAAAAAAACTAATGAAAGATAATATCCCAACATCTTTCACCATGGCATAGGTATACAGCCTACAATTATAGTTCCTTCCCTATAGCCTTGTACTTGGTTTCTTCGTCCTATTTATATTATTAGACGAGACTTGCTTATAATCCTTGATATTTCTTTCTACTTGAACTATTTCTTTCATTGCCCTATCTGTTTACTCTTATATAAAGTTTTTTTTTCACCCTATACAAGTCCTCTCCTAGTTTACAATGTGTTTTACGATCAATTCTCATTTTTCTTTCTAATAGCGACATCTAGGGGTTTTAAAGTGGATTAGGAAAACAAGGCAAACTAATTTTTGTCACCTATTTGATGAAAACCGAACCCTTTTGGTTTTCACAAGGTTACGATTTCCAGGGAAATATGTTATAAATATATCAAATATATTTTATTCTATATTCCTTTCTGTCCTTGTCTCTGTCTGTCTATCCCTCTCTCTCTCTCTCTCTCTCTCTCTCTCTCTCTCTCTCTTCCTCTTTATATATAGTTTAGTTTATGCTGAGCTTGCAAGGTAAAGTAAAAGAAAAAAGGATCAAAAAAATAGAATGGAAAATTAGAATATATAGAGAAAGAGAAAAAAGATGGGAAGAGAATTAATGAAAGGAGAATATAGACATACAGAATTAAACACAAGTTTTAATGGTCTTGACAAATTATTACTTTTTTTTTATTCGTTTTCGTATCTTTACAGGTGAAAAGCAATACAAATTTGAGGAAGTATTACCAGTTTATACATCCTTGAGTAAGGATACTGATACTGGTACTTTTGCCGATTTTATGGAGGCATTCAAAACGTTTGATAGAGAAGGGCAAGGCTATATTTCAGCTGCTGAAATGAGGCATGTTTTGACTTATATGGGAGAACGTCTGACGGACGGAGAAGTAGACGATATTCTAAAGTTTACTGAAACTGAAGAAGATTTGGATGGAAACATAAAGTACGAAGGTACGTAAAAGAGAGAGAGAGAGAGTGAGAGAGAGGAATAAAAACAAATTTAACAAATTAGAAAGGATTAGTTTATTAATTTATATCATTTTTCTTTTAAACAGAATTTATCAAGAGGGTTATGAAAACTGAGAAGACTATTTAAAGGCTAGTTATATATTGGTCTTGTCACTTTTGTTTCCCTGCTTTTTCTCTTGTCCGTTTGTTTCAATATAATTCATCATCTCATACTTTTATTATTATTATAATTATGTTAATTATTAATATATTATCATATATAATCTGTTCCTCGCATCATCGTCATCATCTTCATCGTTATCGTCAACAACATCATCATCATGATCATCTTCTTCTTCTTCTTCTTCTTCTTCTTCTTTTCGTCTAACTATTAATGATTGGATATATTTTCCGTTTGGAAATTTTAGGAGTGGAAAAAGACTATCTAACAGTTTTGACAATAAAACTGAAAATAGATAAAATTAACGGTAATTAATGGGAAAATGCTCATTTTATCAATAAAGAAATGAATATATGTATGCATGTATGTATGTTTACACAACGCAAGAAGATGATAGTAAATACAATTTGTTTATTTAATCCCAATCTTTTGGCTAAAGACTCTTGAAATGTACTAATCACTTTTTGACTCTAAAAGTGACGCTTAACAAAAGTAAAAAACGAAGAAAAAAAACAGATAAAAAGATAAGAGGAAGCGAGACAAGACTGATAAAAACAAAATCAATCTAAAAGTCTAAAAGAGTAAAGTCGCCTTCTTTCCTTCTTAGCGTTCCGTTATTTTTGGTTGTCATTCCCACAATAATTGCTGCCTTTAATAGAAAAGTGGAAGGGTTAAACGTCTTTACGGTACGTTTACTGTAATGATTTTATTGTCAAAATGTACTATCCGTATGGTCGTATATACACCAGGATTTTGAGTATAAATACAAAAAAGACATGCACTGGAAAATTCTTACAATATGCATAGAATCGTATTCTTTAATAAGCTAACCGTAACACGTGAGGATATTGAAAAGATTATAGTTTTACAATAAGTTAAAAAGGCATCAAAAACGATTAAATTATTACTTCAAAGACGCCTTTCATCTATCTAATAAAATCGTTAATTTTTACCTTTTGTATTCAATAACAATCAGAAACTTTTTTCCACTAGTTTAATTGTTTTTCTCTTTTCCAGTTAAATTCACTGTTTTAGATGTATTCTTAACTATTCAATTCTCTATCTTTCCTCCTCCTCCTCCTCTCTTTCTCTCAACTCTTCTCTTCTTCGTTCCCTTTCAATAAAAGAGATAGTTCAAAAAGTTCGCGAAAAAAAAATTTACGTTACCAATCAGAAAATCATAGCCAGAAGTATATCGACGCCTCCTCTTTTCGATTTCTCCTCTACGCTAGGTGTCCTCCCGGTTGGCGACTAATCATCACTTTTCCAGATGACTTTCAATGGCATTAATGTATGCATTAAATATTTGGATAGTTGTTTTTAATATAAATTTAAATGGTATGGTTTGCTACGACTTGTTGCTCGTTCTTCCTTTTTCTTGTTGGGATGAGAAATCTTTTGTACTTAATTCAACAATAAGCTCAGCCTTAGAACGTCTGCGGAGAGAAGCAACGGCGGAAGATATAAGAGACAAGAGAATTATTAGACGCTTTGATAATTGCCATGACAATCTATTCAATAATCTACATTTGATAGACGAACTAGACATAACCACTCGAACGGTAATGGTACATAACGACTACGAAGATTGCGCAACTTTTAAGAGATTTCAACGTTGGAAGAATGAATTAAGGATATCTTCAACATGCGATTTAGTACCGAAAGCGGAGCAAACTTTTCAAATATTTAACGTAATTTTATATAGATTCCAATGGAAATATTTGACAATTATCTATTCGCCGAATTCACCTTTTTCCAGCCAATCTAAAGATTTATTTATTGAATTACATAACGGAGGATTTATTATCGAAAAATTCATTCCAACTTCCCTAAACAATTACCAACAAGTTACCGATTCTATTGAAAATTTAAGATCAAACGGTAAGTAGTTTAAAAGTGGGATTACTTTAGTTTTCATAAAGAAACGCTTCTTTGCCTACGTGACGTTATTGGCGGAAGAAAAAAATTTATGACGCCGAAAACGTCACGTTCTTCATTAGAATAAAAGATACCGAAATTTTTTGCTAGATTAAGCGTCACCGTTTCCTAGCTCATTCACCTCTTTCAGAGATGAGAGAAGAGGTTGAAAAGTAAAAAGAGTTAGAGTAAGATGAAGAGTTATAGAGATATAGAGAGTATTAGCACGAGACGCGATAAAGAGAAAAGAAAAAGACGACCTCTCTATTCTTCCCCACCACCCCCTCCCTTTAAACTATTAGTTCTTATTAGACGGTTGAGCTTTGAAAGCGTTACACGTATCAAAACACGGCAAATTTCTATAATTTTCTGCAATTGTCGTTGGATAGATAGACACGAGAATAGTTTATAAATATACAATACAATATATAAATTCTTCAACGAAGTTAGCCTTTGACTGTCTATCCTTTTTTTTCTTTTATCAACAAATCTAAACATCTAAAAATCTACCACGCAATCTATCGTGTATGGGGAAAAACAGTTTTATTACAACCTTTTTTTCCCAGATACCCAGGTCAATTGCCTTATATATATATATACAGTATATTACTAATTAATCATACAATATACGTACGAAATTGTACGTTAAACGTGGCAGAGACGAAGAGAGAGAGAGAGGGAGAGACAGAAAGGGAGTGACAGACAGACAGAGAAAGCGCGTAAATCTAGACACTTTTTTGTCTATTAATCAAATTACATTAAGCCATTTGAAAGCTTTGAAAATGAATTTTGGAAAGAGAAAAAAAAGACAAAAAGCCTTTAAATTTTCAAAAGATCTATCAAATTTTAATTCCAAAAGAGGTGATCAGATAAAGCCTTTTATACTTTTTCAGTTTTTATCGTAAACCTTCCGATTGATCTACTTGGAAAAATTCTCAATCGAACATCAAAATCATTATTGGAAAAGAAAGCATTCTTCTATTTGCACCTTCATCAAACTTTCCAACCGAAAAGATTCCATAAAAGTCTCTATTGTTTCCTATGTAACCAAACGGACATTAAGCAGTCGTTAAGAAGCCTATTTGTTATCTCTCATACAGCAGACGACGCCGACGCTTTCAGCAACCGAGACGTTAGTTCTTAAAAGATGAAAGAATATTTATTGATAAACCCTTCTCTTTTGCTTTTCCTTTCCTTTCCTTTCCCTCCCTATCCCTTCCCTTCCATTTACTCTATTTATTGACCCATTACTAACCAGAAATGATAATTGCATTTCTTTCATTTTTTCATTCTTTTGTACTCTGGCATAAGTATATATCTTGTTTAAAAAAAAAGTTGACTTGTGTAAACAACAACAACAACAACAACAACGAGTACTTCTTTTAGATTCTTTACTCCTTTTACGCATCCCTTCCCTACTTCCCTCTGATTCTCTTTTGGAAAAAGTATTCTTTCATCCTACATTTTCTCTTATCATTTTAATATACACCTAATCGGTTAATTAGTTAATTAAGCATGAAATTAATTAACTGTTTTTTTTTTGTTTTCTCCTCCTTTAGGACATTGATCATTTACTTTTCGTGGCTATAACTCAAACTGACCAACTACTTGAAAAAGGCCATATTCAAAATACATCCATTCCGACTTATCGATCAGCCATCTTTGTCGACTCTAACTCAGTTTATAACTGGACTTATTTCCTTTGGGATTATCAACCATCTCAAGATAATTTTCTTCCAGTTCTCAAGATTACAAACAACAATCCCGCCTCCAAAAGTTTTCACATTGCTCAATTAAATACAACCATCGATTGGCCCGATCCATCAATTCTTCGATCGGATAGATGTTACTTTGAAAATTGTGATGATGGTGAGTAAAAAGAGAATTAGTCGATAGTTTCCAAGTCAAAGACAAAAAACAAAAGACCTAGTAAAACTAAGAATAAGAGAAATGATAATCATCCAAATGATAATGAAGGATAAAAAGAAAAGAAGAAAAGATTAGGAAGAAATGTTTAATCCTATTTTCATCTAATAGTTTTACAGTGTAAAAACTGCACTAAGAGAGTAATGAACTATCCATACTTATATAAGAAATTAGGCAGAAAGAAAGAAGAGAAATAACTAACAGATTGTTTTGACTGACTAATTTTCTTTCCAACCAAAGAATCGTAGTATTTGATCCCGGAAGATAGTAATTTCCCTCATTTTTCTTTCTTTAATATCTCTTTCTTTTTTCTTTCTTTCTCTCTTTCTCTCTCTCTCTCTCTCTATCTCTCCCTCTCCCTTACTATTAAGAGAAGGTTTTTTGCTCAAAGATGAAATTAAGATTTAAGATTATATTTATCTAAATATTGGAAATTTGCCAACTTTTTTCCATCTTTCTACTTTGTTTTAGAATCAAATTTGGCTGTTATTTTGGCTGTTTCAATTGTTCTCTTTTTAGTTGCCATATTTGTTACATCCGTTGTTATTTATATTGCAAGGTTTGACATTCAAATTTCCTTTATATAATCCATCATTTTATCATTCCTTTTCTGCCCTTATAAATATTAGACGACACGTCACTAAAAGTGCTCTGGCTAAGGGACCGAATAAAATAATTTTATCGGACGATGACCTAATTTTAATTAGCGCCAAAGTTCAAAAAAATTCAAGAGTAAGCTGAGAAAAGTTGTCTTAAAACTTAATAAACTATTCATTCATTCAATCAAAAAAAAGCCTAGTACAAGCTTCGACAAACCAGAAACGGTAAAATCATCTGCAGCGTCAATTTCTGTAGCAAGTGGACAGGATATGGATATTCCTCAAACAGCAAGATATAACGTAAGTCATAAATAGAGAGGTTTCATTCAGGTTTGCAAAATAGGTAAAAGAATGATAGATAAATAAACAACAAATGATTTAAAGGGTGAACTCGTCTACGTTAAAGAACTTCATATTAAAGCTTTTGAAATGAAAACTAAAGTTTTTAAATATTTAAGACAGGTAAGATCAGTCTCATCTTAACTTAATTAACTTATTCATCATTATACTCTTCTCTTCACCGTCTCTCTTTCTGTTTCGTTTTAGCTGAAAGAATTGCGGTATGAAAATGTTACAACGTTCATCGGCTGCTATATAACCGTTCCATGCGTTGTATGGGAGTATTGTTCACGGCACAGTTTACAAGATGTTATTTATAATGATAATATGAAATTAGACTGGACTTTTAAAGTTTCTCTTTTAACTGATTTAGTTAAGGTAATTAACGTTATGTTACTTTTATCGATTTATCATTTATTCTCTCCGTCCATCCGTCTATCTCACTCACTCGCTCACTCACTAACTCTCTCTCTCTCTCTCTCTCTCTCTCTCCTTTTCTCTTTCGCTCTAGTTTCTTCACTAAATCTCTTTCATACATTATTCGTACCTGTCAGGTACTTAAAAGCAATTTTCTTAGTAGAGGGAGCTGTGATCATAAATGAATTGGGCTACTTGATTGCTTCCCTATCCAATCCTAAGTTATAGTCTCTTTTTTCTTCCACTTTCCATCATCATTTTGGGGAAAGAATCAAAGACTAGCAATGAAACGCCCAATAAATTCTGCTCATTTGCAGTTGAATAGAAGAAATGATTACTTTTTTATACGGTTATTATCAATTATATACTATTTTGATATCGTTTAAAATCCCAAGGAGAGGAAACTACTTTTCTTTAATAGATGCAAAAATGGAATATTAGTGGGAATACATAAGAATCCTTTTTAGTTTCATTTAGCTATCTCTGTTTGAATTAATGATTTACTGTAAAAGTTTTAATGGTAAAGGCAAAATCTATGTAAAAAGAAATAGAAGCAAGAAATATTTTTTACAGATTATTGGGGTAGCGAGAGAGAGAGAGAGGGAGAGAGGTGCAGAGTTGTTAGAGGGCGAATATAGAGAATGCACGCTTGAATGAGAATACATTAAAGATTAGAAATTAGCTATTATTCTCTCTACTGATACATGTATTTTTAGGGTATGCGATATCTTCATTCAAGTCCTTTAAGAATGCACGGAAACTTAAAATCTGGAAATTGTGTAATAGATAGTCGTTGGGTGCTCAAAGTTACTGATTTCTGCATATCGACTCTATACGATGCTCATCAATCAACTCGGTATCTATTATCGAAAGGTTTGACTTTTCAATCTTTCCTTATATCTGTGTGTGTGTTTCTTATTTTTACTTCAATCGAATAAGAGTTGATTTTAAACCTTTTATAGATTTATTATGGATTGCTCCTGAGCATCTTCGCGAGGAGAATCCATCGCAAAAGGGCTCTCCAAAAGGCGATATATATAGCTTTTCTCTTATCTTGCAAGAAGTTATTGTACGAAAACCCCCATTTGCTATGCTAGATCTAGACGTTGACGGTTCGTTTTCTCTTTTAATAGAATCCTTAAATTGCATCCTTTTATACTTCCTCTTATAGAAATCATTAAAAAGTTGAAAAAACCACCACCCCTTTGTAGGCCTTCTGTAAGTCAGAATGCCGCTCCACCCGAATATATTCAGTTAATGAAGAGGTGTTGGGCGGAAATGCCAGATATGAGGCCAGATTTTGACTTAATACATCAACAATTTAAGGATATGAATAAGGGAAAGTACGTTATATATTTAAAATTTTTCCCTTCACCTGACATTCTTCCTGATTCACCTTTCCTCCCTGGAAATACACTCCTTTACTATTTTAAAATTATCTCTCGCTCCTTATCTCTATACAACCACCCCCTCCGTCTATTATCTGTTTTTATTTCTTTTCTTCCATACACACGTATAAAGGTTACTTTCAGGAAGACGAATATCGTGGATTCCATGTTTTCGATGCTTGAAAAATACTCGAATGACTTGGAAGATATCGTTAGGGAAAGAACAACTCAATTGGAGGAAGAAAAGAAAAAATCTGAGCAACTCTTAACTCGTATGTTGCCTCCGAGCGTTGCTTCAAGCCTTCTTTCAGGAACGACAGTCGAAGCGGAACAGTATGACGAAGTTTCCATTTATTTTTCAGACATAGTCGGTTTTACAACTATTTCTGCAATGTCTACTCCTATGCAGGTGAGTGAACTATGTTAAAAAACGGATATATTGATAGATAGATCTGTGGATGGCTGCATGGTTAGTTAGTCAGTTGAGAAGAGAAAGAGGAAAAGGGAGAAAAAACTAGTTCAGTATATGCAACGTGCATCTTTTTCTCTTCATTTATAGTTATGATTTCGCTCTCCTCTACATATCTACCTAACTATTTATCCATTTATCATCCTCATTAATTAATTAATTATCTTCAAATAACAGAATTATACTAATTAATTAATATATTTGTTATATGCGTTAAGTCAAAGACAATTTTAAGGAATAAATGAACAAAAAAAATATCAATAGGTGGTTGATCTCTTGAATGACCTATACACGATGTTTGACGCCGTCCTTGATCATTATGACGTATATAAAGTGGAAACCATTGGAGATGCCTACATGGTGGCAAGTGGTCTTCCAGTTCGAAATGGCAATAAACATGCTGGGGAAGTGAGCACAGTTGCCTTACATCTTTTATCGGAATGCGGAAATTTTACTATTCGACATATGAAGCACGTCCCTATGAGATTACGAATCGGTATTCACACTGGACCATGCGTTGCCGGCGTCGTTGGCTTAACAATGCCAAGGTATATACACTTTATTCATTCTAGATTGGCGTTTAGTAACTTTATTTGATTCTTTCCTTAAGGTATTGCCTATTCGGAGATACTGTCAATACTGCATCACGCATGGAAAGCACCGGAGCCCGTAAGGAATTTTTGTTTGACGTACTTTTTCCCCCTTATTCACCTTTCTCCCCTACTTTTCATTCTTTTATAGCGTTTCGAATTCACATTAGCCAATCAACGAAAAGCATTCTAGATAATTTAGGCAGTTATAAAATTGAATTACGTGGTGAAACCGAACTAAAAGGCAAAGGCAAATTCAACACGTATTGGCTAGTAGGAAAAGAAGGATTTAGTATGCCACTTCCGGATCCTCCTTCCGTTGGCGGCAACAACACTCACGGGTAAGCAGTGGTAGTAGTAGTTGGAGCCACCTACAGTTTATATCAAACATTGATTTTTTTCCTGTCATTATTTTTTTTTTCGCATTCTTTTCTTTTTTCTTTCTTTCTTTTGTCCTTTTAATCGGCAGAATGAATAGACTAAAGAAGGGTGTTGAAAGTGTCTAAAAGGAAGAAAAAGGCAAAAAAAGAAAAAAAGGGGAAGGGAGGTAGGGGGTACATTGATAGGGAAGGGTAAAAATGAAAGAACATTAATTGATTGCTTCGTTTTTTCATCTTAAATCCTTTTTAACTCGAATTTATTTGAAAAAATTGTAAACCGATTAAAGGTTAAAAAGCAAGAAGGGATTAGAAGAAAAGTATTAAATATAATAAGGCAAGAAAGCAAGAAGGAAAGAAATGGTGGAGGAAGGAAAGACAAGGAACTAGGAAGGAGTAGACGTGTTCCACGGGGAGGAGGAGGTGGAGGGAAAATATCTGATCTAAGATAAGAACAAATAAGCGAGAAAGAGTAAAATATTTTCGGGTGAAATGATCTATAATAAGGGATTCAGGAGAATAAAAGAATTAAAGAAAAAAAAACCGATTGAATGAATGAATGAATGAATGAATGAACGAATGAATAAAGGAAAAAAAAGCCAAGTTATGAATATAATCATAAGTATTAACAATTAGTGTTTACCAGCTCCCAACTGTTTTTCTTTTCTCTCATTCTTTTCTCCTCTTTCAATTATTCAAAGAATTTTCGGTTAAGGAGAGAACAAGAATATTATATCTATTGTCTATTCTCTCTTCTTTTTGTTAGGTTGTCTTCTGTTATAAAACAATGTAAATTGGAGAAAAACGAAGAAGAAGTAGCAGAAGGAGGAGAAGGAGGAGGAGGAACAGTAGAAGAAATTGACGAACAACGAAAAAATGAAGTGGAAGAATTATCGTTAACTAATAAACAAACAAAAATGACAATGATGGATGAAAGAGGATCAGATACTAATGGAAAAGTTTTAAATTCCTTCATATCAGCCAACGTAATGAAGATCGAAGAGAATCAAACAAAAATTTAATGTCCGCACAAAATAAATATTATCTAATGTACTCATATTCTGTAATATTGGTTTTTGCACATGATTTATTCATAATTTCATATTAAACATATAACATATTTAACATTCATAAAATCGCACAACCAGTCTTTTCCTCCTTTATTAAATTATAATTATTAATCATATTGTTAATATCATATTTTTTTGTCCAACAAATTAATATCTTTACTAATGTTGTTTACATTTTAAGTGTCTGCTTTTCTGTCTTTTTCTTTATCTTTCCTACCGAAGATTGTCGGCTTTCTCTACTCTCCTCTTAACAGATTTAACTATGTCTATTCTAGGTATTTCTTTCTTTAGCCCTTTCTCTCTTTTCTTAACAGATTTAACTCTTTTATTCTGGGAATTCTTTCCGACAGTCTATATTTCTTTATTTCTTCAATATAGCTCTATATAAAAATCTTTCTTTCTCTCTCTCTCTTTCTGCCTCTCGATCTCGCAATCTGCTTATTTCTTAATCCACAAAGTCAACCTTCTTGAATCTTTTACTAATCTTTTCTATTATATATGAACTGAAAGAAACATGTATTACGTAACTTCCGCACCTCTTTTCACACGTGCAATCGGCAAAAAAAGCGGCATTAAAATAATACAATAATCCAAAAATTGATCCTCCTTTTAAAAGTTTGAGACGAACAATATATTTCTGACTTTATCATCATTAATTACTAATCAGTATATAATCCTTTTTGAAAAGTCATGCGCGAGAATAGGCCTAGCTAAGTATAACGGATTATTGAACAGAGAGCGCGCATTTCTATGAGCAGATATTTAGTTGGTTCGCGACATGCCATTAGAAACTCGGACGTTTTGCTTCAAATATTTCTACAACTATGATTTCTACTTGAAAAAAAAATTAATATTCTAAATATTATTTTTTTTTCTTTCAGTTGTATTCATTCAATTTTTCTTCTCTGTAATTGTTTATTTTTAGTCTCTATATATCTCTTTATTATCACTCTTTATCTCTCTCTCTCTCTCTCTCTCTCTTTAGTATATTTTAGTATTTTTGCCTTCTTCTCTTTCTCTTGCTTCAACATCAATCTATTCTCCTCTTACACCTCTCTCTCTCTCTCTCTCTCTCCCTTTCTGTCTCTTTCCCTTCTCATATATCTTAATATTTTTTGTTCTTTGCTCTTTTCTTCCTCCTCCCTCCCCCTACACTCTTTCTCATTCTCAATCGCCGACCAAGCTATAAGAGATTTACTGGACACTTGTTTTTGAAACTGCACAAGAAAATTAGAGAAGAATGGGCTCAAAATACAAGGAAATCCTGCAAGCTAACAAAACTTTGTTGACCAAGAACTTAGTTCTTTGCAGAGATCTCTATGACAAACTAGTAGAGAATCACGTGATTGGTATAGCAACAATGAAAGATATAGAGGTAAGTACATGTGTACTGAATGAATGAATAGGAAGACTAATTAGAGGTAATTAAAAAATATCTAGTTTATAACAAACAAATAAGTCGACAAAATATTTCTCAGCAACTAATCCAGGAACGTCAATAAAATACTCATTCAAGGTGGAGTGTTTGCTTTGAATGGTAAAATACCTAATCTTCTCGCATTCCTTTCACTTTGTAGTTCTCTGATCAATCTCGTAAATCTAGTTAATTATACGAAACTAGATTATATTAATAATTTTTAAATCCTCCCCATTCTTTCAATTGTTAATGGGGTTTTTTTTTATTGTTTTTTATAAAAAACAAAAAATTTCTTTAAATAACAATAACAATAATAATAAAGGTAATAATTAAAGAAAAATATTTTTCACCCCGTTTTTATTGTTACAATAGTTATTATTTAAAATAACACCTAGTTATTTAGATATAAAATGAAAAGCTATTAGCTCTCTACTCCTTATACTCCTTATCCTCCCTCACTCCCTGCCACCCACTCCTAAATAAACGCTTTGCCGTCTCTTTTTCCGAATCGAACTTTTTTGCAATAAATAATCAAGTAGAAAAGTAGAGGGAAATATAATATATATATATATATATATGTATAGAAAATACTCTTTATCTTCTTAGCATTGATCGGGCGTTAAGGTGTAGGAGTTTATTACTCCGTTTAAAGCCCTAAAATCTGACTGACTGAGTTTTTTTTAAAGAAATCTTTCTGGTAAATAAAATAGAATTGAAAATTTATTTTAGACTATTTTTGCATTGATTTCTACAAAAAATATTGCTATTTATAGTTTCTTTTTATAGTAAAAATAACAATTTTAACCTAAAAACATATATAGAATAAGGTAAAAATAATGGTGAAATTTTTCTCCTGTTTATAATGAGATTATCGAGTGGCTAAGGGCGATTCTGTTAAAAGTTGCCTTCTTTTGTTTCTTTTTTTTCCATTCAATATGGCCCTAACCACTCCTCTCTTCGCCCTCTTTTCTCTCTCTCTCCCTCTCTCTCTCCCCACCACCTCTCCTCTCTACATAGCTCATTCAGGTTGACAAAAAACTAACTTTTCACCCTTTATGAATAGAGTAATTTGAAAAAAAATCATTAAATTACTATTACGTCTCCTCTCGTAGCTAGTTTTTATTATTTCTAAACGCTCGCCGCGTCTAAATAGCTCGAGTAGATCGTAAAAAGAGGGGAAAAGTTAACGGATAGACGCCTTTACGATATTGTTTAAAATAGTTGCAAACATTAGCTCTTAATAAACTTGTATAAGGAATATATACGATCCGATAACGACGACAAACAAACAAGACAAACAAGGATACATTGTTTTCGAAATTGATTATTGTATAAATCGTTGCTAAACGCAGTTTTGTTCACTTGGTCGGTCACGTGACTACTGTGTTTATTTTATAATTGTTCAAGTTAACTATGAATAAATTAAAGATGTATAGAAAGAGAATTCAAAGGTAAACACGACAATGAAAGTAAGGAAGTGTGATAAAGTAGGAATTGCTAGAACTGAGAGAGTCTCTTAAATAGATATAGAAACAAAAAAATGTAGAGAAGAAAGACAGAGAGAGAGAGAGAGAGAGAGAGAGAGAGAGAGAGAGAGGGAGAGAGAGGGAGGGAGGGAGGGAGGGAGGGAGGGAGGGAGGAAGAAAGAGAAAGAGAAGAAAGTAAAAAGAGTGAATAATTAAAAGAATGAACGAAAAGTAAAAAAAAAAAAAAGTTATGATTGATTAAAGATGAAAATTTCTTTCAAACAGGAAACCGAAAGTCAGGTTGAAAAGACGTTGAAATTGATTGAACACGTGGGTATTAGAGGAGACGGAGGATTTACAAAGTTTTGCGACAGTCTTAGTTTAACGGGACATTGCTATTTAGCAGACTTCCTTAGAGATGAAGGTTGAATAGCCATTGTTATTAATAATTTTCTTAGTTATTTTCTTTTATATTTATTGTTCTTGCTTAAATCCATTGTCCTTGACTTTTTCTTCCCTTTTTCTAGACAATATTTAAGCAGTTAGAAGTGTTGTAAATAAGAGAAATTGATTTCCATTTTTCCATTGCATTTCATACCTTTACCACTTTCGATCTAATTATTAAACCATCACATTACTTTTCCTCTTCATCACATCTTTATTACGTAAATCCATTTTTATTAGCAATTTACTCAATAAATACAATATATAGAACATAGAAATATATATAATCAAGATAACCAGTAAATATAGTCATTTTCTAATTAATTAGTTAATTAGAAATAGAAAAAAATAAGATATACATTGTTTCTTCTTCGTTAGTCTATTTACTATTAGTTCTCCTCCTCCTCCTTGCTTTCTGTTCTTTTGTCCTCAATCCATCCCACTTGCTCTCTCCTTCTTTCTTTCTCTCTCTCTCTCTATCCAACAACGTGTGTATACTTGATTGCATTATTTCTCCACTTTAGCATGTGCATCTTTGGAAGAGAGAAAGAGTCAAACTGATCAAATTTCAAGTCATTTGCCAAAGAATTTCTTAAAAAATGTTACCGAAAAGCAAAAGGAAGAATTTATAGCTCTTATTAAAGATCTTATTAACGAATTAGCTTTGAAGCAAGCCTGGAAAAATGAAAATAAGGAAAAAGAAAAGGCGATGGATGCTAAACAACAACAACTAGAGGATGCTTGGAAGTACAAAGAGATAATAGCCGAGAGGGATCTAACTATAAAAACACTCGAAGAGTCTTTAATTGTTGCCGTTAACGAGGCTTCTGATCATGAAAAGATTGTCTACGACCTCAATAAGAAGATCGAAAAGCTCAAAGAAGATCATGAATTGCAATTAGGAAAACAGATGAAATTCAATATGGCAAATGAAAAATCCCTGCAAAGACTCACTGAAAAGCAAATGGAGAATGACAAAGCTTTTAGCGACTTGAATGATAAAATGGAAAAGGAATTAAATAGGTATAAAAGTTTATTGGAATTGCATAGGCCTACTTCGGCTGAAATACTCGATACCGCCGTCACACCGACTGACAAGGCGAGGAAACATTTAGATTTAATTCTAAGAAGACTAAACGATTTTGAACAAGTACAATCGCAATTAGACGCTGTCATGGTGGAGAGGGATACCCTATTGAAACGTCTAGACATTGATAAGAAAAACGTTCCAGAAATTGGTAAATTAGACGAAGTATGGCTTTCCTATACAGCTGGAGTCGAGAGTCGAATAGCTGAATTGGAGACGTATATCGCCTCCAAAGACAATGATATTGTCAATTTGGAAAGGAAAAGGGAAGAGGGAATAATGCTAAAGCATAATTATCTACAATTGGAAGAGGCCATCTCGAAGAGAGATAAGCAAATTTCAGTTCTGCAGAATGAAATTATGAAATTAAAAAATGAGTTGGACAAATTTAGGGACGACGCTAAGAAGGATTCAATAAGAATCAAAAGGCCAAGAACTCCTATAAGGAAATTCTCGGCAAGGAGAAATTCTTTAGCAAGTAGCCTTCTCGACTTGGAGGAGGAGACTGGTAAAAAAGATTCCGGTTCACCCATGCCCATACGTTCTAGAAAGGACAAACTGCACAACGGCAACCTATTTGCATCGGATGATAATCAAAGAGGGTCTACAATGGCTCAAACAACTTACGGAGCTTCTAATGAAACGTCTATATCCCTCCCTTCTTTAACTAAAAACCCTCTGACAAAGTCTCATCACAAGGTTACCGCAGCCTTACCTAAGAATGGCCGACCGCTAGGTAGTTATTTGCAGCAAGCGCCACCTAGTAGCTTTCTACAAGTATCGGCTTTTCAAGGAAACGGAGGTATAACTAGTAACTATTCAAAGAGTATGAACACAGTTTCGGAGATAGCAAAAAGAAACTCTAGGTTTTGACTAAAGGAACCCAACTTAATATACACGAAACTATTGAGACAATCAATCATGCAGAGATAGCTCCTCTCCCTCCTCCTCCTCCTCCTCCTCCTCCGCCTCTCCTCCGTCCTCTCTTCCTTATAAGAAAAACTTTTTCTTTACATTTCGGTTGTGTTTTTCTGTTTTTTTTTTGAAGTTTATACGAATTTTCTTTACTTATTTTTTTGCACGGAAAACTTATTTTTGTATTATTATTTAAAATGTATTCTTTATATTGAAGGTAATGTTTATTCTCTCTTTTTGACACACTAATTAACTACTAAGTATATAAGCGTATACTGTATATATACAGTATATAATATACTGTATACAATCATTAATAAAATGAATAAAGTATATAAAAAGATTATTTAAGTCATTTGTTCTTCATCGTCATTGGGATAAAAATCTTCGGGTTTTACTAACAGTCTATTTATAAGTATCTGCTTTCTATTCTGCCTCTGTTTGCTGCTGCTGCGCTACTTCTCGTTCTACTCCTCCTATAATTTCAACTTTAAAACTACGGGGTCGCCTAGCACTAGTTCGTCGTCATCTTCGAACCATTCAGTTCCGGCGATCTTATAAAAATCGGGTGTTATTTCGGTATTTAGACCACTGGGTGCAAATTCTACTTCGGAAGATTTTTGATGTTCGCCGATAACTCTTATCTCTGGATCTTTATTAACGTCTTCACTTTCTGTTCTTATTATCTCCGGTTTTTTTTCGACCGGAAAAGTGTCATCATCTTCTAAAAGGCTGAAGCTGTTTTAGAAAGATAAAGATATTTTTATACACATATTCTAATGTAATGGAATGTTATGCCTACTTGAATCCTCCTACGAACATATCTTCTCCTGTACAACCTTCGGGAAGGGGTCTTTGACTAGGGGTCTCGTTCAAAAGATTTTCCTTTTTCGCTGCTTTCGCCTTTCTTACGTAGACTATTGTAAATAGTAACGCGCACAAGGCCATAAAAGCTGTTATGGAACCGAAGACAACTGCCAAAGGAGAAACACCTAATCGAGGTATATTGTCATCTTGGCAAACGAAGAGATCGGGCTTCAACGACATAAGGATCTCTCCTTTCAAATGTTTTGGTGTACTGCAAAATGCTTTGTCCGTTTTATTGAGCATAGTAATCCTTAAATGTTTCAGGTGACAATCGCAACAAAAATGATTATTAGATATGAGCAGGTTGGTTAAACTATTCCAAAATGGTAGATTAGGGGAGATTTTTTCAATATTCGACGACGAAACGTCTAGATAAGATAATTTTGAGCATTTAATAAAAGCATTGTCAGGAATCTCCGTCAAGTTTGTGTTCGACATAGTAACAGTTGTTAACTTGGGAAGATCACTAAAGGCAGACATAGCCATTGCCTGAATAGGATTCGAATCAAGTTTAACAACAGACAAGTTAGGTAAACTGCAAAAAGAGCAAATTGGGAGTTCAACAATAGAATTATTAGTTAAATCAACACTTGACAACTGTAGTAAGGAGCCTGCTTGAATTTCGGGTAAAGAATTAATATTATTATCTTTCAAGTATAGCCTTTCCACGTATTTCATTTGTTGATTAAAGATACTTCCGGCGATATTGTCTATCTGACAATTTTCGCACTCGAACGTTTGTAAGATTTGAAATGATGCTGGAAAATTAGTAATGTTCCTCAGTATATTCCCGTTTAGTTTCAGAACTTTTAACGACTTGAAACTACTCCATACTGATTCAAAATTCAATGTTTCTTCTCTAATAGAATTTCCTCCTAAATTCAATTCTTGAACATTTTCAAGCCCTTTGAACAGTTGAATGTTTTCATTTAAACTTATTTCATTATCCGCCAAGGAAAGTCTCTGTAAGTTCGTTAATTTTTTAAACGGAATTTCTTTGAGGAGAGAATCGTTTAATCGATTGCGTTCCATAATCAAATCCATTAAATTATCCATACTTCCAATCTGATTAAAGTCTTGTTTACTAAGAGTTTTTCCAGTCAAATTCAATGATTTTCCCTGGGCCTGGGAATTATTGGCTTTCGGAGGCGTTTTTTCCTTCGGAATGACCATAGTTAATATACTAGAAGTTGGCAGATTATCCGTAGCCGAGAATAAACAGAACAAGACGAAAAGATAAGCGTAATAGATCATATTGTAACAAAGTCAACGATTTTAGAGAAAAGTAACAAAACAAAAACGATAGATCACTATACAAAGAGGAGCATTAAAGTTAATTTCAAGCGATTATTAAGAATCATGCGATTATCAAATCACTAATTGATTTATATCTTTTCTTATTAAATTATCGTATAAATAACTATAAGATTAATAAAGTTTCTCCCCTTTTCTTTATGCTTTAGCTGTTGTTTTATAGACAACGTTTATTGCTCTTTCTTTCTCACTCTTCTTTCCTCCCTTTCTCTTCTTTAGCTTGCTGTCACTGGCCTCTTTTTTTTTTCACTACTATTATTCTGTAACAATACTGATAAGATAAAATATCTAAGAACGCCTATTTTCTCACTTATCTTTAACGCGACAATGTGTTATTTCAAATTTTTATCTGATAACCTTTTATTGCGATTATGATTCATGGTTCATTTCGAAATATTTTGTTAAATTGTCAAGCTAAGCTTTTGTTTATGGCTTAAAATAAATACGGCCGGTTATATCCGGTTATTTTGTTATTGTTGCATCTGTTTTCTATGATTCTGTCTCAGTCATCTTCCCCTTGAAAGGATGGAGCGATGCTAAAGGCTTTTTCCTCTCTCCCTCTCCCTCCCGACACTTACATATGTAAATATTAGTATATACAATGTACAAAATGAAAGCAAAAACAAAAGAGAGAAAGGGAGAAAGGAAAAGAGAAAGAGAGAGAGAGAGAGAGAAAGAAAGAAAAGTTCTCTCTCTTTTTATTTTTAATAAATAATAAAGAAAGGTCTTCTTTTGTCTCATATTTTTACATTATTAGCTATTTAAAAATAAATGAAATAATAAGGCTTTTTGTCCGTCAATAGCCTAATATTTATTTTAATCCTTTTTTTTTAATATTAGAGCTATTTCTTCATAAACATAAATAGAATATCCTTTAATTGCTTTCCATGTTCAGTTTTACCCAAGTAGTTAATTATTCAGCTTCTTTAATCATTATCATACATTGTCACTTAATTGCGCAAAAATTATCGGCTTTTACAAGGTAAAATCTATTTCACTCTCCTTCTTTCCTTTCTCTTTCTCTCTCTCTCTCCCTCTCTCTTCCTATAGAATTATTATTATATACATTTCAACAGGTTGAATTCAATATTTTGTAATTAATTAATTGACAGATTGAATAAAGCCAAGGTCTCTAGAATAGTTTGCGCCGCCTGACCTATTGTAGATATTGATGGTATTAACTTGTTCCAATTTCATTGCAAACTGCGCCATCTGTAGTTGTTTTATACTGAGAACTAAGAAGAAGAGAAAGAAAGATAGAGAGAAGAAGGACTAAACGGGGCAGGAAGAAAAAAAGGATTATGATCATTGAAATGATTTTGTCGTATAGAGATGTTAAAAATTTCTAAATTAAGAATGAGCAAATATATAAAGTTGTCTTAAAGAAATGCAATTTAGTCAATGCATCTTCGTCAATGATTTGTATAGACGATCAACTTAAATACATAACCTCCTGTAGAAGTTTCATTAATATTGTACAATTTGTAAACAATGAAGGTGGAAAGGATCGTTTAATTTTTTTTTCACGCCATCTACCGTTTTAGTCAATTGAACTGGAAAGAGAGAGGGGATGTATTCAATTTTTAGACTTTATCCTCTCATACTGATTATAGAAGCAAACAAAGGAGGATAGATATAGTAAGGAAGGAAGGATGGAACCGGGAAGGGAGGGAGGGAGGGAGGGAGGAAGGAAGGAAGGTTGGATAGTAAAATGGAAAGGGTTTATATTTGGAGAGAGAGAGAGAGAGTTAGAGAAAGGAGAAAGAACAAGCGACGAATACAGAGAAATATAATTCCCATATGTTTTTAATGATACGTCTCTAGTCGTTAGAGTTTTGATGCTTAGCCTTGGTCTTATTTCCCAGGGTGATAAAAAGAAACAGTTCAAGCTCTAATGATTTAATCTGTTTATTTAATTTTGATGAGCTAGCTTTTCTATTTATGCTATCTTTAAATAGATATAACTACATATATGTTTAAAGTTAACGATGCAATGTTTTATACTTTCTATGATAAACAACAAGGGAAAAGTTCATTAAAATTTAAGAGAGAGATATATCTAAAGCAATTGGATTAAATTGGAGCGAAGAGTGAGTAATTGTCACGTATCAACTAGAATCATGGACGCTCCAATAATAAACGCTCCGAGATATTTTACCGATAGTAACGAGCTGTTTACTTTCATAAAAGAAAAGACGTGTTTGTAAATGATTTTATTAAAGTTTGCAGTAGAATGTTTAGTGTAGACTGACTTTCACAGCAACACATACACCTACACACATAACACGCGTGCATGCATATATTGTACATATATAAATATATATACTGTATACATATATACATACATATACAAACATGACGCATTCGATGAAAAGAAAGATTAAGATATATAGTTTAAAGAGACTAAAGAGACGCTCCGCACGTTGGAAATGGCTTAAAGCGGATCGGATTTGAAAGCAAATGTACAGTATATTATACATATTATACAGCATATACATATAATTCTGAACAAGTATCGACTATGAGCCATTACTAAGGAAAATATTGATCATTATAAATTTATCTATGGTTCGATAAACCCTGAAGGAGCTCACCTAATTTTATTGATGAGATAAGAACAACATTTAAATAAAAAGTTCTTTATTTCCTAAAAGTATAGAAAAGTAAATGTAGGCGGGAGAAGGAAGACAAGGAAGAAAAGGAAAACTATAACGATTATAGGATAGAAGGAGAAACGAGGAAAATTCTCAGCGGATTAAGGAATTATTAAGAAAAGGGTCTATTATGATACAGTGCTGTTTTTAATAATAAATATAATATAAATGCAGTTTATTGCATTCAATTTTCCTTTCTTCCTCTTTATTCGATTAACAAAAATATCGGTGATTATTTCTTTTTCCCTTCAATACAGTCCTTTGTATTATTTGTCCTCGACAGAACTAGATACTTAAGCCTATTGGCATAGCAGTCGTACGGTTTTGTTCAGAGGAAGACCTATTTAATGATCACAAATAAGAACATCTCTTATTTTATTAGTAATTCGATATTTATTTTGTCTGTTAATGAGAATTTAACGTCATTGTTATTGTTATTGCAACATCATTTGACAGAATTCGTTATAGTCAATAACCCCGTCGCCGTTTACATCAGCGGCTTCCAACATTTCTGATATTTCCTGTTCGGTCATCTTCTCGCCAAATTTAATCATTGCTTCTTTCAATTCTTCTTTACTTATTGTTCCGTCTCCATTCTTGTCAAACATTTTAAAGGATTTCCATAATTCGTCTCTGGTCTCTTCCGAATTTTTATAGTGTCTGGATAAGAGCTGAAGAAACTCTTCAAATTTTATTGTTCCGTTACTATCTTTACCTAAATCATTCATGATGTCCTGTTAGATGGAAGAAAAGAGAGAGAGAGAGAGAGGAAATAATAGGTTTCGGATAGTGAATTTGAAAGAGAATCGATTAAAAGGTTAGACTTTAAATAAGATGACTACACTTATAATTCTATATGCTATATGCATTATTCAACATATTAGCGTTTATTAAAGGGCTATCTCTATATCTCTATGATTACGTTAAATAATATATACTGTATATACGTATACGTACATTGGTATACATGTATACATACTTTATATCAAATATCCTACAATCATTTATAATTTATTCAATAGAGAGATACAATATTTCAATTTCACTATCCTTTATATCATGCTCTGTAGGATTTTGTCCTAAAGCTCTCATCACGGACGCAAGATCGGTTGTTGTTATGTACTTCTTATGATCCTTGTCGAAAAGGTTAAACACTTGTCTAAACTCTAAAGAAAACGAAGGGGAGAAGCGTTTAGAAAGATAAATAGATAGGAGAGATAGGGGAAAGGAATGAGTAGACAGAATGAGTAAACAATTTTAGAGAAAAGGGAAGAAGAGCTTGAAGAGTAGAGAGAAAGGAAAATGTTTTACCTTCGATTTGTTCGTCACTGAATGGTTGCGCCTTTAATAAATAAGAAAAGATAAATGAACAGACATGAATGACTATATTCTATATATAAAATTAGTAAATAAGGTCGTCTAAAAAACACTGATATTTAAATTTAGCTATAGTAAAAATGAAAATTTAATGATGCATTGTATCGTTTGAGTATTTACAGTATTGCGGTAGCATTAGGAAAATGGAAAAGAAAGATGATAATAGTCACAAAAAAAAGTAGTACAATTGAGAAAATTTGTAAAAATGAATATTTTATAGATGAGAAGATTGAAAGCTTACCATAAATTCTAATATCTATTGCATTAAACACAACGAAAAGTAGACAACTGTTTTGGTTTTTACTCGGCGATTGGCCTCCCCCCTTTCTTTAGAACAACAACAATAACAGCCACAACGATAATTCTAATAATTACGATAATGGCAATAACAACAATAATAACAACAACACCAAACTAATACGATCCCAACTGTTGAGGAGCAGGAGGAGGAGGAGGAGGAGGAGGAGAAAGGGTAAATGGTATTTAGTTGAACGATTGCTTAACGTAGACTATTTCGAGGAGGAAGAATTCTACTTTTGTTCCAACTGATACTGAATAGAGAAGGCGCACCTGAGAACACCTCACAACAACGTATCCTAAAGCCAAGAAAATATATAAATGCGGACCTAATCCTCTAATCCCCCGTATCAATAGTTAAAAAAGAAATAGGCTTAGGTAATCTATTTATTAAAAAAGAAAGAGAGACTAATAACAATAAGAAGACTGCCTTTATTTTTTCTGAATATATTTTTATATAACATTTGTAAGAGTATCGATCAAAAATTTACAGCATACTCATTTGCAGTTCTTTTTCTCTCTTTATTATATTTATACTGCATTTATACTGTATATAGACAGATAGATATTAATATATTTGAAAGTTTATTTACTAGAATGTAAAGTATTTTGTATACAATGTTCCGCGGGTGTTGCATCCTCAACGTAGAGAGCGGAGTGTTGACAGAAAATCTCTGCAGCTTCTCCATGAATGTCTTCATGTTTATTATATATATACAGTATATATGTGCACTTGTAGTACGATTCATATATATATATATATGAATACATATTCATACTTATATTTGTTCTAATATATACACAGTGTGTATTATAAATTACACTTGTATTTCAAAGCTGCTATCGTAACAGGTGTCATTCAAATCTAAGTGTTTCCTACTCGCTTCACGAAAATATACTGTATGAAATTTATATTATATACATTCATATACTGTATATACAGTATATATATATATATATATATATATATATGTATGAATATGTCTAATATAATTTTACATCTACGTATATCTAATCAAATAAACACAATTGCACGTGTACCTAATCACATGTTCCTTCAGCTACGTATTTCACTTGTATATACAGTATATATATATATATATATATATATATATATATATATCTTTATATGTTTATATACGCATAAGTAACATGTGCTGCAAAATCAATCTACAGTTTATGGGTATTAAAATGAAATATGAACAAGAATTCAACATTCTTCTCCTGTGACTTGGATTGGTATTTTATACAATAAATATATATATATATATATATATATATATATATATATACATATACATAGAGATATATAGATATATTTATATAGACTTATACTAGTGTTGATATATTATAATTGGATAATGAAGAAAAGTCTTTTGATTTGTACTTATATTGTTATTGGAATAGGCCTATACGTTTTATATAATCTCTTAATGATTGGTAAGAATGAACAGAATATTGTAGAGTTTGAAAAACTAGAAAAGCTAGCTTTTCAAGATTTAATAAATGGGGAATGGCAAACTTTAAAGAAGGATTCAAATATCATTTACTTTCATAGAGCAATTTACGATTCTAGAAAATTCGAAAAATGGTCAAGTCCTTGCGTTACAATGTTTGTTCTTAGTAATACGCAGGAAGTCAACGATCTAGAAGATCTTACCTGTGGTTATACATTCTTTAATAGGACAATTCGTAGAAATACTAATGTTATACTAACTGACAAGGCTTTCAGATGGCATGAAACGCATCTTCAGGAATTTGTTGTTCAGTGTCCGGTGGACGGTATCTACCCAATTCCTACCTACATCTTCATAGAGAGAAATACTAATGATAGAGCTACACTCAAAATAGAGAGACCCTACGCAGGAAGTCACGATATAGGGATTTGCGTTCCAGTCATATACGGTTCATTCGACACGCATATGCTAATTGAATGGTTCGAATTGCATAAATTTTTCGGCGTAAATTTTTTCGATATAACCGTCTGGAATGTTTCGTCAGACGTTCTATCCGTTCTGAAATATTACGAATCACAGCAACAGCTTTTGCTAACGCTAGTGGATATACCATTCAAGGTGAAACTGGACCAGACTGCCTCCGGATTACAGCCTAGTAAGAAGCCATTTTTTCTTAAAGCATTTATGCCGATTGCTTTAAACGAATGCTATCTGATGAACTCGTTAAGGGCAAAATATATGCTATCGTTAGATTTTGACGAATTTATTTATATCAATATGACTAAATATCGAAGTTATAACCAACTTTTACAAAATTTTCACCACGACGAGTATTTCGTTAATCTTTTAATGGGAAAAGTTAAATTCGACATAAGCTGTCAGATGACCCTTAAAAGTTCCAGCTATATATTTCGACACGCTTTCAGACAACCACTAGAAACAATGAAAATGGCCGATAATCCAAAATCCTTCTTTAGGCCTACAAACTGCCCTTACATGGGTAATCACTTTTGCGTATGGAATAAGGAAGTAAGCCAAAAGGGATATCCTAGAGCGAAAACATCACAAGTTTTCGTCTCCCATTTCAGGAAGAGAGAAAAGTGCGAGGAATCTGTTAAACAAAAATATCAAATTGATAGAACTCTTAAATTTGCCGCACCTACATTATTAGAAAGATTTGCCAAGGTTAAAAACAAATTAAGATTAAAGAAAATAACTTGAAAAAGAAGACAACGTCCTAGTTTTTTCTTTTCTCTCTCTCTCTCTCTCTCTCTGTCTCTTTCATTCTTTCTGCTTTTGTTCTACTTTCTCTATTTAGCAGTTTTATTTTGTTTAAGTGATTTGTTTAATAAATAAAAATTGTTATTCAATCGCTTATTGAGTAAGATTGAATGAATCAGTAAATGAATAAATTAATGATCTTATATCGCAATATATTGTGACACAGAGAATAGACATTCTTCTTTTTGTGACCATACATATATAGATGTATACGTATATACTGTCTATACATATATTTAATGGTTGCGTAATTCTTTTGCGCATATCATTCTAGTGCCCTGTACAAAAGAAATATGCAGTGTCACAGTGAAAACGAGAAAATTAATTGGTGTTTATTTAAATGAACAAAGATAAATTGAACAGCTGGAACAAGAGAGAGAGAGAGAGAAAGAGAGAGAGAGAAAGATAAAAAAGGAAAGAGACAACATGAACACGTACTGTCATCGATTTAGAAGAAGAATAAGACGCTTGGTCGATCAAGTAAACAGAGACCTAAGCCATCCATTGTATTAATGAGAAAAAAGTGAAATTGGTCTGGCAATTAGTAGCATTATATTAAGTAAGCTATTAGCAGAAAAAAAGAGATGCTTGACAAGGCCACCTAATGCTACTCAATAGGTTTAAGAACTAGTTAAGTGAGCAATAAACTAACTAAACAAAAATGAGGCCTATATACGAATGTTTTTCACACATTAAACTCTTAATATATATCCCGGATATTAAATAGTACATAATTAACGATTTACGTGCGCGAAGGGTTAATCACCTATCTTTTTCCCTTACTAATTCGTTGCTTATATCTCATTTAGAAAACAGATGTTTGTAAAGTTGCTTAGACGTTAAAAGCACCCACTAACGCTAATATTTAATAGGAAATAAAGGTCACATGTATATTTAATAATATACCAGTTGTTCATTTATATGTAAACCATATTATTCCCATATACTAATATTTATTATATTTGTTATGCAAAGTTTCAAATATTCTCATTTTATAATTTAATATGCCATATCTTATGCTATTCTCTCATATTCTATTCAAGTTTTAGCCATTTTTTTTAACAAATCTTTTGCGTTTATCTACATTCTTAATGGACAGAGAGAGAGAGAGAGAGAAGAGTGTAGAGAAAGGGCATTCACTAATATGGAATTGTTATATAAATATTCAATCCTTTTTTTCTCTATATTCAATTATCTGAATTAAAAACCAATACATACAGTATTTTTTTAGCCTATTAGTTTAAAAAAAAACTGCAATATTCATTTTTTAGAAGGAATAAGTGTAATAAATCTAATATTATATCATCATCATTATCATCATCATCATCATCATCATCATCATCATCATCAATATTCATTATAATCATCAAAGTTATCATCATTTCCTTTAACTAGAAGTATTGTTTAGAAAAAAAAGATGCTAATGAATTAGTTTATTAATTGATTTATCATCTTTTTTTGTAAACTTTATTAGAATTATTAATATTCATATTTTGTTGTTGTTGATATTGTTGTTGCTGTCATTATTATTCTTATTCTTCTTTTTGTAGTTTAGTAATCTTGTTATTCATTTACAGTTAAAATTATTCAAGGAGAAGAAAGTTAAAAAAACATTAACAGTCATTATAATAGACAGAGAGAAAGAGAAAGAGAGAGAGAGAGAGGAAAGAGTGTTTTGGAGAATTCAAAGGTTTACTACATAAATTATAAAATGTTCATATTTCTCCCAATCAAGATAGTTCAATTATCTTTCTTGTCTTGATAGTTTGCTGGAGGACTGGCTTCATAATTTTTGTGTTCAATTATCATGCAACCGTCAACATAAAGCTCATAGATCGCTCTAGCATTATGCTCAATTCTTTTGATTCTACCGCTGTGCATTTGTGCTTGCTCAGTTTGATTGACTAGAAAGTTGAAATCAATCGCAATTCCTTCTTCAGAAAAGTACTGATTAGTATCCCAATACGACCCATTTGCCCAAACTTCTCCAGTTTTCTCACCTGTAGAAAACCACGACTAATCGTTAGCAAACAGTAAACAGTTGTAAAATTATCTTGCGCTTTGTTTACATCTACTTTACATTCTCTCTCCTAAAGGGAGATCCAACTAGTCTCTCTCTCTCGCCCCCGTCTTAATGAAAAATTAGGCCTAATGAAACGAATAAAAAAAATCTTTACTAATTATCCCACCGCTAATACAAGCGCCACAACCACTACTACCATTACTACCAACTCAATCAGGCTTCACTCCTAAAAGCAACATTCTAAAGGGAAAAGGCAAAGTCGGGTCACATGACTTTTGAATAAAATATTCACAGCTACTTTTATTTCAGCCTTTCATGGTCTTTAGAATAGAATATTGAACAAGTTGATTACTACATGCATATAATACATCTACGTTTCTGACTTGTAGTCAACATTTACCTCCTACGTTTTATAAGAGTTATAAAGGGTTATTTCTGCTATAAAGCCAATAGATATCTAATAATAAAGTATAATCATTCGTCCAAATGATTTCCAAGTGTAATAATTAATACATTTTCTAATAGAAAATGCCTAATATATGTACATTTTTAAATATGTTATGTCCGTTAATTATGGATAATACTATATTAATAATTTGATGTTAATATTGCCCTTTATATAGATTGCTATATACTTTTCAAACAGAAAATGAACAATCTCCCAAAGAGAAAGAAGAAGAAGATGGCTCTCCATCTTTTTATCATTAAGAAACTTCTCTTAATATTCTCTCCCTGTTTTTCGTCTGCTCTCGTCTTACTTTCCTACCCGAATATATCATTTATTTCTTACTAGTTTACCCAAATCAACTTACTATACATGACAGTTGTAGGTTCGTCATCGCACATCCAATACCAGACTTTGGTGTTATCGGTTGACATCGGTGGGGTGGGATCACCTGATGGTGTTTGTAAGCTATGGAAACCAAAATATCATGTACAAAATGATTGATCAATGTAGAATATTCCTATATCGATTAGTTTGGCTTGTTTGTCAAGTTCTATCAACGAGTTGAGACTCGACCTTTTTTTTCTTTTTTTTTATTGTATTTCTATTTTTTCTCTCTTACGTAATTTTAACACTTTAATAGACATGTTTGCATGCTATATTTCAAACAGACTATATATCAATAGACGCTAGTTATTAGCAACATAACAAAATTCGTGTCAGTCTATTAACTATTCATTGAAAAATAAAATACTTCCAACGTAGTAGGGGAAGAGACAGAGAGAGATGGAGGGAAATAGAAGGAGATAATGGGAGAGAGGAGACAGAAGGACGATAACCAAACCACCGAACCCTTAGGTTTCCTTTTTCTTTCTATGACTAAGAAAGATTTATATATTCTCTCTCCCCGTTTATTTTCCCATTGCTCAAAACAAAACATGCAACTTGGATATTTATTTCAATGAAGAAGGAAGGAAAATCGGAAGAAATTTCCAAAAGGATTAAGGGAAAATCCCTTCTCTTTTCTACTTTTTCCCCCCGTTTTAGCTCGAATGCAAAAAGGAAAGAAAAAGTAATTTTTTTAATATAAATATTAATAAAGTATTCAATGTTTTGAATGTATCCTTATTATTTATAAACTTTTATAATATTGTTGAAATTTCGTTGACATTATAAAACAAAAATTGATAGTTTTTAGTGAATATTTATGCAATAGATTCCTTGTATGAACTCGGTGAATAAGACAATAAATCTAAAAATAGACTATATATATATATATATATATATATATATATATATATATACAGACATATATATATATATATATATATATATAGTGGTTCATCGCATTTATTTTATACACTATTCTCTCATTTTATTCTCTTTGTATGAAAAGTATCTCCTATTCAAGGTAAAACTTACTTTCTTGGTTGAGAAGCTTTCTTCTTAGGTTTGGCGCTTTTAGGCTTTGAGACGCCCTTTTTTCCTGCAGTCAACAGGATAGACATGTTCAGTTCTGTCGCTTGAACGGTAGAATGCCAAATACTTCAACTTAGATGATCAATTTTAGCACGTGACTTCCGTTATTGATCTGCTCATGTAGTGTTTGTCCGCTTGTCTATTGATTATCGTGTACAGTGACTGACTATCAGCATCTTGATTGCTGTCAACATTATGAGGGAAAGGGGATAAAAATCGTTTTTGGCTGGTCGAGCCGCAAATATGCTATTAACGTTCAATCAGTCATTTTCCAGTTGAAAAGGTGACTTGTCGTTTAGGGGTCACCGGTTAATTTATTTTAATTTCCCTACTTAACGGGTATCTTACTTTATGGAGCGTGTAAACCAGACAAATTCTATCAACCTAAAACCTTAGTTCGCTAGGGCCGTCGCTCATTCATTCATTCATTCATTCATTTTCCCGCTATTGTTTTTCTACGAAATAGAAGCACACTCTTCCCTAAAAGATAAGAAAACGAATACAAAGATTGGAAATCTTCCGCGTTTGTTTTATTCTTTATATTCTGCTTCTTTGAGAGATAGAGGAGAGATATATAGTTCAAATGATCTTTCCATTTATATCTGTTTGCCTAATAAACGATGACATTGGATTTTAAGAAGTTTGTATAGAATTGTTAAACGATTAATGATAATTTCAATTTTTTATCCGTTCAAAAAAGTTCAATAACAAAAGGAGAAAATGCTACCTTGATCCGTTTTTTGTGTTTTATTGATTAAGTTGCCTATAGTTTTACAGTAAGATTTTTTTTAAAAAAGTGTTGCATCATCAATTTTTTCTTTATTTTATATTTTTTAACCAGAAATTCTAACAAATAAGAAAAAAAAACACGTTATTGTCTCTGTTTCCATATACTTCTTCTTCTTCTTCTTCTTCTTCTTTTCTTGTTCATCTTCTCCTCATCCTCCTCTTTTTCCTTTATAAACAGTCTTTTCTTTATTTAAATCTTTAAAAACTCATCGACTAGTCTTTATACTTTCAATGGAGAGAAATTGAAAAAGAAAAATAGAAACAGGTTTGTATTGTGTGTAAAGAGAGAAAGAGAGAGAGATAGAAAAAACACTCAATCTTCATTCTCATAGTTAACTAGGGGTCTCTGCAAGGACGGAGGGGGGAATGAACATGTAGAATTTCGTTGATTGTCCAACTCTCTTATCTGTCCAACTTCCGTGGGAAATTCTGAAAATGATCTGCATACGATAACGACAGAAGAGATCTGAAAAAAATGAAATTAATGAATATGTCAGAATCAAATCCGCCAGATGGCCGTTTATCTAAATAAAACTTACATTTGAGAGGAATAATACAATTAATATTCCCAATTTGATAGTTGCGATATTAGGATCAATTGTTCCGAGGATTCTCCTCTCTTTCTCGCAAGCCGATTTACTATGTTCAGCAACGCAGTGAACTATTACAATGACCAAAAAATATTTGATAACTATATTGAGCGATTTATTATAATTCTATATTAATTAAGAAAGGTGATTGGCGGTGGAATGGGTGGGGTATTAACCCTAACCCTAACCCTACACTACTTTAATTTTCCCCTCTAATGATTGCAATAAGGGGACAAGTAAAAAAGAATTTCTCTTTATTTTACCGAGAACTCGGCAGCTTGCAATTATTGCAACGACGAAGAGCGGTAAGAGTAGACAAGTGAGAACCAACCAGGGAATGAGCAAAAACTGGATTTTCTGAAATGAAACGTCTTTTATTAATACAATAGATACGAAGAGTATTGCAAACAGAGAAGAAGCAGAAGAAGATGAGCACGCAGAAGAAGAAGAAGAAGAAGAAGAAATAAAGGAATTGGATAGAAAGAAATATAATAAAAAAAAATAGTCGCCGTTTAGCTAATGGACTGGTTTTCATATATATTTTTTTCCCATTTTCCAGTTTTACGATAGCTACAGTCGCAACTAGACTATTCGTAAACATGATTTTACCATTTCTCCGTTAAATTAAATTGTTGGTAACGTGCCTCGGGTTCGGACGTTTTTTTTTCCCACTAGTAACACACACACTCAGTCATTCTCTCTCTCTCTCATCTCTCTTTTCTCATCCAATCGAATTCTACGTTTTATTTAGATATTTATTTATATAAACGTATTAATAATATGTTGAACCTTTTTTCTTATTATTGTCTATTTGCTTCTCTCCCCGCTTCCACTCTTTTTCATCATTTCTCTCTCTCTCTCTCTTTCATCTTTTCTTTCTCCTATCTACATGCTATGTTTGTATATGTTAAAGAATTTTAGTTAGTACTTTAACGCTATAAACCAGTCGACTCTTTAATGATCCTTATCTAATTTCCAAGGGATTAATCCTGTTAATTTTATCCGGATATCCGTTGAGGCTATCTATTCTAGGTAACAATTGATTTCCGATTGCCTCTTTAGAAGCTTTGAAATATAAATGCTTCTGTATGTATAAAAAAGAAGAGAGAAAATCAATGCAAATATCCCCAAATGGAATTGGCTAAGTGCTGCAGTCGTTTTTGCAGATCAGTTTACCGTAGTCAAACAGTGTTTTTTTTGGTCCCAAATGCCTTCAGTACACGTCTTTCCCTCCCTACAAGCTAATAAACAAGGAAAAAGACTTGAACGAGTTTTCTAACAAACAGGTTCAGCAGTGCTTTTAGTTTTATTAAGTGAAATACAAAGAGAGAGAGAGAAAGAGAGAGAGAGAGAAACTGATAAACAGAGAGGCAGAACAAATCGAACATAGAGAAAAAGGGCCTTGTTTTACCTAATATTTAATATTTTTTGTATATATATTTGTAATATAAATGGGCTTAGTTGGCGTAGCAAAGTTATTCATTGGTCCTTAATATTTCCAGAATACCTATATAATCTGATTATAGGAGATAAATTAACGAAATTAACTAATCAATAAAAGTAACGAATTAGAAATCAGGGCGCCGTCGGCGAATAACCAGCTAATCAATTTCTTACGTTCTCTTTAAATCGCTCTTAATAATCCCGCTTTAAAGGCAATTCATCTGATTTATCAAGACTCTTTTCTAGTTTTCCATCACTATGTCAAACTTGTAGTGCTAGACATATAATTATCCTGGCAAAAAAACAACGCTTACGCATCTCTTTTTAAGTCTGTGCTTTCGTTGAAAAAGGAGAAAAATAATAATCTTACATATAAGCCTATTCTGTATAGCGAAAAGGCCAAATAGAAAAGGAAAATATGGAGAGAAAGTGGCTTTTAGATTAGAGAAGCACAATCGCTCCTAATTAACGAATAATTACGATAGAAATCGGCCTATACATACCTTAACAATGGCAAGGAGTAGAAGAAAACTGACTATGAACCATACGATGCAAAAAGCAATTCCAACGTAGTTTCTCAGGTCAAAACCTCCCTCGAGAAAGATCTCATGAACGAGAATTAGAGTTGCCGATGTCTGAAGATAAAGGCTATTGAGTGAATGATACAATTGCTATAATTATAATTGAGCCTATAGTAATGATTATGACAAACGATTATTATTATTATTATTGTTATTATCAACAACCGTTGTACGATATAGTAACTAATAAACAATAAACAGTATTAGATTTGTCACTTGTACGTATACGCTACTGTGAAGTATATATTAGAAATTTATGCGATAATTGTTCTGTAGGCCTAGTTTTTTGTTTAAAGCAAACAAATGAAAAACTTAATCACAAAGTCATTGATAAAAGAAATGTATAGCTGGATGGATGAATGGATGAAATGAAAAAAAGAAACAATATATAAATAAATAACGTACCGTAGAAACAGCAACGGCTATATAAGAACTTCTAACTGATTTGCAGCAATTTTGTTGCGGTTGTTGGCTGCCTTCGGCTAGACTAGTTGATAATTTACTGTAGCCTTTCTTCGAATAGGAAGAACGAACAACTAGCATATCTGTAGGAACAATTTTCAATTGGTATGAAAAGCTATAGTAGGCGTCATAGACCGTTTGCAACTCGATTAACGTTCCCCCTACTCCCTATACACTTTTTACTTTTGGTAAATAGAAAGCGTTTAGCATCATTCCACCTCATTGCCAAAACAAACTATCTTCAAAAGTCTCCCTCCACAATTGTATACATTCTTAATAATAAGAAAAATGCCATAATGATTACATCACGCTATTATTCTATTTACGATATACTTGTATATACAGTTTTTTTAATCATTTTACCTGCCTGTATGATCTCCTGCTTAGTCGATACTTTCTATACGAATACTTAGTAAGCTACCGCTTTCTATTTTATAACTATGCTGTCGATTGACGTTCAGTTCGTACATGTTTATTTATAGAATAAACACCTATAGGCGCACGTCCTCTTCACGAGGTGATCCACTCATAAATAAACGAACACTTACACTATCCATCATTCTATTTGTCTCTCTTTACCTATATCCGTCTCTCTTTCCCTATCTTTGTACGTTTCTTCACATTCGATAATTGTTTATCTTACTTAAAAAAACGTATAGACCTACTAGCTCTTAGATGACGCTATGTTACCTTGGGCGTTTTCTCGGCAATTAAATGTAAGAAGTTCCTAAATGGATCTAATAGTAATCTATACTTAAGATGTTCTAACCATCACTAATTCAGATAATTCAGAGCAAATATTTTGGTACAGCTATATGTCTATGTTTGTCTATATACAATATATTGTATATACTGTATATATTACTATATATACATATATGAATATACAGTACAACACGTAGGTTTTAATGCAGAGAGAGAGAGAAAGACCACGCGAACTAGTTGTTTTTAATTCAAATTCTTCGGAAACGCTAAGAAAAGATGAGCTATTCTTCCATCGTATAAAGCGAATGCAACGCAAATATTGTCAAGCACGACCAATTAAGCTTAAGTAGAACGTAGACTCCATTCAAGGGCAAGGACATTTCAAAGAGTAAAAAGAATAAAGAATTGCCTTATCTACTCGAATAAAGGTATAAACTCTTCAATATAACCTCCTTGACCTTAGAAGAATGGGGTGAAATTGGAGTGACGTCATTTTTTAGACTTGTCCTAGTAAATCGGTATAATGAATACGAACGACTTGTACATAGAGAACCGATAGATAAATAATAGTAGATCGATAATTTTTCATCATGCTTTTTTTACACAGCATACAAAATTTTTTTTGCAAGGGACTGGATAAATCCCAAATCCCTTTTGCTTATATTTCCTTCATCTTCTTTTTCTTTATTACGCGATTTAGAAGCAGCAAAGAGAAGAGAGAGAGAGACAAAGTGAAAGGGGGATTAAGCGAGGGGAAAAAACCCCCCTTTCCTCTCATAAACTCATTAGTAGTTAGTTCGATACCAATTTCTATTATACACTTAATGTTCGTAAACAAACGTACAACTGCACTTAAAAAGTGTACACACAACATATAGCGTGTACATCAAAACAGGACAATATAATGTAGATTGTTGAGTCAAGGGATGACTGGATTTGTATATACATTGCAGTTTTATTACCATTATTTATGCTATTCTATTGATTTTCATCGTTTTTCGTTTTACTTTTATAGTTCAATTCTTTTTTAAATGTTGAAAAAAGCTTCAAACTAAGAGAAAGCGTCTCTCCTTTATCGTTTCAATTAAGCTCATGAATTGGCAATAAGTCACAACGGAATTGCTTTGTCCATCCAACTCTCTTGATCGATTTTTTTTTCTTATAAAAATTATTCCATTTCAAGATAAACTCAAATCGTCTTTTAATTTGCCTTTCTCTTCATTCCCTGTCACTCTTACTTTTCCTCTATCACATTCCGTGCCCCTCTTCTATCCCTAACTATCTGCTCCCCATCTCTCTAGTCTTCCTTTTTCCGATTCATCTTTTTTTGCTTTTTCTTATAATGTCTGTTTATATTTCCTGCTCTCCCTCATTCAGCCTCCTTCATTCTCGGTAGGCCTACTCTCCTTCTTGTCACATAGCCCTTTTTCAATGCCTGCCAAATTCTTACCCTCCCCCAAATCTACACCCATAGGAATACAGTCGTATCCTTATAAATATATATTATTTACTGTACATACATACACGGATAAAGAGACGGATATATACTATATATATATATATATATATATATATATATATATAGTATATATATAGATAAATACATATACATAAATACATGGACATGCGTCCGATTATGCCTATATATGTATATATATATATATATATATATATATATGTTTACAGCCTTTAGCTATCTCGCTCTTTATTATGAGTTAATTTCTTCAATCTACCGTAGTGGCCAGTTTATCTTTCTGTTTTATTATTATGCTTATATTTTAAAGAAATAGATACGTTGCGTAACATGTTCTTATTATATAATCCATTTGTCAATTATTATAAATTAACCAAAAACTCACCTGATTCTTACATTTTCCCAAACAAATTTGAATGCTCGATTTCTACTACCGCGTACTACTCAGAGCTAGCAGAATGAAGCGACACCTTGTAGCGATATTCTCTCAGTAACCATTAGCAACCTGGAAAAGTTTCGTTGGGATTTAACAATTTTGATAGAAATCTGAAAAATGAGAAAGAAAGAAGACAATGAAGAGTTAATGGTCGGTTAACGGGAGAGAGAGAGGGGGACGTGGGGAGGGGAGAAAGGAAATATAGAGACAGATAGAGAAAGACGAAAAGAGAGTGAAAAAGAAGAAGACAGATAGACAGAATAAATAGAAAACGGAAAAGAAAATTCTATATGACTGTTGGGTTAGAGAAATATAATTTTTGCATAAATATTTTATGAATTGTACTAGAAGAGTACTAGACCAAATAGAATATAATATATACATAAGCCTTATATATTGCCCTATATATTGTTTATGTTTTCTTTCATCTATCATTCTCCTCATCTTCCAACTCTTTGAAAAGTTCCTATGCTTCTCTTTTCAATATTTGCATTTCGGCTATTTATTTGTTTGTTTTCAACATTTCCATAATTTCCCTAATGTAAATAGAAAGAAAGAAAGAAAGTGAGAGAAGCGAGAGAGATGGAAGGTAGAAAAAAATACTCGTTTTCTTGCATCGTCACTTCTTAATTAATCGGGTATTTGTGAGTTGTTTGCAAAAGTAATGATTAAGTATGGATGCGGTGTCATCGATTAGAATAATCGTACAGGAGCTTTTTAAAAAAGAGGCTCTAGTGAAAAAGTAGAAAATGGAGAAATTTAAAAAGGCGGGATTGTTAAATTTCGATTCAATTGCAATACGATTTTTCAATTGTTTTTCAACTGGAAAGTGAGAAAGGAGAATAGGGATAAATGAATAAACAATGTAGTATATCTTCTCATCCGCCTAGCAGAATCGATCCAATGACAAAGTCGTTGCATTATAAGCAAAAGATATTGCGCTCTATCGTATGCCGGCAGGCCATTGGATAAATTCAAAGAGATAATGTTCGTCACGTCTCTCCTCTTTTCTCTTGTTAGTCCTTGTCTTTTTTTTACCATTTTAAAGATAAAACCAACCAAAAAATTAATAGCAAAAACAGAAATGTATTTTCTATCGTTCTGTAGTTATATTAGGTATTGTGTATGCAAACTAATAAGCAAATACCGTACAATTGTACAACTAGAAGAATAGCATACCAACTAGGCCTATATACAGATGTTTTCATAGCTAATTAAATTTCTAATTTTCTCTTTTAAACATTTTTCTGTTGGCAAAGCGAATCTAAAAAATAACAGGCTACGTGACTCTTTTAAAAAAACATTAATTAGCTGGCCTTGATTCTCTTTTTCATTTTTGAATATCAGATGGCGCTTTCATCCATCGCATTTTATTCTTTTTATTATTTAAATAAATAAAAATATGTAGGAGTAGCGATAAGTAGAGGGAATAAAAGAAAAAGGAAAGGAGAAGAGAGAGAGAGAGAGGGGGGGAGGGGGCAGGAGGATAGAATAAATAAACCATAATAAAGTCAATAATAGGGGGAAATGTATAAAAAGAAGAAGAAAAATAAAAGTTTAAAATGTAGGAAAGATAGGAAAAACTGAACATTGCAATAGGATCCATAAGATCTAGTCAGTAAGGAATAGGCTGTTTAATAAATCATCCATAGAGAATATAAAAGCAATAATAAAGAAGAATCGACACCGTCCACGGACCTTATACGGGACTTAATCGTCTTACAGCTAGAACGAACGAGAGAGAGAGAGAGAGAAAAAGAGAGGAAGATAGTTGAAAAATTAGGAAATCGATTTGAGAAATGCTGAAAACATATCCTCCTTATTACTTCAATATCCATTTGATTATCGTTCCGTTCAAAGCGAATTGGATCAATTAACAACGATTTTCTTGCAAACATTTTAAAGATTACATAATAAAAAGAAACGTATCAAAATGTTCAATTTCCACTTTTTCCATACATATATCTTTATTAATTTACTCTTTCATTTATTATTCTCTTTAATCGCTTTGTCTTTTTCGCTTATTCCTCTTCCTCTTCTTCCTCTTCTTCTTCTTCTTCTTCTAGATTTTGTTGTTGTATCTCTCTTTAAGAGAAATTACTAGTAACAGTAATATTTTAATACTGTTTCCTATAGATCTCCAGTTGAGTTTACTCTGCTTCTCATTATCCTTTCTTTGCTCCTTCGCCTCTACTTCTTCCTCTTCCTCCTTTTTACTTCCAAATTGTTTCTACTCGAATTTCTCCTTCACGCTCCTTTTAGTTAAAAAGTTCAGGAGCTTATTGACGAAAACGTATTAATTACTCGAAGAGAGCGAAGAAGACGTTAATCAATTTATTCCTTTGTAAGAAAGTGTTCTTTCTCCGGTTTTTTCTCTTTGACTTTTAGCAAATTCTAACTTTTTCGCAAAACCTATCAAGGATGATAAAGCAAAAGAGCAGAGAATTAAGCGAAGCGTATCTTCTCCTCGCTTAATGTCTAGGCCTAATGAGAACGAAAGTGCTCTGGGATTATAAATTAATAAGGTAATGATAAGGGTAGCTATAAAAGCTAGATGAGGGTAAAGGGGAGAAGTTGATAGGGGGGAAAGGAAACGAAAGGGAATAGAACATAGAGAGAGAGAGAGAGAGAGAAAGAAACGTTGGAAAAGAGAGATGGAAAAAAAATAAAAGAGAGGGAATATGTATTCAATTTGTAATTTATAACGGATTATGCAGGATGGTAGCGCTCGATCTAAATCATTCTCTCTCCTCTTGCGAGAATTTTGCCTCAAGAATCAATTAAAAGAGAATACCATCAAATATTTTTATAAGGCTCATTTTATAAATGGGGCATCGATTAGGTCTAGTTTACCTGACTAAAGACTTTTTGCCACATTATTTTAGATCCTGCCTCAAGGGCAATTGCTCTTTTTTTTCCTCTCTTTTCTTTTTTCGCCCCAAATAATCTTTAGACGAAATCTTTAAGAAGTCTTTCTCCTTTTTGTCTTAGAAAAAGGTCCTACGAATTTAATGGTCTCTGTAGGCCTAATTATTCAGGAATATTGTTAGGTAACACGATATATTGCATATTGAGCGAATCGCCTAGTCCCACATATATATATATATATATATATACATACAGTGTATACTATATATATATATATATATATGTATTAGTATGTAGGAATAAGTAAAACATTCCAATGGTATATAGGCGAAAAGAACCTGCGAACTCGAAGAGAAAATGGATGAAATGTTATTAATGAGGCAAAGAAGAGCGATCGAAGCGCCATCTACGGTCCTCTTTTTCTACTTAAGGTTGTTTAAAATAAACTGGTGGTTCAAAGAAAAAAAATGATCAATAAATTATAGATTGATTTATCCAAAATCAGGGCCTAATTTACGCATGCGCAAAGATTCGTTGACAACCATAATTCAATTATAGATTTTCTACAACGTTCCCGTCCAGTCAATCATAGTTCTTTTTTTTTTTGTGAACACCTAACTACAGAGTCGACATAATTAAAAACACAACCTATTTACTAAAGAAAAGAATTCAACACAACGGTTAGTTTTCTTCTGTGTTTTTTTTTCGCTCTTATCCTTCTCTTTTTCCCTTTTTCCCTTTTATTTATTTTATAAAATGAATTTATCAACAAACACGTTTATTTCTCTTTCTATCATCCAACTTAACTTCCATATATACAGTCGTCGAGAAGAGGGAGCGGCGCTTGACAGTTTCTTCGCTCCTCCTTTATTCAATCTATTCTACTAATCTCCTCCCTATTATCTATTGTTTTCCGCGCTCACTCCCTCCCTCGTTCCCTCCCTCCGTTTCCCACCTACTATTAGTTAAATAGACGGTGACGAAGATAGTAATTAGCCATATTCAATTAAGAGGCGGCTGAATTATTCACATTTCCACGTTATGACAAAAGCTTTATGCCAATTAATGAAAATGTTATAGAGAGTTTGTTTTCCTTGTTTTGTTTTAAAAATAAAGGAAAGGATAAAATTAAAAGAAAGATAGCAGGAGAACAAGAGAACGACGGCATTTCCGCTTTGAGGTAAATACAGCTAGAATTACAGAAATGAAAACGTAACATAATGTACACGATATAGTAAAATTCTTATCTCGATAAATAAAGATCTGTATAGGATTAAAGCGGAGCAAGGCGCCGAGTTTTGCAGTACTGCGAGCAATCTGCACTGTGAAAACAGGAAAAAAAGTCTTGCTGCCTGTCAAAATGAGTTTTAAAGGAGGATACATTAGTATGATAAAGAATAAGTACAAGAGTAGAATTAAGAGGTCCAAATCAAAGGTATAATTAGCTTGTTCTTGTCTTTAGCATCCGTGCTGATAATTTAATATCGATCGTCTATCAGTAGACTCATCTTGACGATTTACGTTTCTTCGCGTACTTTGCAATCTTTATTCTTTCTAGATAGTAAATAAATTATCCAGTTTTATATATAAATATCTATATATAAAGTATATATATCAATATATATGTATATATCTTTTTTGTTGCTTATCTCTTCCTTTTTGAAGTATTCAGTCTATTTTTTTTGTCTAAATCTCTCTATTTGTTCTTTATCTATGTTCTAGTAATTAAGTTTTCTCCTCTTCCTCTGTTTTTTCTTTTATTTTTCTGCTTCTCTCTAACCCCCTCCCCACTCTCTTTTTTCCCCCTCCTCTCCCCTCCCCTCTCCTTTCATTTTATCATAATCTTCCCTCATAACTGCTACTTACTTACGCTTATTTTCTTGTTTTCTCTCTCTTCGTCTTCTCATTCACTTTCTTACTCACCCACCCAAATCACCCGCTTCGACTTTCAACGTATTCGATCTTCTATCTATACGGTCTCTCCCATACCCCCTAACCCAACCACTCAGCATAAAACGGATTCAATAGAAACCTAAATCTACGTAAATGCAACTAGAGAAGGAGAGAAATCTTCTTATCTTATCTACATTTGTATATAAAGTAATACAGCACGCCGTACCGAGTAGAACGGCTTAATTCTCTTTTGAATCTATAATAGATTTATTAATTGCCAAAATGTCTACCGCCCACTTAGCATCCTAGAAGCTTGTTCTTTCTCTCTCTTTCTCCTACTCTTCTTCTTACTCTTCCTAAATTCACCTCGTATCGTTACTTGTTTGTTTTTGGATACGTTTCGAAAAACTTTTGGAGTAAAGCTTGATTAAGTAATTTTTTTTTCTTCGTTATTTCCCGCCTACTTTCGGTTCAGTCTCTTATAAGGATAAAAGAGCTTCTTAGACCGCCCAGTAAGAAGAAGAAAATCCATCCGTTTTACAACCTTTAATGTTGGAATTAGGATTTACTTCCTTAGATAAACTACTAAACTAATTTTGGCCTAACTCTTTAATCTGTCTAGAGCCTTTTTTTTTCATAAAAAAAGAGAGATTCCCTATTTCAAAGAGGAATAACAACATCTGTAATATTAATAGGCCAAAATATGCTTTTTTTTCTCTTTCTTTGTTTTTTACCTTGTACTATTTTCTCTGTTCTTTTTTATATCATTCATTCATTCGGTTGGTTTATTGCGTCATTGCTCGTTTTAGTACAAAGGAAGAGGGTCTTTTATTCAATAAATCAATCGGATACTATTAACAAGCATAAAAAGAAAAACTTGGAGCTAGTTTTAGTCTCGTCCTAATCTTCTTAGTATATCGAATAGTGTATTAAAAAAAAACAGTCTTACTATTACTATCATTATTATTCATAGTTAATCCACAATTCTTAAATATTCCCTTTGCGCTTTTTCTACTCTTTTCCAGTCTTCTTCTTTCGCCGCTCACTCCGTCGCTCCTTCATTCGTATTCAAGTTAATCCTTTACTATCTCTTAATTATATTTTCTATTATCTACTTCTGATAATCGGAAAGTGACACGTTTCAGTAATTTCTTTGAATCTATCTTCGTTCAACTGCTTTCTAATTTCAAAGATACGAAACATTGTAAATTCATATTTTTTGAATTCATAATAAAAGATTATTTCAACTTTTCAAATACATTCAAATTTTTAGAACAAAAACATGGAACAAACTGAACCGGAAGTTGATCAAAAAGAAAAGGATAAAGAGTGGATGGAAAAATATGACTTTACATCCGATCAACTAGCCGAATTGAAAGAGGTGTTTAATCTATTAGACGAAGGCGGAAACGGTACAATAGACGCTATGCAGATAGGGAATGCTCTAAGAGCTATAGGACAAAATCCTACTGAACAAGATTGTAGATCAATGATAGAAGAATGCGAATGTAACGATGATAATACTATTGATTTTGAAGAGTTTATAAGGGTCGTAGGGGCAAGGGGATTGAAAGGATATTACGACATGCAAGAAGAACTAGAAGAGGCTTTTAAAGTGTTTGATAAACAAGGTACAGGCCTACTGGACGTGCAGGAATTAAAAGAAGCCTTAAAGAATTTAGGAGAACCAGTGCCCGAAGATGAAGTTAATGAATTATTGAAAATGGCGAATGTAGAAGGCGATGGGAAATTCGATTTTCACGGTAAGTTGCTTTTTCTTTTTTATCTCTTTACGAGTAGAAGTAGGATGAGTAGGCTGAGTAGGAGGAGTAGGAGGACGAGAAGGAGAAGAAGAGGAAGAAGAAGGAAATAGTACGAGGAGGAGGAGGATGATGATAGGAGACTATTATTAATGATAAGGAATAAGGGAATATACTGTATATATATATACTAATATATACAGTATATACAGTGTAGATATATAGATATATATACTACTTGAAAAGAAGAAGAGAGAAGAGGGGGGATGTTTATTCTTTAGGCATATTATCATTGTAACAATTTTTTAAGAAGAAAAATTGAAAAGTAGCGTATTGAAAATATTTTGTCTGTTACCAACCCTTTTTTAGGTTTAGCGTAAGGTGTCTACTAACTATATTTTATATAGTGACCTTTTGCATAACTCTGATAAAAAGGCCATTTCAACAGGATAAGAATACAGCTGGATATATTTCAGCTGATTATATTTACGATTGTAAAAAAATAAATAAAATCAAAAAAAAAGAAATTTAGCCTATATAAATTTTTTTGGATTAACGCTGATTTAAAAAGACTAGCCAAGGAAACAGGAGTGAAAATATCGATAATTCCTTACCTAAGTAATCGTATCTATTTATCTATCTCTCTCTCTCTCTCTCTTTCTTTCTTTTATCTATCCTATCCTATCTATCTCTTACTCTCTTTTCTCTACCTTGATATGTTTATAAACAATAAAGGTTTTTAAAGGACGGTATAATAGTAGAATAAGCTATAAGCAAATAGTAAATACCCTATGCGCAGAGAGAGAGACTTATGTTGGAATGGGCTGGAGAGAAAATATAATCTAAGACGGAGGTATATTAAAGAGTATATGTAAAAGTATAAAAAATATACATACAGGCATAGTGTGTCTATATCTGTGTGTCTGTGTGAGTGAGTGAGTGAGGAAGAGAGAGAGAGAAAGAGAGAGAGAGAGGGAGGGAGAATGAATGAGTGAGTGAGTGAGAGGATAGGTAAGCGAAAGAAAAGTAAGAGAGAGAGAGATAGACAGAAAAAAGTTTCAATATAAAAATTGATTAAGCGATTTATAGCCAAACCACAACTGATATGATATATAGATTGATAGAGAGAAGGAAGTAGAGAGGCTCAAAATAAGTCAACAAACGAGAAAGAGAGGAGGAAAAGAGTAATAGCTGATGAGAGTTTAAAGTCGGGCAAATATCAATTTAATGTGTATACTGTAAATTCGAATGTTTTGTTTATTTTTTACCTAGTACAGTATGTAATATTTTTGCATGTGCAACTAGATCAGGCGTGAATGTTTACACTCTTCCCACTCGAAGACTGTCGGATAAACATAAAAAGAATTTTGACCAGGCGCCTTACAAGACCTATAACAGCTCTTCTGACCAACAAACAGTACCTTTATATTATTTTATTTGATGTTTTGTTTTTCTTCTTCTACAAAACTTCCTCCTTATCATTATTAACGTCATGACTGTCATTACTCTCCTCCTACTCCTCATATCTTTATCTTGTCTTTTATAATCTATTTTTTTTAAAAAAAAAAAAGGTTATTTTTTTACTCTTTACTATTATCTAATTGGACGCTTTTTGTGTTTTTTCTCTCTCTTTTACAGAACTCATCGCAAAATTAACTTCTAAATGAAAAATCGACCACTCGAAAGCCATAATTTTGCCGGATCAAATTAATTGTTTAGTTTTCAATTTTTGGGATGCGCTTACTCAATCACTTCGAGGTGCTGCACACACACATACACTGCTTTTTCTTCTTCCTCTTCTCTTCTTCTTCTTCTTCTTCGTCGTTGCCGACGCCGCTGCCGCCGCCGCCGCCGCCGCCGCCGCCGCCGTCTTCTTCTTCTTCTCTCTTTCTACTTCTTTTTCGCCTTCTACATTTTTCTCTTATGATTTCCTTCTCTTCCGAAAAGATGAAGAGGAGAATATATGTACAAAAAGTATTAAAGCCTCGTCCATCTTAGTTTATTTAACTTTTATAATATCCTTCCTAATTGATTAACGATTGAATAACCTGAAGATAACGTAAACAGCATAAATGTGAACATGAACAACAACAAAAACAAGAAGAAAAAGCAACCAAAGATTTTTTTAAAAGAAATATATCCTTCCATATAAATATATGTATTATAGATGCAGATTTATAATTAAATAAATTAATAGATATGTATAGATATATTAATATATAGATATATATACATATACAGTATGTATATATACTGTATATATTTATACATTTATATGCATACGTTTATTTATTCATTGATTATATATAAATATATATATATATATATTTATTAATTTATATTCAAATATGATTAATTACCGCTGGATAAAGGAATAGATAATACCCTTTTCATTCAAGCTATTTTCATTTCTTATGTAAAGTACAGTAGGAGCAAAAAGAAAAAAAGGTTAATAAATTAAGTAATACCTTTTTTCTTTCTTTCCTATTTCTCTCTCTCTCTCTCTCTCATTGAATTAACTGATTCATCTTTATTTATTATATATAAAGTATAATTCTATATGTACATTGAATAGTAACAGTTTAAAACATAATTGTCCTTATTAGTACGAACACAATATTCAAATAAATAGATGATTTTTAATCAGTTTGTTTTTTAAAAAAAAACTGGTACGTCGGAATGGTGAAAGAAGGTCTTTGGTACTAATTAGGCTATATATAAACAAAGAAGTATCTACAAAATGCTATACGGCATATAGTGTATAGGTTATTTGTTTGTTTGTTTTTTTCCACTGTTAAGTACAAAGAAACAAAAAGTTTTTTTTTTATTTTCATAAATTCGTTCAGTCGGGAAAAGAAAGCTTCTGGAAGAGAAAAGACTATTTCGGGAAACGAAATAAATGCCTGAATCGACTGACGTTGTGAAGAGTGTGTTGGGAGAGGAGGAAGAGGGTGAGATATAGAGAAACTGGGAGGGGAGAGAGAGAGACAGAGAGAGAAAGAAAGAGAGAGAAGAACGTAGAAAGAGAAACACGAAAAACAACTTCCGAGTAGATGACACTACTAGTCGACTTCGATGTCCGTTTCGCTTTCTTCTGTGTCTACTTTTTCGACTTTCAATTGAGTTTCTTGACTCTTTTTTGAATGTTTTCCATGCGTTTTTAAATGTTTACTTAGATGATCGCTTCTGCTAAAACGTTTTGAACAAATAGAACACTCAAATCTCTTTTCTCCTGTATGAGTCCGAATGTGTCTTTGAAGTTCATCTGATCTAGTAAATGCTTTACCGCAGTATAACCAAGTACAAGTAAATGGCCTTTCTCCCCTGTGCCACCTGAGATGAGCTTTTAAATGAGATGTTTTTCCATAAGATTTACTGCAACCTTCAAAATGGCAGACGTGCATCCTTTTTTGCCCATTTTTCAAGTTTTTAGATGTTCCTATACAATTGGGACATTTACACCTCGAACAGCGTCTGGTTGTCGTTGACTCGTTTGACATTCTATTAGGCCACGGACTCCACATTTGATTGTCCTGCATTCAAGAATAAAAAAACATATAATGTTTCGTAATATTGAATCGTTCAAATTTGTAAGATATACAATAGAGAAAGATTCGTAAGTTCAATACAAATATATATGAGACATCTAACATACGAATACTTAACGCAATAAACTAAATACTCTACGGGCTAGGTACGCAGGTAAGTAGACAGATAGGTAAATGAATAAACAGCATTTAAAAACTCACACACGCACATACGTATACTTGCACACAAACAAACATATACAGTCTTTCTGTGTACCTGTCTGTCTGTCTGCCTGTCTGCCTGCCTGCCTGTCTCTCTCTCTCTCTCTCTCTCTCTCTCTCTCTCTCTCTTCGTCTTCCTTTCTCTTATAAGCGTAGAGAGAGAAAACACGCACAAGCAATTATCTAATAAAGCTAAAAATAAAGAGAATCCACTAAACGACAAATTTATCAAGTATAGTTGTATTATACGTGATTTTTACACAATTGTCACTTCCTATTCGCACCTTTCCACTATAGACACTGCACTAAACTATTTAAACGCTTTAAGAAGCGATTATTTTATTTACAGCGTCCACTTTCTACAATTTCTACTCAATGTCCTAATAAGCTTTTCCAAAATCTCCTCCCGTAGGCGTTTCATAACGCCTGTCCTATTAAAATTCTATGGGATATAGAGAAAAAAAATACTTCAAAGAAGCCGCCGCTTTTCTTAACTGTTTATTCAATGCAAACTTGTCTTGTGTGTGTAGAACGATTTTCGACCGATTTATGCCTTCGGGAAGACTTTTGTCAAAAAGTACATTATACACGCATCAGGAAATTTTTTCAAATGTATAATTGATTTCTCCCTTTTCTCCCTTTTCTTCTTGCTCTTCTTCTCTCTTTTTCTTCTCCTACTGGTTTAATTCTCTTGTAACTTAAGCCTTAGTTTGCTTGTTAATTTACTATGCTCGTTCTAGCCAATAATATATAATTCCTCTACCCCACCCAAACACCCTTCCTATCAATTTAATCCTTTCTCTCTTTCAATCATTCATTCCCTCCCCCAATCCCCTCTCCTACTACCATATCTTTAAATCTATCTATATATCTATACATCTATCTATTTGCTTGTCTTTCGCCTTCCACCATCCCTCTTTCCTCTCTATCCCCAACCCCTTTAAATAAATGAAAATCTCTTAAGAAAAGAAGTAAAAGGGGGCTCGAGTGGAAGAAATTCTCATACAGAAAAAAGGCGGCAATTAATTAAAAAGATAGCCTTATGTAATCAACTCTGGCCTTCTCGTTTCGTTGTTGGCTTAATTTTACTAATTGTTCACTTAAGAATACTTCTTTCTCTCTCTTTCTCTCTCTTTCTCTCTCTCTCTCCCTCTCTCTCACTCTTTCTATTTACTTTTATTTCCTTTCCCCTTCTCTTCTTAACCATTCCCCCTCTCCTTATCCTCTATAGCCTTTTATTTCTTTTACTTCTCTTTCCCTCCGTTAGTACATCTTCTTTTCTCCTTTTTTTTTCTCTGCTCTTTGAAATCTCCTACAACATCTGCGCTCTTCTATTATCTTCTTAAAATCTACTAATTTCCGATTCAGTCACGCGCCTTAACTGAATTGTCCAAGAGACGAATATGCTAATTAAATGTGACGTCATTTCCGTCGTAAAAAGGTGCGACATCGCCTCTGATATTTAGTTACGTCAACCGACTTTCCCTCCTAATACGTCATGTGATATGACATTTTGTGCCATATAAAGACTATAATGAGAAGGATTTGTGGCCAAGGGATTTTTACGGTCTCGCCTAAACTGTGATAAATTGATAGATAAAGTATAAAGTTTGTCTCGGCAAACATGATCTTTTCTCATGGTGAAAAAAGGATCTTGGAGATTAAAAAAAAAGAACAAAATATATAAAAATACTATTATTTATATCTCTTTTCTAAAGCGTTTCCCATTTATTTAGACGGTTTTTAGAATCGTTTCTCCGTAGGAAAATCTCTGTTATGAAAGTTTAATTTGTTTCCCTTATCTCTTCAACAAAGGGCGTTACATGACCAAATCTAATTAACTTTTTTTTTTTCTTTCTTTCTTTTTCTTCTCTGTACCTCACTCGTTCTCTCGTTAGTTATCCACATTAAGGGTAACTATTGGTAACAACCCTACCATGTACAGTAATGTAAGTAGGAGAAGGAGAAGAAAAACGTCCGTAACGCTTCTCACGCTGCTTAGCTTAGCCTGTAGTCGAGTGCCCTTTACCTCAGTCTTTACAATGTTACAGTGCGGACTATGAATGGTAAACTATTGCAATTATCCTAGTGGAAAGGTCGACTATAGGGTCATTGAAAAATTTACATAAAGTAAAAGAAAGATATATCCTTTACAAATAGAGGGAGGGAGGGAGAGAAAGAGGAGAAGAACCGGGGAGTGACGGAAGGAGGAAAACGGAAGAGAGAGAGAGAGAGAGAGAAGAGGAGGAAAGGTGAAAGGTTAAAGCTTACACACAATAAAAAAACAACAAAAAACAAAAAAGCAAAGATAGAAGAGACTTACCAGATTGGTAGACCAATATTTATTATAAACTCCGTAATTCCACCATTGCAGATTTTCAACATCGGTGAACATTTTGATTGTCTTTTTGTCTTTCTATAAAAAATTCTTTCTATAAAAGAATAGAGTGGAAAACAAAAGAAAAATGATAAAAATTAAATATTTAAATAATAGAATGGAAAATAATAAAAGACGAGTATCTTTTATCCTTACCGTAAAAGCACTAAAGACCAACTGACTCGATTCTCCAACCATTACTCACCCCCTACCAAGCCACTCCACCTTCTTCTCGACCGATTACGCTCCTGATCTCTTTGATCTCTGCCGCCGTTCAATCAGCTCTAACTTCCAACTGCCAACCACCAATCAGCTAGCAGCGCGCCAAAACACAAGATTTGGCGCGGCGTCAAGTAGAAAAGGATTTTTTGTTGACTTTAATAATGGAAGTTGTAAAAGGCGTTTCAATTTTCTAATCTTTAGCGTATGTTTGAGGCGTGTACGGCGTTTCTTTTAAGTTGCTTTGAGAAACGCCCACCCTGATTTTCTCCAGTTGTTTGAAAATGCGAACGATGGAATTGCACTCAAAGATGTAGAAAGGAAAGGGTGGAGACGCCTTTTGATGATACTTCCCTAATAGTAAGTTTCCTCCAGGCATTCTGTCATTTCACCTCGAATTGAATAACAATATAAAGAATTAGGTGTTACTTAATTCAATGTACTCTCTCATACAGATAGTGCATTTCTGCTTGTGCACCTTTCTATGCCTTATACGTATTGTTTTATTCTTTTCCACACCCAGACAGGCGATTGGCAGGAAGAAAGAAAAGGAGACGAGAGCTTGAAGAATGTAAACGGTGAGAGGGTGGTAAAGGAGAGAGCTAGACAGACAGAGAGAGAGAGAGACAAACACACACACACACATATATATATACAGATAGAAAGAAAGAAAGGTGAGGGAGATGGTAGGGGCGCGCTGAGGGTGAAGGGGGAAAGAAGGTGATAGAATGAGGGAGGTCGCAAAGGGCGGTAGAATTAAAAGAGGACTGGAAAAGTACTAAGCTATTTGGTTATAATGGTTGGGTGGTAAAAAAAAGGAAGAAAAAAGAAGGTGGGAGGAGAGAAAAATAAAGGGAGATTTGGAAGAAAAAAGGAAAGAAAGACTAAAAGAAATGATAGATATAAAGAAAGAAAGGACGAAGAATAAAAGAAAAACAAATTGTACTCTGTTCTTTTAAAAATTCTTTTTTAAAAAATCATCTTTCTCTTCTTTTCCTTTGTTTAGCTAATTTAAAGAGAACAAAATATAGACAAAGATAATAAATCATTCAATCTCTATTCAAATTTTTGTATTTATCATTTGCTGAAATTCGCTAAAGTTCACTTTTCCATCGTTATCTTGATCAGCTTCTCTGATCATGTCGGCAACATCCTCTTCGTTTAAACTCTCTCCGAGTGCTAACATTACTTGTTGTAGTTCAGAAGCGGTTATATAACCATCTCCATCCTTATCGAAAACTCTGAACGCCTCTCTCATTTCTTCCTCGATGTCGGTTTCTTTCATTTTCTTTGACATCATTATAAGGAATTCGTCGAAATCGATTGTTCCATTACCTGTTGAAAGTGATCGAACTAACTTTATTATACATAAACATACCAGACCGTTGTAGGCTATAGAACTTTGAATAAAATAAATAAGCCGCTTTTAATCTTTATTCCTATTGAATAGCTAACAAAAAAGCAAAATAGAGAGTTCTCAAGAGAAGAGGAACTTTACCGTCTACGTCCACTTCATTTATCATATCTTGTAGTTCAGCTTCGGTAGGATTCTGTCCTAATGATCTCATCACGATACCCAATTCCTTGGTCGTGATCGTTCCATCGCCGTCTCTATCGAAGAGTTTGAACGCTTCTTCGAATTCTGTTTGGAGGAGGAAAATGGTAGATAAATGAGGGAATCGAGAAATGGACACAGAGTGGATAGTGAGAGTTGATATAGTTGTATTAACGGCAGTGGTGGTTGCAAAAATAGTATTACTATATTATTCAACTCGGATTATTTGCACCTTTGTTTTCTTTATATTAAATCAAGTAAAATATTCTATTCTAGCTTAGTTCATTTAATCCACTCGATAATTATTTTTTTATTATTTGTTATACGAATTAACGAAAATAGGTCAAAGGAAAGGGGAGGGATCAGGAGGGTGGGACGGGGAGGGGAAGATAAAGAGGATATATACTTATATGTTGTAAAAAAGAAAAAGGCTCCGGGAAAAAGAGAGATTAAGTTTTTATTTAATTTTTTTTCTCTTTATTTCTCTCTCTTCCCTTTTCCTCTCCTCTTCCATTTTTACATCCTCTCTTCTTCTTTATCGCCACTGTCCTCCTTCTTCAAACCTCCTTTCCTATTCCCTTCATTCAATTATCGCGCAATTGCTAACCTGATATTTGATCGTCCGTTAGTCCCAGCTCGGCCTGCAACAAAGGAAAAGAGGTCAATATGTTAAAGGAAACCGTAAATCGTGCTTGATACGATTTACAGGGAGGTGGAGAGAGAATGAGAAATTGTTCTTTACCATTAATTACAGACGCTCCTAACTACCAACATTCGAACGGAAAGGAAAATATTACAAAGTAAAGCAGACACTCCAAACAAAACAGTATACCACCGCCTATTGATTGACAAAAAGTCTATTGACATTACCGAAATCCTCAAAGAGCATTGTACTGCAGCGGCCGAAACTCTTCGACTTAACCCCCCCTATCATTTTATTCTTTTAAACTCTTTTTTTAACAGTTTTTGCACTTTCATATTCATTTCGGCCTATATCATTTCTTTTACGTCTAATTAGCCTTTTTTGTGATTCTTTAGTTAGCTATAAAGCATTTCAATAATTAATAATCTGTTGTTTTTAATACGAATTAATTGACAACGGCAGATGTCACTGCTTTAATTTCCGGTTTTATTCCACTAATACAAATTCATAGGGTCAGTCTTAGCGGCTAAAAATTTTCATGTATATATTGTATGTAATAAGTCTACTTTATACTCTTTTTTTCATCTTTCTTTCTCTCTCTCTCTCTCTCTCTCTCTCTATTCATCTATCTATCCATCCATCCATCCGTCCATCCGTCCGACCATCTATCTGTCTGTCTGTCTATCTATCTACTCACTTTCCTGTCTCTCAATACCTACTTCTTTCGACATTGCTCCCCCCCTCCCTCCGCCCTCCTTCCCCTTTCCCCTCATCCCTATTGCTACCCCCGACGTCGCCGCCATTGTGGGCGCGCAACTAACAATTTTTAAATTGTTTATACTTTCCGCTTCTTGAACGCCCCTTTGGCTTTCGCTCCTTCAAATCTCTTAAACCTTTCCTATTAGGGTATAGTCGAATTGAAAGACAATTAAACGATTGAACGCCTGGAGGAATCGAAATAAATGTTATATAACATTATTGTTTGAAAGAAGCGAACTAAGGGTGATTTATCACCAAGTGTTCGTATTAATATTTGGTATTGATTTCGTACAAGCCAATGTGTTTATTAAGCGTATAAAATAGTAAGATATTGCAATTTATATTGATTAGTTTTATATAAATATATATAAAACTAATATATATATATATCTATATTTATGCGTGTGTGTGTATATATCTCTTCTCTCTCTCTCTCTCTCTCTTTCTTTCTGTTATTTCTCTTTTCTTCTTTTCTCCTTTATTTCTTTATTTCGCTATTCAGTTTTTTTCTATTCTGCAAAGATTACCAAATGGTAAGGCCGATAGCTGTAAGATATTAAATGCTGAAGAAGTAGAAGGATATTTTTAATTGTTTCTTCTTCTTCTTCTTCTCTTCTTTCTTCTTTGGATTAATTTTTAATATATGTAAACTTTTTCTTCACAGGAGAATCAAGACGGTAATTTAAGTCCTGAACAAATAGAAGGTATAAAAAACAAATACACTTTTTAAGCTAGAATCTTTATATCTGTTTGCTGGAAACAAGAATAATTTTACAGTTGGAAACCATCTGCTTTATTGCAGTTGGTTGAGAAATAACAAGAGAAAAAACAAAAATAACAATGATAGAAAGAGAATAAAACATAGATACTTGTACTCTTTATAAATATACTCATAATAAGATTCTGTTACTATTATTATTATTGTTTTATATTTTCGTTCAGAATTTAAGGAAGCCTTCTCCCTTTTCGACAAGGATGGCGATGGCGAAATTACTACCAAAGAACTTGGTACCGTCATGAGATCCCTTGGTCAGAATCCTACCGAAGCCGAACTTAAAGAAATGATTAACGAAGTTGATCAAGACGGTAACGGTTTCGTTGATTTCGACGAGTTTCTCGGTATGATGATGAAGAAGATGAAAGAAGCCGGATCGGAGGATGAAATTAGCGAGGCTTTCAACCTATTTGATAAAGATGGAGACGGTTACCTAAGCCATTACGAGATGAAGCAGGTAATGGCAAATTTAGGAGAGAAATTAACAGATACAGAAGTATGGGAAATGATAAGGGAATACGACGCCGACGGAGATGGAAAAATTAGTTACAAAGGTAACAAAAAATCATTTAAAAAAACGAGATAATAATAATAGAAATTCAATAATCATCAACAGAATTCGTTAATGCAATGACCCAGTGAACGAAGATAAAAGCGAGAGAGAAAGAGAGAGACTCTATATATACAGTATATATATATTGAGAGAGAGAGAGAGAGAAAGATTATTCTATCATTGAACATCCTCGTAAATCTATACAATTGTGATCACTTTAACAGCTTTTTTCTTTCTCAATAACCAAATTGATTACAAAAAAATATAGTGATTGTCGGTCTAATAATGATGTATTTTACAAAATGAATTAGTAGGAAAAGAGATGATACTAAAAGATCTATTTATCGATTTATATGATTTATTCATATGTATATTTAAATATAAACGGTTTACTGTTCAATTCTGGAAAGATTTGCAGTTTTGAACGTCTGTTTTCCTCCCCCTAGCATTCATATCTTTTATAGTTTATCATTAAAGTCTTTTGTTGAATAATATTCATTGAAATACAATCAGCTAAAAGGAAAATAACCTATAAATATTTCACAATTCTTTGATTCCTGTTAATCGTTCTTTTATTCTCTTTGTCGCCATTGTAATCGTTTCTTCTCCGAAAAGAAAACCAGGAGAGAAATCATATATTTCTCATTCCGTGGCGACATCTACAGTCTTTGACTGCGAAAACTTGGAGGGGGAGTTGGAGGGAGTATACGGACTACTTCTTTCTCTTTAAAGTATTACGCAAATTAAGAGGACGATTGATGAAAAGAATTGAAAATAGAACACTAGAAAATAGAATACTAAAATGTCAATGGAGAAGAAATGAAAAGAGACGCCGATTCGTTTTTTTTTCTTTTTAAAAAAAAAATATTAATCTTTTATAAAAATTTTAAAGGATGGGAAATCTGTTAAATTATTCATTCAATTATTTGATAGTGAAGATTATCCGCTGTTGTAGCACCTATTCATGGATATTTGATATTATTAGATAGTTTTAAGAATATTGCAACACTCTTCTCTTTCCGCGAAAAGGGGGAAAAGACAAGTAGCAAAGCTACAAACTAAAAGAATTTCTATTTTCTAGGAAATTTTATGGAAGAAGAAATATTTTCATCTTTTAGAGAGAAAAATGGCTTACTGATGAGTTTAGTTGAGAGACCTAAAACGATCAGACTCTCTCTCTTCTATGTAATGGAAAACCGGACTTCAATTCTCTTAGGACTACTTCTGGAATATATCCAGTGGAATAATTGAAAAAATGGATCTTTATGAAATTGAAATACCTGAACAATGTTTGCCTTTATCTATTAATTTGGATTTTTTTCCTTCTCTCTTTCTCCTTTTCTCCTTTCTTTCTTTCTTTCTTTCTGACGTATTCTCTTCCTCACTTTCTCATTCCATCAACCCTTTATCATCAGTAATTCTATACTCGGCGCTGGTAGCATAAATCAAGTATTGCCAATATAATTTCTAAAAGGTCAATTGGTCTATACTCTTTTTACTAACAAATCGATATTTCAGACTATTTACTCGCTTATCCCCCGCAAAAACAAAAGAAAGAAATACAGGAGGAGCTTTCTCGTTTCTTTTTCATTTCCCTTTCCTTACTTCCTCCTAACGCTGTCTCTCTGCCCCTCGTCTCTCTCTCTCTCTCTCTCTTTCCGAACATCACAATTGCCCTTACGGGACTTATTTAGTGCACTATCTAACAATTGCAAATAGCATAGCCAACGGTCATGATTTGAGAATTGAATATTTTTAAATGAGAGAAAATTTCAATTTAGTAGAGTTCTTATCTTACATTCGGTTGAAATCCTGTAGAATAATTATGGATATTGCGTTCATTCATTTTCTTTCCTTTTAACCAATTTATGAGTAATGATAAATAAAAATTTATCACGATTGACAAACTAATTAAATTTTATAAATTGCAAACGAAAATATAAAACTGTCATCTCTTTAAATTTTATACTTTTCCATTATTTGTTTGTTTGCTATTTTAGAAATTCTACTGCCTCATCGCTGCTTCTTTTGTATAATACTTTTAATATACTTTTGCTGTGAGCGCTACTTCTATTTCCTATATTTTTCCTATTATAAACGCTTTTTTTTTTACCAGCAACAGGTGGTAACTGTCTAAAACGATAGAAATCATTTTCAGTCCAAGAGATGGCGCCTGAGCGCCATTGTTGTTTTAAGCAAAGAATGGTGTGAGATCTATTACTAAAAGGGCGATAAAGAGAAGGGTGAGAGGAGGGTACTAGGGGGGTGGGGAGGGGGGTGGAAGTCGGAGTAAATATAAAGAAAAAGAGAGAAAAGCGGTAGAGAGAGAAGAGACAAGCAGAGTGAGAGAGAGAGAGAGAGAGAGAGAGAGAGAGGGAGGGAGGAAACGAAAAGTGGACAGAGAAAATATGATGATAAAGCGAGATAGTTTTATTTGCTCTCTAGAAATGGAAAGTTTGTAAGTAAGAGTTAATGTTTGTTGGATACGAAGAGTAAGGAATAAAAATGGGGAAGGAGGTGGGGAGAAAATAATATATAAATACAAAGAGCTATTTTTAATATCTACTGTAGGAGGTGATAATCTAATTATTGACTTTTTTTGTCTGCTTTGAATAAAGAAGGATAACATGAATTATTTAAATAAAATCACACTTGAACTTTTTACTATGAATCATATTCAAATTAATTTCATTTTCTTTCATTTTTAATAAGAAAGAGAGAGAAGGGAGGGGACGAGAGAAAGAGGCAGTTGTGCGTGAGTAAATGCGTGCGTACGTATGTTTGTACGGAAGAGAGAAAGAGATAGAAAAACAATATCAATTTTATCCAAAATACGATAGAGTTAGTAGAATATAATGTGGCGTATCGGCACTTTTCTCCCGAGTAAAAGTAATAGAGATTAAGACTACTACTGTTAAAAAAAAGGTTGATTATTGAATGGAGTGTAAGCGTAATAGATAATTAATGCAATAGTTTTATATATATAATAGACAAATTGAGTTTTATATTAAAACTATTGCTGAGAACTCTAGCCAACTGTAACAAAACAGAAGGGAACAGAGAATAAGAGTAAGAACAGCAAAACCTAGACAACCAAGAAGAAGAAGAAGAAGAAGCAGAAGCAGAAGCAGAAGACTCTGATATTTAGATAGATTATATATTTATGTAATTTCTTTAGTCAAGTGATAAAATGACATGAAATTTTTAAAAGACGCTAATTAATTAATTAATTAGGTAAATATTTTATAAACTTGGTTATTTTTACACATTTACTTAATCGAGTTTTAAAAAAGAGAGCGTTTTTCTTAATAGCATTTTTATATTTTTCATTGACACACTTTCATTGTCTTTTCTCTCTTCTTCTTTTTCTCTTCCTTCTCGCCTATCTTCTCTCAATTTTACAATTCAAAAGTCAAGATAATATAGTTTCTTCTATTTAAAAAGATTTGTAGCAAGAGAGGTTGTCTTAATTTTTTTTTACTCTCCACCGAACCCCCCTCCCCTCCCCCTTCTGCCCTACCTACCTCCCTGCCCCCTTCACACCCAGTCTTATTATAGCTCGTTGAGAGAACGATTTGTCTTTTTATTTATTATTAGATCCCTCGCTTTAAGGTTTTTTTATTTTTTTTCAAAAGCTCTCTTATAGAAAGAAGAGTGTTTTTGGAGGCGGTAAGTATGCGATCTTTAACAACTTAAATTTAGCCTAACACTATCAATAAAGCATTCTTCTCTCCTAGATAAGTAAAACGTGTCGTTATATCGCGATAAGATAGTTTTTCAACAATAGCAAACTTATATAAGTAAACAAATAAACAAATCGTTCGTTTTTAATAGGCCGATTAACTAGATTGTTTATTAGCAGAATATGAGATAAATAGGTAAAGTTACCGTAGTAATTATATTCTAGTTTTATTATTCATATATTTTTTTATAAGGAATGAATAAATAATGAAATCATAGGGAAAAAAATCAATGATAGATAGAGAAGAAGAAAATGACGAAATCGATTTTGTTTTGTGTTTGAATTTAGTTTTGTTTGAATGAAAAAGGGATATATACTCTATACATAGAGTATAAATGATTATCAAAAAATTGTCCAATTCCTTCCTCTACTGCTCACTTCTTCTTCTTCTTCCTTTTTTCTCTGTTTTTGCTTTTTCAGTCTAACGCTTTCGTAACAACAAAAAATATATGTTTCGTATTAAATACAGTGTAAAATATAGCATGTCTCCATAGGCTTATTCGTTATAGAATATATAATCCTATGTGGGTAGGGGCTAAAGGTTTAGGTTGCATTTTAAGTATAATACAAACTAAAGGTATTTGTTACTATCAAATGCTATATTTGTCACAAACCAATGCAATTTTAATAAATATTCATTTCATATTTCCTTCTAATAATAGATAAATATAGTAAAGTATAGACTAATTGTGTAATATTTGAATAAATCAAATGGTGAGAGAGAGAGAGAGAGAGAGAGAGAGAGAGAAAGAGAGAGACAGAGAGAGAGAGAAAAGAGGAAAAACGTAAAAAGTATTAAGAGATTTCTGTATGATTTTTTACGCTAATTAAAACAATTTCTAACATTATATTTGGTTGAACCCTTTGAGAGAAATATTCATTACTTAGCTAAGTACTTATTTATTGTTTTCTTATCCTAAAACTAAGTAAGAGAGTATGTCATCAAACCTCACGTAATGGTCTGTAGACCAAATAAATATAGAATGCGTTTTATATTGTATTTATATACATTTAAATACTGTTCTTGTAAATAGAAAAAAATGAATTATTAAACAAAATCCAGGTGATCTAAATTAACTAGGCGTAATATTAAATGAAATATTTTATTTGACATTTTTCCGATAATTACTTGTACAAATTTATCTCTTCCACTCTTTTTTCTCTCTCTCTCTCTCTCTTTCTCTCTCAACAATTCTCTAATGCTTTAGACAATTCTATTGGTTTCAATTACCCAAAAGCGTCTAATTAGCAGAATTTCCAACAAAAAACTTTCAAGAATAAGCTTCGTATTGAGTTTGTCGGATAACGAATAGCTTGTTGATGGCGTTAAACGGGGGAAAAGGGATTTATATTTTGTCGTTTCCTTTTTTATATACGGCTTTGAAGAGAGAGAAGGGAACAACGAAGAAAAGGAAAAGGAAAAGGAAGAAGAAGAAGAAGAAGAAAAGAGTTTTATACGAAAATGATGGAATAAAATACTATACTATATTGGCTTTAGATGATTTGTTTCCATTGTATTAATAAAAAAATATAATGATAAAGAAAGAAGAGTAGAGAATTGATTTAAAAGAGTTATATATCACATTAAACGCTTGTTTTTGTATTATTATATATAAGAAATTAAACGTTTAACCAGACTGAAAAATGTCAATTAAAGTAAGGTAATCTGTAGTTTTATTATGTTGAAATGATTAGTCTATTTTAAAATAGACAAAGTGAAAATCTATAGCGTTTAATCTCCTCTTCTCTTCCATTCATGAATAGAAAATTGGCTTTGCTTAAAATAATTTACTTGCGAAGAGAGAACGAGAAATATTAATGGAACATTAATGAGAAAGTTGAAAAATGTGGGTGGACCAAGAGAAAAATCACCCTTCCAACAGTCATAATTCTGAATAGGCTCCATTCGAACCCTATCAATTAAAATCCATCTTGTGTTGTCATTAAAAATGCTTCAGCTTTCCTCCTTTTTCATTCATTTTTCCTTTTCCCCTCTATCCTTCCGACAGTGAAATTATCGAAAATTGCATAGCTTTATACACAATTTGCTAACTTGCAAACATTCTAGGCCTATTTGTGTCATCTACAACCTAGCGGAAATTATTAATTGAGTAGCAATTCAATGGCAGATGCTCTAGGCAACTTTTTTATCACAAACTTATATATATAATTATTAGCTATTTTATCCATATACGTATGTTGTTTGTTTTTTTTTTATTCTATACCAGTTTATCTCCACCAATTTATTTCGTTTGTTCTTTTTCTTATTCAATACGAAAACACTTGTTTAAGGAAAGGGGAAGGTAATCTTTAATAGATTATCAACGGAAAGATATAATTAGGAAATAGACAAAAAATTGAGAATGAAAGAAGGAAAGAAAGAATGAAAGAAAGAGATAGAGAGAGAGAGAGAGAGAGAGAGAGGAGGGGAGAGGGGAAAGGGGGAAAAGAAAAAAGAAGAGAAAATTTGGTAAAGTTTTGTTGGAGGAATTTTTGATTGAATAAAAAAATAAGACAAAGATGTTTTTTATGAAGAATAATGGAATTTTCTATTTAAAAGAATATAAAGAAAGCGAGAGAGAGAGAGAGAGGCTGAGAAAATAGATAGATAGATAGACAGATAGATAGATACAGATATAGATAGATAGATAAATTGAGAGAGAAAGAGAAAGAAAGAGAGACAGACAGACAAGAATTATGCAGTATAAACTAATTCTTGTTCTTCTCCTGCTCCTTCTTTTTACAATTATTAAACAAATCCGTTAGAAAGATTGACGAGTGGAACTTTCAAAAACGGATGAAGAGGTCTAAAATTAAACTAGTTGACCAATTAGTGAGAAAAGGGTAAGATGAAATAAGCCTGCTATAGCTGAACAAGTGCCGTGTCCAAGTACATCGTATAAGTTACATTGATAAGGTTAATAAACTATTGTCACTAATTCAAGATCATTCAAAAAAGTTGCTGATAAAACTTTCTTTTTCCTAAGGGCATGTGCGGTGAAAGAGTGTTAAGGACGAATGGGACGAAAGGATTCGCTGAAGCGTTGGGCGGTAGGTCGGTAAGGTTGTCGGTCATTCGCCCAATTGGGTATGTTGGAAAGATTGTAACGTGGCAAAAACCAATACCCAATTGGCCTTTGAAGAAAAAAGGCGTCATCAATAAACAACGCTGACACATACAATCAAGTTGCATTAAGAAAATATATATGTGGACAAATATAGAAATATAGCGTGACATCCCAAACCACAAACCGTAAATCACACTCTCCAAACAGTCAACTTTTCTTACAAATTGTTTTTCTTTAAGATACAAAAGAACCTTTTAAGTTAAAGGAAATACATGAACAGTAAAAATTATGCAATAAATCTCCACCAATAGGTCAATCTAATTGTCAAAGGTTAAAGCGTTTCTTTTGCTTCCTTTCTTTTTACTTTTCGCGTCTTTCTTCTCTCTCTCTCTCTCTCTCTCTCTCTCTCTCTCTCTCTCTCTCTCTCCTCTCTCTACCCTTTCTCATTCTTCTTTATTTCTCTCTCTTACAAATATACTTTATTCCATTGTTTGTCAAGTAACCTTTTCACTATTAAAACGAAAAACCGACGTATATGCGTCTCGTACGAGAGAGAAAGAGAAAGAAGGGAGAAGAAGGAAAAAGGATGCGATTAACAATGATAAACTTTTAGAAAAAAAAATTCGATTAAGCTAATGACGCACGGATCGGTTCTTTGTTTGTGTTTATATAGGCTGACTGACAAATGGCCAAAGTCACCTGAACCTCGATGATTAGACGAAGGAAATGGGCGTTTATGAAACGTCAAGTTTGTATATAGTTTATATAGGATGATATAATCGTGCGTAATAATCATCTTGGCATTCAGTCACGCATACCTGATCAACTTGCTCCTCTAAATGCTTTTAGAGTGGAGACGGACGGAATTTGGGCGAATTTTGCCTAGTGGGCGGTCGCTAGATGACAATTACTAATAGAAAACTGTCTACTTGTAGAGTGGCTACGAGTGCGTTTATTTTCCCCAACATTTTGCTATATTGGAGGATTATATATGGGTTTTCAATGTTGGATAGATTATGTATCGGAAGTATCGAGACACAAGAATGTCTTATATTTTATATCTTATATATGTAGTAAGCAGGAGAGAGAGAGAGAGAAAGAGAGAGGGAGAAATAGAATGGACTGAAATCTTCGTAGGAACAAGTATTAGTTAAAAGTAAGAAATGAAAGAATCATGGAAGTAGCATGAATGAAAAAAACAAGTGGGAAAGAGGATAAGATAGAAGTAGGATTTGCGGAGAAAAACGGACATTAATAAGAAATAAATCAGACGAAATAGAGACATATTAATTCCAATCAGTTGTGTCAAAATAATGTTGGGATTACTATTATACGCCGTGTTTATCTTGCTCTCTGCTTTATGCTTGACTGCAAAAATCCGTATTTACTTGACAAGTACAGAATTATAAGCCATTTATCTTCGTATCAGTGCAGTTTTCCTTGTATAAATAATTTTCATTTAAGAGAGTCGGCGCTTCTCTTATTCCTGTTGACACCTTTCTCTCTCTTTTTTCTCACTTTTATATGTTGAATTGAAAACCATTACAACAAGAATCAGCTTTGTTATCGAGTTTGCTAATTTTATTATTAATTAATCAAATTATCAATCGTGTCGCTTCCCTTTAATTTGCACGTAAAAGAAACTATTGAAAGAGAAACGAAGAAGATAGAAAGGAAGAAAGAAAGATAGATTGAAAAAACTTAAAGAGAAAGAGAGAGAGAGAGAGAAAGAGAAAGAAAGAAATCGAGAAGTAAAAAGAGAAACCTGTCGTTTTCAAGGTCAAATACGGGTTAAACCGTAAAAAAAAATAGCTGAAGATAGATGGCAATAAAATCTCATAACGATTACAAACAAACAACAATTTATTATTTGTGTTTGCTGAATTTCATGGAGATGAATCGTCTATCTCTCATCCCGGCAACGCAACCTAATGAATAAATACAACCACAATAAAAGCCGCAACAACAACAATAACAACAACAATAACAGCGACAAGGACGAAGACGACGATGACTTGGGCATTAGCTGTATTTTTACATATCTAGATAGAGTCTCTTTACTAAATAAAAACTACTTATTTAATGGCCCATGTACTCATAAGAATTTCCTCTTATTATCCAATCTCGTGTATAAATGTAGTTATAGATGGATCACTTTGCAGAAGAGAAAAGGAGAGTGAAAAAATTGGGAAAACACTAACAGAAACACGCAGAAACAATAACAAAAAGGAAAGGGAAGAGAAATGGGAATAAGAAATGCGCTGAATTGAGAAAATATGGTTTTAAACGCTACATACTTAGAGGCGTCACGTTTCAACCAAGATCGGCGTCCAACTTGGATTAATATTGAAAAATTATCCATAGTGGGAATATAGAATATTCTTTAATATTTTATCCTTAAATCTCGCAAAGAAAACTGTTACAAACAAGTAGAAAATTTATACATGATGGGACGAACCGTATTTGGCAATCGTTCTGGTTAAATATTGAACCAAGTTATTGTGCTTGCGTTTGATTTGTATCTATAGGCCTAAAAACGTAACTTGCTTGGAATGCCGTGTATGTTTTACTGTACTAAAAGTAAGTCTGCCTATTTAGACTGGATTTTATTGGACAGCAAAACAGCAGAAATGCAGTTATTTTTACATTAAGTTGACCTGAACCTAGTAAATTTTAAGTAAATATTATCAATAAATTAACTTTTTTTCTCTCTTCTTCATCATTGTTAGCTCCTTCGCCTTCATTTTGTAGTTGTTGTTGTTCTTCCTCTTCTTCTTCTTCTTCTTCTTCTTCTTTCGGCTTTCCATTCAACACCAATTTATTAGCTTGTCCACCTTTCGCGCTCGCTGCTACTCGTTCTTCTCTTTCCAATCTCTTTTCTATTTCTCTTCCAAGAATCGTAGACGAATGGAATACGGAAAATTCTATACATTGCGTACAATCGTATATATAGAAGAATAAGAAGGAGAATAAAATGAATGATTATAGACGAAAATAGATAAATCTTCCAATTATAAAAGAAAAGGAATTTAAAAAATGACTTTAGACGGTTTCTAAATATATATAATATATATATATATATATATATAGATTGTATAGACTGTATATATATTGCGCATAAACAAGATATCATTACGTAATCAAGTATAGAGTACTTATGTATTAAGCGCTATAAATACAAATAAAGAAAAGGTCTGAAAATTGGGTTGAAAGGCGATTTGTTTTGGCTTTTTCTCACAAACTCCAATTATTCCTTCAATACATTCTCCATTATGCACATAATTGCTTATATAATTTAGTTAGGAGGGTGGGGCGATTCTATCAAGTTCTCAACCTAACCGTCGGCAAAGAGGTGGACGGCAGTAGAGAGTAAACGGCTAATGAATGGCTGCGGAGAGGTGGGATGGTTCTTTTGAAAAAAGCAAAACTATAATATAAAAGCCCACATCATTTCTTTTTCGAAACGATTAGGCTAATGGATGATTGTTGAAATAACGAATCATTGAATAAATTGCGAATAATAATAATCCATCGAATGGTAATAGTAATAACAATAGTAATAATAGTAATACTAATAATAATAGTAGATTGATAAAACGGTTTGTAAGAAGGAAAGATGATGAAAATAATGATGATAAAAAGGAATAAAGATTAACAAAAAAAGGGAGGCTAAAGGATTAGGCAAAGGACGAGGGATATTATTTTTTGGGCGAGTTGAAAATTGCTTTTCATATTACATTTTATCAATAATTCTCTCAGCCACTTTTTCTTTATAAATCCAATAACTTATAGTAAATATTATCTGCCTTTGCAAAGCTTCTTTTCCTCCTTCCATATTATTTTAGCGAGTATTGCTCGTTATTCATTCTGAAGGATGATTGCTTTTTTACAGTTGCGATCGATTGAGTGGAAAATGAAGACAAATCCCGACGTCTAACACAAACTTTAACAAAATTGTTCATAAACAATTTAACCTGTTTGTTCTGCCTTTCTTCTCCTATTCCCCCTCATATCTCCTTGTGTGTTTATGTCTCTCCCTCTCTCTTACTTTTTCTCCTTTCTTATCTTGCTTTATCTATCACATACCTTTATCGAACGATTAAGATTAGCTAGAGTTACCTTGCTATCGGAAAAGCCCTCCCTCTCTCCTTCCGCGATTTACTTTACCCTTTCCCAACGCCCCTTTCGCCCCCTTCTTGCTTCTACCCCTTTGCCATATCCGCCATATCAATATTTAATGCTATTCATATCGTCTTACATAAATTTATTCAGCAATATCTGAAACTGAACAGTAAGATAAACAACTAAAAATCAAATATCCCTTAAACCAACATAATTTCTTCTTCTCTTTCTCTTCCTTATCTATTTTAAGGCACGCTCCGCTACTCGAAATTTCCTCACTCGCTTCACTCCCACCAGAAGAACAGATTGCATATGATCGGTCATCAAGGTCAAAACGATTGCCTTCTACATCTCTATTTCTCTTTTTAATAGTTCAATAAATTATTTTTATACAACAATTCTTTTTCTGTTATTCGTTCGTTCGCTCAGTTATTCATTCACTCACTCACTCACCAATTCATTCATTCATTCATTCAAACATTTATTTATTTTTAACTTTTATTTAAATTTCTTTCTCTCTCTCTCTCTCTTCGTTTCTTCCCTTCATTGAATTGTTTTCTTTATTAATCTTTTACTTTTTCACACCTACTCTTTAACTAGTTAATAAAATCAAATTATTTCATCATTTTCATTTGCCGTTAAACCTCGATCATTAAGAAAAATAACCGCAACAATTACAAACCAATAGTCGATAATTGAATTAATTGATTATTAATAATCCCTAATCCGATTAAGATCGAATTCTTTTCAATTGGAAAAAAACACCGCTTTCACAAAACCAACTCATACCCACCGCTCCTCTCTCTTAACCCTATCCAACCCCCTCCCCCCTAGAATAATCTTTATTTTTTCATTCAACGGCACCCCCTAGTCAAACCGTTCAACCACAGACTATCGAGTAGAGTGCCCCTATCCTTTTCTCTCTTTCAGTTATCTCATTCCTTTTTCGCTGGAGTAGAAACCCCTCTTTTTTTGGTGTCGATTCTGTAACGATATGCTTCTTTCTGTTTCAATTTAACAGCTTTCTCTTTCTCTCTCTCTCTCTCTCTCTCTCTCTTTCGCTTTTCTGCTCTCTTCTCTTTTCCTATAAATCTCAATCTATTTTTATTCTCAAAATTTCATTCTCCTTAGTTTTCTTCTTCATCTCCTTTTAACTTTGTTCATGTATCTTTCTAACCATCCATCCATCTATATATCTATCTATCTTTCCCCCTGTCGTTCTCTCTCTATTTCTCTCGCTCTCGCTCTCGATCGCTCCGCGCTCTCCTCCAACGCCACCTAGGTCAGGTTTAAGCGCCACAACGATTCGAATCGCCATACAAGAATCTGTAAACGATTAATCTCAGCGGATTATGATAAATGGCTTCAGTGATGCGGAATATTAGCGAAAATAGCAATCTGACTTTAAATGAGGATGCTGGCTATCCATTGGGAGTACAAATTCTAATAGGCCTAGTTTTAGCGGCAATTATTTGTTTGTCATTAATTGGAAACACAGTGGTATGTGTGGCAATTTTAACGGAGAGAAACTTGAGAAAGGCTGGAAATTATTTTCTCGTATCTCTGGCCATAGCGGATTTGCTCGTCGCTGGGACTGTGATGGTGTTTGCAGGAGCTAATGATGTAATGGGAAGGTGGATATTCGGGCGTCACTTTTGTAAAATATGGTTATCTTTGGACATAATGTGCTCTACGGCGTCCATACTCAATTTATGCGCAGTTAGCCTAGACAGATACTTGCATGTTCGAGCACCATTGCATTACGACATAAAAATGTCGACTTTTCGAGCCGTCCTCGCTATAGGCCTAATCTGGGCATGTTCGGCCTTAATATCGTTTTTGCCAATACATTTAGATTGGCACGTGAGGACTAGAGCCATCTTTAACGGATTCTGTATGATGGACTTGAATCCCATATATGCAACTGCATCGTCTCTCGTGTCGTTCTACGCACCGTGCATAGTTATGATAGTTTTGTACTTGAGACTATTCCAAAGCGCTCGCAGGCACGTCAGAAGCATTAGGAGAGGAACATTCGATAGGTCGGCCTACAAAGTCAGTGACGCCAAGGCGGCGACAACTTTAGGAATAATTATGGGTACGTTTTTAGTGTGTTGGCTACCTTTTTTTACCGTCAACCTCATAGCGGCGTTTTGCGACAAGTGTATTCCGTCGTATGCGTTCATAATAGTTACGTGGTTGGGATATGCTAATTCCACGTTAAACCCTGTTATCTATTCCATATTCAACGCTGAGTTTCGGATGGCTTTCAAAAAAGTTCTTTCCCGTTGTATTCCGACATTTGGAAATACTTCAACTCAAAGTATTTCTGGTAGGACTTCATCAGTTGTAAACGGCCATGGATTATCTCCAAGTCATTCGTACAGGCCGGTTTCTCAGCAAATAACAAATTTATAAAAAAACAAAAAAAAAAGAGAGAAAAACTCAAATGTTTTACTGCAAATGCTCAATTTTTCGCATTTACTCGCAAAACTGGATCAATTACTCTTTCATTTTTAAGCAATCATTTCGTTCTACGGTAAACGGGGCTTTTTGCATTCGAAATTTACAGTAATTAGACGTCAATTTGGTTTTTGGTTAAGAAATATGCATATATTGTTTAGGAGTATATACAGCATATATACTTTCTTTTCTTTATACATATCGTACATCCCCTTCTTACGCTCTCTTCTTAAAACCATCCTTATACCATTATTAACAAAACGCTCCTTTGTATGTTCCTATTCTTTTATTTAATTAGCTTTCTTCCTTGTATCATCCTGTCTAATAAATAAATAACACCTTCTTGGCGTCAAATTACATAAGTATTTGTCGGAATTATCTAAATGACCGATAAGCTTTGCCTTTTTCCTTCTTAATCAGGAGACAAAGCATCAGTAATTGCATTAGATTATTTGTTTCTTTCAATTTCCTGAAAAGCAATTAATTTCTTCAACTCAAAAAGCCCTAAGCCGTAATTAATGTCAGAAAATGACAAATTAACTAGCTATTCTGAAATAATGTACATAATTTGTATTGTAAATGAATTCCAACAAAGGTGCTATAGATGATGAAGACATCAAGAAATTGTGGGGCTTGTAAAATTCTGCAGTATTCAGCAGCAACTCTTGTTTCTCTTAGAAATAACCTTACTTTTTGTGTTTTGTTGAATATTCAATAAATAATTACTTTTTACGTAAATTATTCAAAATATCTTTAAAACATGAATCTTTCATTGCTGTCTCTTTCTTCTCCCCTCCCCTCTCTCTCTCTTCTTTATCTTTCTCAGGCTTTACCTATTTCGATATACTCTCCCCCCACCCCTCCCCTCTCCTTTCCTCTTCCTACTTCCTTCCCAGTCCTCTTTCGTCCTTCTCCTCTTCTCTCGCTCTTTCTCTCCCCCCTCCGTCCCTCTCTCTCTCTCTCTTTTTCTCACCCATTCTCACTCTCTTTTCCACCCTAAATCAGTCACGCCCAAACGCCTAAAATGGATTCAATCAACAATTATACAAAACTCTTTTCTAAACCTTCAACAAATATATCCCCACCTCCCCTTCCTTCGAACTAATAAATGATCCCTCTTTTTCTATCTAGCCCAATTCCCCTCTCCATTATTCCTTTATTTGATATCAAATTATGACTTTTTCCCTTTTATATGTTTGTGTTTGTCGGGATTATCATCTTATACCCTGGTTCTTTCATATGGTCAGATCGAACGCTTGATCTATTTCGGTCGACGGTTATAGTTTGTAAGTCCACAAGTCGCCGACTTTGCTAAGGCAATTGACTGACAAAAAGGCTCGCAGAGGCGATTTTCTTTCGGTTGGCCGATCGGTCGTCTTTGCATATTTTCTTGTACAGATACGAGTAATAAATCACTGTTAGAGAATGCGGTAATATACTGCTACCCCAACAACTACTTCTGATATCACTACAACCGCCTCTGTTGTTTTTACTACTGTTGCTCTACTAATGCTTTAGCTGCTGTTTTTCCTATTTGCTGCTACCATTACTGACATATCTTTTACACCATTTTCATATACCCTCCTCAATATATCTCTATTTGGTATAAGAGTAACTCTTATATCATATTCCATTTACTCTGACAGTTTCAGGAAATCAAATAAAAGATTTCTATCATAACAAACTCGAATCAAATTTCCAACAAGTTGACAAACAAACTTGGTTGCTGTCCTACTTTGAACCATATAATACAGAGAGAGAGAGAGAGAGAGAGAGAGAGAGAGAGGCAGCGACAGCGTATGAGTGAGTGAAAAAGAGAAGAAAAAGGAAGTTGAGAAAGAGTAAAAAGAATAAAGGAAGGAAAAAAGGCATTGATGATTAAATGAAGAAAAGACAAACGATTAAACAAACAGTCTTTTAATTAAACTGTTGGACGGCTTGAGAGAATTTCTAATTGGTCACAAGAAAGCTAAAAAAATCTATCTATGATGGGTAGGCAGGGAGATGGAACGGTAAACAAAGTGGGAAAAAATTGAATGAATGTGGCCGTTGAGATTAATAGAGTCTTATCTTGCTTGTCACGTGATTTGGACGGGCTAATTCCACTGCAAATCCAATCTAAATCCGTTGCAGATTTGCTGGCGGAAAAATATGCCATTTGCCAATGGGATAAATAAATTCTGAATATAAATAGGATTTTTTCCTTTACTTTATCAAATTAAAATAAAACGTCTTAAAATTATTTTTAATACTTTTTTGTTTTGTCTCTTTTCTATCCGATTCCGCGTTCTATTTAGTTCTCTCCCGCCCTCACTCCCCCCACCCCTACCCTCTCTCTTACTTGTACGCAGTTCTTTTTTTTCTATTGCTCTTGGTGCAAGACGAATTGACGAATGATCGAGATGAAAGAGCCTGGGATAGATAGATGGAAGCAAGTAAGAGCGAAAGAAAGAGAAAGAGAGAAAGAGAGTGAGTAATAAATAGGCAGAACGGAAAGAAAGAAAGCGAGAGAAATAGGATTTCGGAAGAAACATCCTAGAAAAGGAGAGACAAGTGGTAGGTCTACAAAGAAAATGGGAAACAAAAATAGAATAAAGATTATCGTCTCAAAAATGTTACAAGCTAAAAATATCATCATTTTGTATTTTACTTTTCAATGTATTTAAAAAAATGGAAAAAAAAACAAACCAGATGCCAAAATCTAAATATTGGATAAACTAGACACGAAAATAATAAATGAATTTAAATTCCTTTTCTCTCTCTCTCCCTCTCTCTCTCTCTCTCTCTCTCTCTCTCTCTCTCTCTCTCTCCCTCTCTCCCTCTCTCTCTCGTCCTCTGATAAGATTTCGATGAGAAGAGAGGAATAACGCAAGAAGCAAGTAAAGAGAAAAATATGAAAGATAAGAGGCAATTTTTCAAATGGAAAATAATGCAAGTTATCTCCAAAGATCACGTAAATGAATGATATACAATGAAGGTTGCAAGTTTTTTCTACTTCATTGTCTTTTCATCTATTTTTTACTCTGTTTATTTCGCTTTTATGCGTACGCATAGGATGAGTATTTGGGTGGAATAAGAACTCGGCCTATCTGAACATTGTTAAAGAGAAAAGGGAAGAGTGAGAAGTAGAGTGAGAGTGTGACAGTGTGAGAGAGGGAGAGATATAAAAAGAAACGTGAAAAAACGGATATAGAGAAAGAGAAAGAGAAAGTGGGGGAGAGGAAGAGGGAGAGGGAAGAGGGGCAAAGAAAGAGTCAACTTTGATTATGGAGGTTAAATGCAAAAGATGACAAATCAATTTTATAGACAAATAAGAGGTGGCAGGAGTGACCACGTTAAAAGTTTTCACCTAAACCTTATGGTTTAAAGAGCTAGTTCCATTCGACAATTTTAAGGGCAAAAGGAAAGAAATAGTGAAAAGGTAAGGAAAGAGCGGCTATAGGAGGCGGTGTGGGAGGGGCTTACGACAAAAAGAATTTTATTAGAAATGTTTCACCCGTAAGCCTTAAAAAGAATTACCATCTCTAATCAAGGGTAAATTAGAAAAGAAGATAAGGGCTAATCATTCTCTTTTTATAGTATGGCTAAAAACAGCTTAGAAGAACCGTCTACGTTCCGCCTTTGAGTTTGATAATTAAAGAAAAAGTGTAAAAGGTTGATTCAATTTTCGGACTGCGGCCTTTGCCTTATCTTGCGCAAGAGGTTAGGAGAGAGCACAAATAGATTGATGGTAATGGGTGAAGGAATTTATTCCCTTACATTCCTCTCTTCTCTTATTTCGTTTCTCTTCTCCTTGTCAGTTAATTTCATTCATTCGTTTATTCATTCATTCATCCGTCCAACTAACTATCTATTCATTCGTTCACCCACACATCCATCTATTCGCCCATTTATCCATCTTCTACCGTCCATTCGTTGGAGGAAAACCTCTTCCTTTCTTCGTTCACCTCTATTAAAGTATATTATTTTATTGTGAGGCATAGCGGGAATTTCATCGACTAGCGGGCAGAATGACAGCAACAGTTGCCGCTCCACTAACTACAATATCAATAAAGACAACTAGTACTATAAAAAAAAACACTTGTACCATTAATAATAATATTAATAAAGGCGCGAAGGGGAAAAGGAAGCAAGAGGAACGATATGATCATTGGATAATAACATTACAACAAGTACTACTCCTACTACTAAGACTCTTACTACTGTTCTTTTTTTAATAAAAGATTAGCGTCTCTTCTCTAATCTGAGCGTAGAGCTTAAAATAGCTTTGCGAATCTATTTGAAAACGCCATTAAAGAAGTTTTAATTGAATAATAATAGATATTTACATTAAAAACTTGATTGTAAACGACACGGATGCATATAATTAATGATATAACAATATTAAAAGATTACGAAAAATTCGCTGTTAATTAGCAGGCGTTATGGAATCTAATTAAGTGTCGACGTCTCTTTCGACGCCGCGTAGTGGAGCTACAATATAAACATTGACATGGGCGACTAGTAGTAATAAGAATGGGAGCGTGCATTTCTGTAGGCAATTTGATAGGAAGTTTTGTAGAATGTTAATAACTGATTTAGCGATTTAGACGAGTATCTAATATCTGACGAATCCAATTGAATGGTTAACAAAGGCTTTAATCAATAGAATTCACTCCTGTCTAGATTATTTCTTATTTTAATTTACTAAAAGAAAAATTGGAGAAGGAAATGCAAAACCCTCGGAGATTAGCCATCAGACGCAGAAACGATCATAATCCTTTTCCTATTTAATTATTACATATAAATAAATAAATACCAACTGCGAAAAGAAAGCCAATTCGACGAGAGAAGAACCTTTCTCCGAACCAGGAGGAGAGAATGAGAATTGATGGCAAAAGCGAACATTTTCCCTCATTTTCTCATCCTATTCCTCCTCTTGGCGGCAAAGAAGGATTAAAAGGAGAGAGGACACATATTATTAAAGAATTTTACGCAATTATTAAAGGAAAAGAATAAAGAGAAAGACAGAAATTTGTAAGACATGCGCATAGGTTTCCTTAAAGGCGTATTATTTGAATAATTGAAGAAGGTCGAATCGTGGTTGTTTTGTAGTATATACTTACAATAATGCCATGTTAAAACTGTAATATCCCTAAAAGAGGCTATTACTTTTTCTATTCTTCTTCTTCCTTCAAACTCGTTCCCCTTCCATTTCGTTCTTCCTTTTCTCTCATTCTCTTTCTGTGTGTTTGTGTGCCTTTTTCCTTTCTTCCTCTCTCCCCTCTCTCTCTCTTTATCTATATATCTATTTCTTTCTTTCTCTCTCTCTCTCTCTCTCTCTCTCTCTCTCCCTCTTTATCTTTTCCTTCCTCCCACTCTTGTCCTTAGATAGAATATAATTATATCAATGAATCCTAATAATACATTTTTTATATTGTATATATTAGAAAGGGAAGATTTATTTATACTATAGAAATGTAGATAGTATATAGTATATATATAAATATATATAGCTGTTACTATATATGGAAATATATTAGGACAAAAAAAAAGTTTAAGAAAGAGATAACAGTTGTAACGTCGGTAATAACGGCAATAAAAGTAAGGATTTAATTAATCCCTCAAACCCCGTTAACGACCATTTTTGTATCGAAAACCAACATTTTCTTTCTCTTTTACACTATTTCCCGCCATTTTAATCGATTAATTAGTATCATAAAACATTCGTAGTATTATATTAATTATTTATAAAAATATCATTATTATTCACTAAATATTCGTCTTTTACTGATCTATCATTCTTCTTATTTGTTTGTAGACCTATTATCTATCTGTCCCTCTCTCTCTCTCTCTCTCTTTCTTTCTTTTCTCTGCCTCTTTCTCTCACTCTCTCCTTTCCTCCCCTTCTCTGCTCTCCTTCTCCGTGTCTCCGTGTCCTTCTTATCAGCTTTTCCCTCGTTATGATATCTGTACTAGTGTTTGTCGTTGGCAGCTTAATCGGTTTTTTAATCGTGTTTCGTAGTTTTGAAGGGATAGTTACTTTGTTTTAATTGAAAGGTAATGCAATGAATACAAATAAGAATAGAAGCATGTTAGTAAAATCAAACAAGAAAAGGCTTAAAAGATGACAAAAAAATGTCGCCTTTCTCTTTTTCAACTTGTAGAGAATATCAGTAAAGACGTCTTAGGCTAATCACATGTTTTACGCGCCAGCGATCATCATAAAAGCGTCTTATGTTAGCTTTTGAGAGACGGAATCTATTTTCGATGATGTCGAATCGCCTGTTTGAAGATGGTTAATAGTGTGAATATAAAGTGCAAAAAATCATAGGGAATAACATCCAATTGTCTCTTTTTTACATAATTTGCAGAAATGACCAGTTTTTTTATCTTTCTTTCTCTTTTTCCCATATTCCATTCCCGTTTTTTTCTCTACTTACTTTTGCAAAAAACATCTCATTTAAATATTCTACAAACTTATTGACATTAAGGTAAATAGAAAGAATTTCAACTGTAGCGTTGATCGTCTGCAGTGTAAGCGCAAGCTGATATACTGTATATATCGAAACTATATACGGTATATATATATACAATATATATACATTTGTAACTCCATTCATCGTTGGGCCGTCTCTTTTTCTGTCTCCCTGGCGCCTACTCGAGGACGAAATTTGCATCCGAAACAAATGAAAAAGCTCGAAGGCGAAGGAAAGAGGAAAAGAGAGTTTTTCATAACCATTTATATGGAAATTAATTGGTTGCGAAAAGCGAGTGTTTATAATACAGTAAGAGGGTATTTATGCAAATCACATTCCAGCATTTCAATTATTTCAACTCCAACAAAACTTGACCAATTCTCCTAGTCTCTCTTTATTTCTTCAAACTTTTCTCTTCATTCTATTCAGTGCGCTTCTCCTTTTCTCTTGCATACTTACAATCATTCTTTTCTCTCCTTTCCTTTTTCATTTTGCCATTTTACTTTTCTCTCTTTTCTATTTCTCATTCCTTGCCTTTTCCCCCTCCCTCTCTCTCTATCTCTTATGAAAAAATGTCTTAAAAGTGTTAACTCTTCACGCTAGAGCATCTTCACAAGATGGATTATCGGTCAAGATTCGTTCCAGAGCCGATTGGATGCAGATGAATTGGAAAATCTCTGATGTGTCATCGTTTGATCCTGAAGGGGTTAGAGACACGAAGGATAACGGGTTGGGTGGGCTTAAAGTGCATGCAAAAGTAGGAGATTAACAGAAAGAAAGAAAGAGGCTCGGAAAAGAGAGAGAGAAGAGTGCTGGGGAGCAAAAGGGGAAGGAAGAGAAAAAGGAGAGAGATAATTGAAAGATAGCGTTATGAAAGTCCAATGCCAAATTGGACTGTTGGTGAAAAATTTCGTAATTGAACATAAAAGTCGAAGGAAACTGAGATAAATGCTGATCATGATTGGTTTGAATAAGAAGAAACATATACAATGTATATAATTCCGTTGCGAGGAATTTCCTTTTAGCTTAATATACCCGGAATAAGACGCCTGCAGCTTAGCGAGGTCTATCACTGACCGGATATGAAGCTATTTTTGACGCTCTCTTTTAGACGAGAAAGAAGCGAAGGTTTAAAGCGTTGAAAAAGCGGCGCCCGAGAAGACAGCCGGCGTTTCCACTTCAAAGACTCCTATTTATGAAACCCCTCAAATAATGGCCTTAGAAATTCTTCCTTACTGGCTTAATCACACTATTCAGGTGTCATTAGAGAATGGAAATATTATTAGTACTCGTCTCTGAATCATTCACGCAAGGTAAAGCCGATCCAAGTCAAGTCACACACAATCACTTAATCTGTTCCTTTCAGCCCATTTTTATTCAATCTGTATCAATCTATTAGAAAAAGAGAAAAGGGTTGTGCTGTGTTTGGTTGGCGTGGAGGGGGTTGGGGGGAGAAGGGGGGAGAAAGTGGAAATGGATGAAAAGTAAGGAAGAAGAAAATAAAAAAAGACTCAAGTTTTTGTAAAGAGATAAAAAAAAAGTTAAATAAAAAACTTTTGCTTATAAAAAAGAAAGAGAAAGTTTAGAGACTTAATTTGCTTCTTTCTTCTTAGTTATTCTTAATTTAAAAAACGTGATAAACACTAATCTTCTGTTTCTTATTTATCATTATTAAATCAAGAATTGGACGTATTAATCTCTCTCATCAGTTCCAGTCTTGCATTCATTTAAAGAAGCGATCAAACGATAATTTTGCAATTGGAATTTCTGGAAAAACGAACGGTTTTGTTTCTGTTTTCTAGAAAGAATCGGCAGGGATTGGTACGGACGGACGGGGGAAGATATTAGCTAGCTTAGGTGGGGAGAGAAGAGAACTAAGAAAAAAGAGTTTTTATCTCAAAGCGTATCGTGTAAAGATAGAATAAAAGAGGAGAAAAAAGGAAGAAAGGAATAGGCAAACGAAGGAGAAATATGAAAAGTGAGAGAGAAAAAAAGGAAGAATATAAGCAATTATTTGCAAGAAAAGAAATAATTCGACATACAGAGCATGCATGTAGTAGTTTATTACAAGTGGAGCGTACAATCAGGATACTTGATCTAGTAGGATGAAGATCATGGCATACAATGGAATCTGTTTGAAAGAAGAACCTAATTAAAAAAAAAACGGTAGGTAGGTAGGGAATGGAGATCATTTTCGTTCCTTTTTAAAACAGCGCCGATTCTCCTTGTTTTGGAACGACGAACCAACGTCGTCCTCTTTCTTTTTAAACTCTTTCTTCTTTCATCAAAGATTTGCTAGTTTTGTTAAAAGTCAAGCGTCTTTTCTATTTCTTTAAATGTTATCTTAAGAAAATCTGGAAAAAAAGGTCTCTTTTACAGTCAAATATTTGATCGTCATTTCACGGTCACCGCCTCTTGGTCCACGGGGAATGTCGAGCGTCTTTTTAAACGCTGCCTTGGCTATTGATTGCAACTGACAAGCGTTTGAATGACGCCTGTTTGGACTTGCTTATACGAAATTGAAAGAGGCAAGAAAGCAAACAATTATCCGTCTAAATGAGTTTAGATGATATTTGAAGGTGAAGAGGGCGTTGTTCTTGATCGGTCAACTAAGACTGTAACCAGCCTGATGAAGCGTGCGCAACGACCCGATCGGTTAAATCTGCCCATCAGCACGAACATTATAAGAAAGAAGTTGGGAAATTTCCTGATAGAAAACGATATATAAGAAAGATAAAGAGACAGATAGATAGAAAGATTAACATCTAGTTGTAAAAGAAGTAACGTAGAGAGAAAGACAGAGAGAGGGAGAGAGTAGAGAGGTAAGGTGGTGGGAGAGATTAATACTATTCAAATAATATGTTAAGATAAATAAGGTAAAAAAAATCTGTTCAAACACGGGTTAAGTGAAATTTGTAAGATTAGAAAATTGAATGAATATACAAAGAGAAAAGAGAAAAGCGAGAGAAAAGCAGAATAGAGATTTTATAAATAAAAATTGTAACAAAAAAGAAAAATTGAAAGGAAAGTGAAAGGAATAAAAGATAGATAGACAGAAAGAGAGAGAGAGAGAGAGAAGGAGGGAGGAAGGGAGGAATAGAAGGAGGAGATAGACTTGGCTGAAGGAGGGAGTTGGAGAAAAACGTAAGGTTAATAGAGAGTTCGATTCGTCCATTGTGTTGAAAAGATATTTATAAAACGGATAAGTGTTTGAAAAATATTAAGAAATTCTTCAATTTCAACTTTTTTTCAACTTTTACAGATCGAATAACTTCTCAATAAATTCTGTAAAAAACAAATTCTTTTCACTCGACAATTCGATCTACTTCTACAGCTGATGCTTTCGACTCCCCTGAGTATAAAGAAATGTGACTTAAATTCGTTAGCTGTCATTGATTTCCTAAGAATAATACATAGTTAATGTTTGATTACACAATCCTTCCAGCTTTTCATTTACTCTACCAATAAGAATAAGACGACTTGCAACTCGATCCCCCTTAGGCCTAACTTTTTTAATATAGGCAATATTTACAGGACCGTCGTTTATCTAATGCCCGACAGAAAATATTTTTTTACGTTTTTTTCCATCTCTATTCCTCTTCCTCCTTCTCCTCCCCCTCTTCCTCCCGCTTCTTCTTTTGTTACTCTCTTTTTTCCTCCCTCCTCTTATCCTTCTTGTCTTTCTTTTTCTTCTCCTTCTGCTTCTTCTTCGTATCTACTTCATTCTCCTATTTTCCCCTCTTCTTTTCTCTTAACAACACTACATCTACTGTAATATTTATACAAAGCAAACACCATATACAATTTACTTATATACATATATTTATATTTATACTTTACTTTACGTTATACATGTTTATTCTCTAGTTTTGTCATTGGCCTTTCGCTCTTATTCCCTTCTTATCTTTACTCTTATTTTTATCACTCACTCTCTCCCTCTCTCCCTCCCTCCCACTATTCGCCCCAATCTAGTTCACTCGTTCATTTAGTCACTCAAACGCATCTCCTAGTTAGCTCGCCCATTCCGCTCTTCTCACTCATCCACCATGTGCTTTCCTTCTGCTAAATTCTCAAATCGTTCTGTTTTTTAGCATATCCTTCTCCTTTAGTTATTCAATCATTATAGACATGAATCGAAGTAAAGCGAAGGGGAAAATGCTAATTTTCAACTGATAGGTAGAGACATCTACTGCAAAGAAAGGCTACTTAACCTAATTCACTCAACACAATAGTCTTTTATATTTACTAATTTCGTAATAATAGTCATCTGACTATTTTTATGTTGTTATTCATCTAGTTTTTAACGTCCTTTTAGTCGGTCATAAAGTTTTATCTAACTTCCTCACCGCCCATGAGGTATCCTTAATTCTCTCTATCTTTCTTAAGCTAAAGAATACAAAGAAGCGACTAGGAAAAATATGACAAAAAAAACCATATGAATGCCAATCGATTGAGCAGAGAAGGAATGGAAGAGGGAAGAAAGAGCATACAGAACGAGAGAGGTAGAGACAGAGAAAGAGAAAGACATAGATAGACGGATGATAGACTGACTGACTGACAGAATAGAAAGGAAAAAAGAGAAAGAGGGGGGAAAAAATAGTCATTGAACATGCATCACGAATCAAAGTAGAATATACCTCATCGCTGTTGCATAATTAAAAAGAAAAAAAGACGTTTTAGCCGGATAAAACTATCATAAAGCCATTCGTTTTACAGCGCTTCCTGCCATGCGTATCGTAGAAGCATATAAACTTTAATAAAAAGGTAATTACAATGAATAAGAACAGGTGTAAAATGATTATTTATTTAAATATAAAGAGAAGCAAACTTTCTTTTCGTTTCAACTTTTAGTCTTGTACAAATATTGAGAGAAAGTAAAAGGAAAAGAGCGTTGTAGATGGATTTATTCTAGGAAAGGGGACAAGGAACGAGAGACAGATACAGGGAGAAGGGGTAAAGTAGGGGCGGAGTTTAACTGATGTCAGGAATCGCTGTAATAGCATCGATAGCATGTCTATTTGTTTGTTTGTTTGTTTGTTTGTTTGTTCTTGTTTCTGTCCTTCAATCTATCTAGTTTATTTATCTATCTATCTATCTATCTATCTAACTACCTATCTATCTATCTATCTATCTGTCGATCGCTTGATCGAACTGTCTTTTTTCCTGATTTTCTTCTCTCCACCCCGATCTTTCTCTCTTCTTCTCTCGTCATCTTTCCTCAACTGCCTCCATCGGTCATGGAGCGTTTATCAATCTTCATTCGTTCTACGTACAACCGAATACACTAACTACTATTGGACGGTGAAAGAAAGAACGATAATAGAATAAAATATATAAAGCCAAGTTGGACGGAACTCTCAATATAAAAAGTCACAATTTATTTGTTCTGATTGGTTTGTTTGTTTGTCTGTTCGTTTGTTTTTTTGTTTTATCCTAAACGTAAAAACCTTTTAAGCCTTGAACTACCTTTTGGCTTGGTTCGTTCAAAAATACCCGTGGAGATAGTTTGTCTGAGCATTTGCTAGAAGTTGCCGAACACGGAGTTAAAGATCTGGCGGTAGATGGCGCTCTATTTGGAGAATCTACGCCCGAATCTCCTTCTCTTATCCTCTTCATCTGCTCCCTACTATCTCTTATACTTCTTACCAAAGTCTTTGTAAGTTTAACGGGACGTTTCGGTTCTATATGATGGCACAGTGTTGAAAGTTCAGATTGAGTTATGGAAATGCTGCTGGGAGTTTTAGAAAGAACACTAGCAGTTTCGTAGTCCTTTCTGTCAATGCCTCGACGACCAGGTTCGTTGTCGTTGTCGTCATCGTCGTCGTCGTCGTTGTTTTCTCCCCTACTGACGTGGTCGACTGACGCGGAAACGTGCGACAGAGAAATCCTAGAGGACCACGTTGAACCGGCGACTGTTGAAAAAAGAATTTCGTTGTCGTCCAAGTCATTACTCAGCCATAAATTCTCGGAAATTTGGTTTGCTGTTTTAGGTAATAGTGGTACTAGATGACCAATTTTGTCAACAGAAAATTGCACAGAGCAGTCATTAACCTTTGACACTTTGACTTTGTCAGGAGCCTTTTTTAAGGCGAAATGCAATTGAAATTTCGTATTTTTAGTTGATTTAAGTATAAATAGGCAAAAATCATTTCTTATAATTGTAGCATTCTGAGCGATAACTAGTGAATAAAAGTTGATTTGATCCTGCCAATTTTTATGCGACACGAATCGAACTATACGAATTATTTCCTTTCCGTAATGAACCTGCCTAAGGGCCAATAGAGGAAGATTGGATGAACACGAATAATAGTCCAAATTGTTAAATGGATACGGGTGAATAGAGCCCCTCGTTGTTGAATCTGTATGATGTAATACCCAAGGAGGCTTTTTCAAACATTCCTTTACCATTTTAACAGATTGCTGCTTTTCCGTCACGTAATTCTCCTTATGGAAGACCATCAGTGCTAGAGAAGATACAGTTACCGAAGGTATTTGGTCCTTGATAGACTTTTCTCCATTATCCGAATCGTCAAAGGTAAATAAATCCGAATTTTCATCGATTAAACTAAAAATTGGCTCGTATAACGATTTAACTTTTTCCTTATCACATTTTTCAACTTTAAACCTAACTGATAAGGATAGACAAGTTTCGTTAAAATTTCCCGTTTCCGAAGGTGCAGTTATCCAAGAACCTGGATGGATAGAGGAGAAGAGAACTATAAATATATATACTGTATATATATACATATATAATATTTTATATATTTATATATAGACATTTACATTCTGCTGTAGTATTACTTGTCATCAAATTTCCCTGTACATTCTCCTTTCTTCCCTCTCATCTTTAATGTATTAAGAAAAGACAACCTCCCCTCACTCTCCCCCTCTCTCTCTCTCTCTCTCCCGTAAGGTAATACAATCCGCTTTACAACTTTTATAAACTGATACTCGTTTAAACAACTTTTGTCTTTCTTTCGAGACAGGAAGGAGAATCATATATAAATAAACAATAACCATGTTTATACGAGGACTAATTAATTAGTATTTGAGTGAGGGTCAAGGTAAGATTACTTTTACAACTTTGCTTTGAAGCAGAGCTGTATGTAATTTATACAAAATGGTATGAATTGTAAATAGGACATATGGATGTATACAGTATGTATACAGTATAAATACAATATATAAGTATATACAACATTTATGCTGTATATGTTGATAAAAGAGGAAATAGTTTACCGTAATCACTGGAAATTGTCGAACTAGCTGAGCTGAAATCAGTCATGGCCGGTCTGGAGAGAAAAAAAATATGTAGATCAAGTAGGCGTATAAGAGGAAGTTGAGCATGCATTTTTAAAGGTGTCCGATTGAACGATAATAGGCCTACTCTTAAAAAAAAACCCCCCGCCTTTGATCCTGCGAATTTGTAATGCTTTATTTATATCGTATAGACGCTTCTCATTTTACAAATATTACGAGGAAAGAGTAACATACCACACCCTCTTTTGTTGTCCTTTTATTTTGCCTCTATTCTCTTACTAATAGGATACTTGAAAGGCGTTTCGAAATCGTTTCGTAGCTCTTTAATGTATTTATATATTTACATAAATAAACATTCTTGTTATAGATTAATACAATATATACTATTAGTAATAATATACATATATACATACATATATACACGATACAGTATATGCAACACTTTAGGTGTCCATCTAAACGCTCCGTACAACTATCTTACCTGTGCACCTGTACAAGATGATATTGCCAACCGTCAATAGCGTATTGACAAACTTGCCTAGACTGAATACGAGAATCTAACTTGCTATATTATATGTAACTTATTGCGCATGCGCATATGAGCAAACTACTAGAGAGGAGTTTTGTTTGTAATTTCTTACGTCAATCGATCGATTTTGATAGAGTGACGTTAGACCAGGGTAGCAGTGACGTCACACTGTTAATCTTCAACAGTATTTAGTTGTAAGTAGATTTAAAAGTGTTTTTTGTTGTATAAAAAAATGTAAAGAGATTGGTTAAAGGAAAAAGTAAGAAATGAAGAGAAGATACTAAAAGCTAACAAATTTCTTCTTTTTCTTTTTTTTTAAAAAGAAAAATAACGAAAATAATAAAAAAGAGAATCGTCAATAAAATATCGATTTTCAAAAGAAAAACTAAATAAAAAGTGAACTAGACAAAAATTCAAAACTAAGAGAATTGAACGACGCCGTTTTATTGATATAAAAAAATATCCCTTTTCGCTCTCTTTCTCTCTCTCTCTCACTGTAATCTTTTCCCTTTTGCCCTTTAAATGCTCTTTTAACAGATTAAGAAAAGAGGTTAAATTAGGCGGGATAGAAGGAATAAAGGGTAGTTCGTTCAATAAGAAGGTAGGATAAGAACATAAGAAAAGGTTTTAAATACTACTACTGAGGTAATAGTACAAACATTTATGAGGGGATAGAGAGAGAGAGGGAGAGAGAGCGCACGCACACAAAGACAAAGAAGAATAAATGAAATAGAAGGGAAAATTAACCACAAGAGACTCTACAAAATGAAAAAAATAAAACAAACTTACGGCTGAGTATATTTCCAATAAGAAAGATGGTCGCCCGTTGTATAGCAACGATTCCGTTTGTCAAACGTTTCCATAACAACAAAAAGGCAAAATGGGAAAGATTGTGTACGTTTTTCTACAGACTATATATATATATATATTTGTGGCCGGATAATTAGCCGTCGGCACTTTGTCGTTGACGCATTAAGACTAGCGAAACGTTCGAACTAAACAAGTTTTGTGAATAGAAACGTAAAATCGTGTCAATAACGTCGAACAACGAAATATAAATCCGCAAAAGTGCCCTGAACTATAATGATTATAGGGAGCACTTAAAAAAGAGAGAGAGGAAGATAAGGGTGGTCTCTTTCTATAACTGTGCAACCTGAATATTTTTCTTTTCTCTCGTTCTTTTTCTCCCTTTTTTTTTTATTTTTACCTTTGGCGGCAGAGTTCACCTGCCAGATGGGAATCGATGAAAACATGCTGTGCAGGTAATTTCCTTACGAAAATTGCCTATCCTCTTATGGAAGGCGTTCAAAAAAATTGATCATTTACATGTAACAATTCTATTTGTCTGTGTTTGTATGTTTTATTACTGAACGCTATCTTTCTCTTTGTCTTTGCTTACAACTTGTATTTATTTTCAAAAATATTGCCGAAAGCGACAGAGAGAGAGAAAGAGAAGGAAGGGGAAAGAAAGAGTAGAGGATAAAACACTTTAGCTTACCTTGTGGCGTCCTCCTCTCTTTATATTCTGTCTATCAAACACGATTAACAAGTCTATTTATCTTAATACTGATGTTGAAGGATTTGTCATGTTAACTGGGCCTGCTGATACTACTACTATTACTACTACTATTTCTAAGGGGAAGCGTTTAAAAGTGAATATTTTCACGAGGCTAGGCAAGCTAGCTCCTGTTTTTGCTGATTTTCGAGATTGTCTGTTAAATATGCCGTGCAAACATTGTTTTTACCGTTAATGTTTGCTAAAGTTCGATTTATAGTGCGTTCAGGCCTAGAACATGGCCAATGCTATTTATTTAGTTGGAATTAATATTTCCGAAAATTCTGTGAAATTGATTAATATCATGTTTAAATTATAAAAGAAAAATGTGTATTCTTATTGACTTTTCTCCCTTTTTCACTCGCTTACTCTCTCTCTCTCTCTCTCTCTCTCCTAATGTTTTATCAAATTTTTAACCAGTTCCTATCCACACATACCCTTGGCTACTTAACCCTGAACTTGTCCAATCTGTCGGCGGATATGAAAGAAACGCACAGACCTTTAAGCTTTTGGTTGCTAGATCTTTTGCGTGTTCAATATTTATCTTTTGCTCTTAACTTTTCATTGGCTATGTTAATTTCTTTTAAAATTGACAAAACTACCTTCGAAATTGGCCGCCATACGATTGTTTGTTTGTAAAATAAACTATAAGTTTATTAATTTTCTATTCAAGGTATCCAAATAAGATTAAAGAGACGAAAGAGTGTCTTTCTCTCTCTCTCTCTCTCTCTCTCTCTTTCTATCGGCTTTTTATTGAATATTTTCTAGAGAAATCTATTATTCTCACGATTTGTTTATGTTATTCGTTTCTTTTATTCTAATAGAATAACAACAAACCTTTTATGATTTTCTTTACTTTTATTAAGTAGACAAGTAGAACGAAATACATTTACACCGTTTTTATGACACAAACTCTTGTATATTGTATATACAAGTAATAATATAAGTATATACATACAAACAAAACATACATTCTACACTTGTTCATTCATTCATTCATTCATTCATTCTAGAACCTCTTGTCTATCCCCACTCTCTTATTTTCTATCTCCTTCCACTCAACCATACTTTACTTTAATCTTTCCTCTTAATTCTTTCACCCAACTTTTCCCTCACAAATCCAAGTGCATTAATTATCTTCGAGACCTTTTCCCAATTTTTTAGTTTATCCTATTTTTATCTTTTTTCTCTTCGTCATTCATTTCGTTTACTCAACGATCTACTATGGTATTTACATTTTTAAACCCTATCTTTCACTCATCCGATTACTCACTTAATCTTTTCAGACCAATCCAACCGTTAATTTGATAATCAAACACTATTCCAGTCTGTTCGACGCCTTTCCCATCGACCCGTCCCGTGCTTTGTCTTTTTAAACGCGCTCGTCTACCTGAAAGAGTTTACAGCGTCTATCTATCATGCAGCTCCATCTACAGTCTAAATGGTGAACGATTTATCTAGAGAAAAAGGCCACGAGCTAGAGGATAGAGTTATGAGTGAGTGGGAGGAACACAGAAAGAGAGAGAGAGAGAGAGGGGGGGCTGAGTGGAATAAATAAGAAATTATTAGAAAAGACTTATGAAAAAATCTCTTTTTTAAGAAGAAAGAAAGAAAGAAAAAGAGGTTTTTGAACGTTTTGAACGTGACTACTTTTGCAGATTGATAAAGAATTCATGTTATCCTCTTAAGCATCTCTCTTTTTGTTTGCTTTCTTTTTTCTTCGGAAAAATTCTCCTATTAAAGTAGAATTTGGTAAACTTTTATGAAAAAGTTTCATGTCAAAGGAGAATAGAAGAGAGAGAGAGAGAGAGAGAGAGAGAAAGGAAAGAAAGAAAGAAAGAAAGAATGTATTTGCTATTTTTATTGATCGGTAATTGTATGTAAATTAATCAGTGTTCAGTAAATGTTTAACTATTTCGTAAACAAAACTAATCCTTTATTATAGCGATTAAACCGGTTGCCGATTGCTGTTGCATAGCCGAAGGCAGACAATTTAGTAAAGAATATTTTGAAAATGCGGTTGAATGCATCTCCTATTTTCGGCCCGTTGTCAATTGCCTGAAGACTCGGAACGACATATGCCAAACTTTTACTCATGAAACGTTAATTCTCTCCCTAGGAGCTACCTGCGGTGAGCTTTGATATATACCCAACATACTAACACAGATTCCATTTTTAGACGGCCTTTCGCCGTTTCTTTCAACTGATTTTATTGCCATTTCTCCACTCTACACTTGCCTTTACTATGCACATTTTGCTCTTCGTTTTACCTACTTATTACATCCACTCGCTATACCGTATCTTTCACCATTGTTCATTCTTCTCTTACAGATACAATGACTAAATATTGCAAGTTGAGCAATGTCGAAGAAAGGCTATGCCTTAATATCTCCAAGTCGTTAAAAAGAGATGGAACGGGTAAGAGAGTATTAATTTTCATTTTTGTCTTCCATTCTAGAAATGAATTCTTTAACTGTCGTTTACAACTCTTTTCCGTAGATTGCGTTGACTGGCGAAAAATTTTCGCCCTCTGTTCCAAATGCTCCGCTCATTATGCTTGGTTTCTTTTCGCCAAACAAATTCATAGTTTATCAGTGCAATTTCAGCCTATTGTACCAGAAACGCTTCGAGTAATTTATCAGCGAATCAAGACTTTTCCCTATAATTGCAGTTTGGAAGAGATGACACAGGCTATGCCTATGCACGGTAAAGTTTACGAACAGACAAAGTTCCTCGATACCTTTAAGGGGAGGATTAGAAAAACGCCCTCGGTTGGTTTGTCAGGGTCGTCGGAAACGTCCAAAGGACGCTTCATTTCCATCTGTACGATAATAACGATGATAAAGCTGTACGAAAAAATTTCTATATATAATTTCTATATTTAGTAAGGAAAGGAGAGAAATTAATATAGTCTAAATATGGAAAGACAAAGAAAGGAAAAGAAGAAGACAAACAAACAAACTTTGAGATCAAATACAAACTTTTGATAAATTATTTTCTCTTTGTTTTGTGACCAAGTTTTCTTTTCTTTCTTTCCTTCTCTTCTCTCTTCTTATTTAAATAATTCAATTATACTTTAACTCGTCTATTAGCCTATCGATTCTCTTTGATAATTCAACAAAAACACAACTCGATTATACATTTATAACAAGCGTACTACTAGGCCTGTTAACCTAATTAATTAAATATATAGTATAAACCGTATTCGAGGTCGTCAATCTTATGAATATTCAAATTTTTTCAATCCAATCGTTAACTTTTTATTACCGCACCTTTTCATTCTACTTTAAATATTTTCTTTCTCATTAATTTTCCAGGCGTCTCTTTTAAAATATAGATAAAACAAAAAAGTGACGCCTACAAAATCGATGAGTTTATGTATTGTTATCCTAGTCGCCATGATGAACGACGCCATTATTTATTGAACATTTCATAGTGAACAATAAAATTATGGACGCTGGTCCTGATGGATCGTCTTTGGAACGTTCTACCTCTTGGCAAAGTGGTATTAAACCCTTGGGTTCGTCCCAATCTATAAGATCTTTCTCTAAAGGTGGACGTATTTCCGCCCTGGCAACGCCTCCTCGTTCAAGAAGCGACAATCTTCAAAAGAACAATGCAAACAACACGGATAAATATCTTATTGGTCGCCCGGAAGCTGACGTCATATTTGTCAACGAGCTTGAAAAACAATATGAATGTGTAGCGTGTAATAAGGTATTGAGATACGCTGTTCAATTTAAAGCGTGCGAACATCGTTGCTGTTCCGCTTGTTTACCGCAATTGATGAAAGTTGAACCGAGATGTCCAATTGATCAGATCAAAATTGAAAAGCAGAATATCCGCGTCGATAAAACTTTTCAAAAGGAAGTAGACGCCCTAGAGATATTATGCTCTTTCAAGGAGAAGGGCTGCGAATGGGCCGGCTATCTGGGAGAATTGAACGTTCATCTCAGCGATTGTCTTTACAGAGTAATCAAATGTCCTATGGGTTGCGAGGTCGACCTCGAAAAGAGGTTTGTTGACAAACACGTCGAAGAGGATTGCGTAAAAAGATTGGTTCCATGCGAATATTGCCATGAGAATTTCATTTATGAAGAGGAGGAATTGCATTTGGAAGATTGCCAGAAATTTCCAATTGAATGTCCAAACAAATGCGGTATATCGAAAATAGCAAAAGATGAAGTGAAGGTACACTTGGAGGAGGAATGCCCTAGACAGCTAACGGATTGTTTGTTCGTCCGGGCCGGATGCGAATATAAGGTAGGCTAAACGCTTTATTCTCTTTTCCTTTTAAATGTTTTTTTTAGAAGCCAATCGAAGCTTTGTCTTCTTCAGTAATAAGATAGATAGAGAGAGAGAGAGAAAGATAACCCTCCAAATAAGAATTTGTTTTTTTTCAGTGCGAAAGAAACGAAATGGATATACACATGAAAGAGAACTTTAAGGATCATCTCAAAATGGCCATTAGGAACATTACGGCGAATGATAAATCTTTGAGAATATTCTCCAAATCTCTTCAAGCCCAAAATGAACGTGTTAACGTTGTTGAAGAACAGGTAGTGGGCCTTGAGAAACTATACGGTTCTCAACTCCTATGGAAAATTGATAAGCATTCAGAGAAGATGGCCGAAGCTAAAAGTGGAAAGAAGCCTACTATCTATAGTCCAACTTTTCTTACGAACAGACACGGCTATAGACTGGCCCTGTCGTCTAGCCTTTATGGAGATGGTAAAGGTAATATAAATCAATTAAATATCCCAATAAGCGTTTGTACATGAATGATGTGTCTTTGTCAACAGCTAGAGGGCAGACGATGTCCTTGTACGTTTCAATTTGTAAGGGGGAATACGACGCTCTACTCAAGTGGCCTTTTACTCATAAGATAACATTTACTCTGATCGATCAATGCGAAAACTTGAACGAGAGAAAGAATATAGATTATACGATAAAGCCGAATCTTTGTAAGGAGAACTTGTCGTTCCTATCAAAGCCGATAGGGGATAGAAACGCTTCGTTCGGAGCTCAGAAATTTATTGAATTGGACGTTTTAAAAACGAGAGATTACACAAAAAACGACTGTTTATACATAAAGGTTGCAGTCGACAGCGAAGATATGCCACTCTTGTAATAATTCAAGTGTTAACGAGAAAGAAGTATACAATAGAATCAAAGCAGAGATTAAACAGCTAATGCTCTGCTCATTTGGTCGTTAATATTTTATTTTATTTGCAGTGTATACGCTAAATATAGTATATGTATTTATATACATACATATGTATTCTAATATTTTGGTGATGCACTTTTCTTGTGGTATATAACTGGAGCACTTAAAGGAGAAAGGATAAAAAATTCCCTTCATTTTCACAGAAAAACCCAATATTTAACAACGTAACTTTATCAATCTATTCTATTTTTATCAAGTATTTGAATAAATAAAATTTCCATTAATGATTAACCGTCTCCAGTCTCGTCAGTAGTCCGACTTGACGAAAGATACTTCTTAATAGTCCTCTTTTTTCTTCTCCGTCCTTCTGCATACTTTTCACCTCTTCCTTTATTTTTCTTTACCAAGAATTAAAGCTATTTTTGTACCATTTATTATAAATTATTCTTCTCTTTGCTATTAAATTTAGTTGTGTTTTTTTTTTCTTTTTCTTCTTCTTCTTCTTCTTCTTATGTTAATATATTTTTGCTCTAGTCGTCTTTTGTTCTTACTAGACTGTCAGTAACGTTCTAATTGGTCAAATACCTCCAACAGCGACATGTTTTTATAAGCGGCTGCAAGGTCAAAATGCAGCTTAATAAAGCTTTTGTAGTATATATATAAAGTATACTACATATGAAACTAATTGAATTATTTAGATATACATAGAGACAAGTACATAGATGGATAGATAGCTGGCTAGCTGGCTAGATAGATAGATAGATAGAGCGTTTGCCAGAGAGGGGGGGGGAGGGGAGTTGGCACGCGGCGGTAAGGAGGCGGATGGAGAGGAGGAGAATATAAAAGACCAATCCAAAACGAATAGGACAGTATAGCAGGATTCGTTTTAAAACTATTAGCATTTTGAGGGGCGAAAAAGTTGTCATGACTCGCTTGCAGAGTAGTTGAATTAGATAGATTTAGAGGGGTGTGGGCGCCAGAGAGCTAGAGTAGGAGGAGGAGAAGGAGGAGGAGGAAAGAAGAGATTATATATAAATGTGTCTATGACCAATTAATCATTTGTGTTAAGCGAAAAGGTTGAATGACGTATGAAACAAGTACAATAGGTATTTAGTTGGGCGAATTGAGGCAATTGTGTGACATTTGGACAACGAGAAGAGAAAAAGTATGAAATGTCATAAAAATTCCTCTCTCAATTTCCACTTATTTCGAAGGCGTAAACAATAAAGAAAAAGGCAAATAGAACATTTGAAAAAGAAAGAATGAAACTACTAAAATTGACATCCGAAATCACGAAAAAGTGTGATAAAAATTCATGTTAACAAGCTAAAAATAAATTAATAACTAATAAGAAAAAACATGCTTGAATAAATAAATTTTCTGTTATTTTACTCCTTTTCTTTCTTTCTTTCTTTCTTCCTTCCTTTCTTCCTTCGTTCCTTTCATTCAAATAGAAGATAATTATTTTTTCAACTTTTCTCTTGAATCTTTTGAAAAACGAGACGACCAACTAACGCACGTTATACAATCACAAGTCGCCCGCTCTCTCTCTCTCTCCCTCTCTCTCTCTCTCTCTCTCACTCATGATTTCTTTCTCCTATACTCACTCGCTCATTCGCCTCCTAACTTCTCGGATAAGATACTCAAAATTACTTACTTCAGGTATCATTTTAAACAAAAAATAAGGCGAAAAAAGAGAGGAAGATAAACGAGAAGGATATTATAAAGAATAGCGCTGTAAAAGGAGAGAAGAAAATAATTAGCCCAAATAAGAAAAGGATTATATAAAAATAGAAGAAGAAGAAGAAGGAAAGGAGAATAAGAGAGAGACAGAGAGACAGAGAGAAAGAGAGAAAGAGTGAACGAGAGAGCGACCGAAAAAGAGAAAAAGAGAAAGAAAAATAAAGACAGAGAAAAAGATTTTCTTCCCACTCAACCTACGTACGAATCCGGCGAGCCTATATCCGCCCTCTACAGTCTTATCTCTCCCATTTTCCCCAACTTTTTCCAATGCTCCTCTCGCAAATAACTTTCTTAGTGTCTTTTACGGTTCTTTTTCATGCCTCCGAAAGTTCTGGTCTAAAAGTGAAAAAGAGAAAGCATTTTCTCTTTGATTGGTTTACCATTCCAATTGAAAAGAAGAGGAGTTTTGGTTTTGGTCACACGGATCTAAACGAAATTGCCGCTAAAAGAGCCGATATACTTTTTGATTCCTTCGATTTTAATCGTAAGTACAAGAATAAGGCCTATTATTTCTTTTGTTTCTTTTCTTATATGTCATTTTTTTTCTATAATTCTCTCTCTCTCTCTCTCTCTCTCCTTTTCTCCTCTCTTACTTTCTTTTTACAACATTTCTGTCGCTACAGAAGACAGAAACACTTGTTTGTTTGTTTGTTTTGTTGATTGTTTGCTATGTTTTGTTTTGTTTATTTTCTTTTGCTGCATTCTTATCTAAATCTCTTCCAATTTTTCTATATGTTTTTTTCTTTCTCTTTCTCTCTCTCTGCACAATTTTTCCTTTTACTTCAATATAAATACGATATACTGTATACATACATACATACACGTATATATGAAATAGATGATGAAAAGATTGATAGAAGCGAGATGAAGCAAATGATGTACTTGCTCGCTCTAGAAGAATCTTTATGGCCAAACGGCTTTGGACAGAGCCATCGTAACGGCATATTTAGGAAGAAAAAATCTGAAAGTATTGAACAAATTTTATTTTAAAAGAAGTCAATGAAAATATAAAAAATAAAAAAAAAAAAAACAAAAAATAAATAAAATACTAAATAAATAATTAACTAACTAATTAACTAATTAATTAATTAATCAAATGGATGGATGGAGAAGACGACAATGGTTGTGATGGTTGTGATGTTGATAAGAGATGAAAAAAAGCGAAAAAAGTTTAAAAAACGCAACGGATATAAAAGTAAAGTATACAAATATTGAAATGAAAATTCTTCAACAACTTTTATGAAACGACGAAGCGAAGAAAAAAAAACCTCAAAAAAAAGTGAACAACTTGCATGCAAAAAATCAAGTTGACAGTCTTTTAAATTTTTTCTGTTGTCTTTTATCATTTTTAATATAAACAAACAAAATATGGAATCAGAGTGCACACAAACTTTTTGTTATCTATTTCTTCTTTCGTATTTTATAGAATTTTGTTTGTAGATCAATTTTATCTGTAATTTCTTCATATCTGTCTCTCTGCCTGTCTTTTTTTTTCTCTCTCTCTCTCTCTTTCTCGCTCTTTTATTTATTCTCTCACTTTCATTCGCTCACTCTCACTCACTCTCTCTCATATTCGTCGTTTGCACTTTCAACTTGAAAACTCACAGCAGCATCTTAAATGTTTTTCTATTTATAGCAGTTGATAAAATAATATACATAAAGGAGAAGAATTTATAATATCCTTTGAGGATAACAAGGGACGTTTACAATAAATTTTTGAACGATTCAATTATTAATTCTGAATAAATACTTGACAACATTCTATTGTTTTTTCTTTCATTTTTATCTTTCATTTTAGTATTTTAAACTAGTTTTTAATTATCTTCCTAAGCGAATAAAACCTACTTCCGGATTCTATTAATATTTATTGATTTAACACCAATAATACCAGCTTTCTGGACTTGTTTATTTTTTCTTTCTTTCTATCCGCTTCTCTTTCACCCTCTATATTTCTCACCTTGTTTTTCAATTACTATTCCAATTCTCGCCTGGTCACCGCCGTCTCTCTTTCGCCAAGTTCTGTGCGCTTGGCGCCATCTATTGGATTAGCTGAGGAAAAAAGAGCGTGTTCTCTTGAGAAGAAAGTCAAAGACAAGAGTGGAAGTTGGTTGGGGGCAGAGGGGAGAGGCAGAGAGAAAAAGAGAGGAAAAGATAGAAAGAAAAAAGTATATCTTTCAACTAATAGAGGGATATAATACAAGTAAAATATTAGTTGGGTGTCTATTTAATTGTTTGCCGTCTACTCGATTTACCTTTTGAATTAATGTTAATGAAGAGGATATAATAAATAATTATACGTAAATAAACAGTAAATAGTTTATATACACAAGTATATAGGTGAATAGTGAACTGGTATTTGAAAGATAAACTCAATAAACCCTTATGCTTAATGTCAATATGCACGCATATTTGGCCTTTTCCGACTAGGAAATACATTTCAACTAATCGTATTTTATCAATTTGTATCACATTTGAAAAGGTGTTGGGCTCTGTTGGAAAATTAGTGTCGGAGGGGGAGGAGGAGGAGGAGTAGGAGGCGAGGAGGAGGGACGGAGACTAAAATATTGGGAAATTTCATTAGCATGGTTTTATTATACCGGAGGGAGCAATAAAAAGATATTTGACAAGAATATTCCGAATATTTAGTTTAATACTTAAAAAGAGAGACAAGAGACAATGAAGATATTTTCTTAATAGACGCCGAATTCTTTTAATAATCATAATCTGGATCAGAATCATAATAAAACACCTAATACAAACAAATAAGCCATACTTAAAAACAGTAACTCGTCAACTTTAAAAGTAAATCATTAATGATTTATTAAATAGGTCAAATACGCGGAAAATGAAATCAATTAGTTGTATCCTTGTCTTTTAAATATGTAAATTCAAAGCGTGTTGACAGGCACTCTAGTTGTTAAACCATCCATCAAAGGATGCAGTCAGTTTAGTCAATAATCACTTTGATTAAGAAAGATTAAGGTCATCTCTCATCTAACTATTCTCGTCCGATCTCCGTCATCATCTTATCAATAATCATTAGGCCTCTATCCAAAAAAAATCTGTCATTTAAGTAGGCTTGCGACGAAATTCCATTACATTTATAGGCCTAAGGCTAAGTGGTGATTATCAGGCAAAGATCCCGATGGAATTATGAGTATCGATTCGTATGAAACTCGTATTTTTAATCACGTGACATTACGATAAACGAAAGAAGAGAAAGAGAAGAAAAGAAATGAGAAAAGTGGGATAATACGCAATTGATGAAGACGAGAAAAGTGTGTCGATGTGAAGTGAAGATTATGTAGCTTCCCCGCCCAACGACGTTGTAGGGTTAAGTGAGAAAGTCGACAAAATTCCTTATCCACCTGTCTGTTAGTCTGACAGCAAAGGTATGTATATATATATATAGAAAGAGGGAGAGACAGACGGACAGACAAACAGAGAGAGAGAGAGAGTTGAGCATCTTAACGTCTTTAGTTGATTTACTCGATATACAAAATCTACAGCCTATATACTTGTATCTAGTATATATTAAAAATAGTCCAAATACGATAGAAAGGGAAAAATGAATAGAAAATATTTAATAAAAAAAGAAAACTAATAAAAATCTATGATATTGGCAGAAATCTGTATCTATATATGGAATTTTTACAATATGTTACAAATATCTATGTTTCATAAAATTATTCATCATATTCATTCAAAGTCAATTGTCTCATTTTTATGATTGAATAAGTACAATACGCTCTTTTAAGTTCTTTTCTTTTGTCGTACAACTTTTCCCTCTCTCTCTCTCTCTCTCTCTCTCTCTCTTCCTCTCTCAGCTAAACTTTCCCAGTTGTACAAATTACGAATGGGAAAAGAGAGAAACAAGGAAAGAAAGAAAGCGGAAAGAGGAAGGAGGAGAAATTGAAAAAAAAAAAACAAAGAGGAAATTGTACTTGCTCTGATTTGTTTGTTTGTTTGTTTGTTTTAAACATCCATTCTACCTACTTTATTTATCATCTCTTTCCTTTATATTTCAATATTCAAGTATTTATTTCGGGTTTATTGTTTATACTAGGAATCATACTGGCTTTTATGATTTAGTAGAAAATTGAGCAAAAGCCTTCTCTTCTACTCTTAACTTTTAAATAAACTATTTCCCTTTATAAACAGGACAATTAAATATTTATACAAATCAAAAACAACCATTATCCTAACACTAGTTATCTTCCATTTCCTACTATTATTATTCTTCTACTTCTTCTTCTTCTTCTTCCTCTTCTTCTTCTCCTCTTCCTCATCCTTCTTCTCCTTCTTCTTTTATTTTTCATTATAAATATTGTATCGTTTGCTGTCTAGTTTGTAATGTCTTTTATAATAATGGTCTAATCATACTTCTCGTCAGGGCAACCATTGTTTGTCAAGCATCTCCTTCAAGACTTCTTTTTCTATATTCATTTATTTTATTCCTAAATAAACAAGTTTCTTTTAAGAAAGATTCTATGCAGCTTTACGAGATGCGATGTAGTCGTAATACTGTAAGCATTCTATTCTTTCGAAAGGCGCCTTTGGAGACACTCGATAACTATGTATATTGCTCGTTTTTTCCCCTTCTCTTTTCCCCCATTCTCCCTAACTCCTTCCACTATTTCTCCTCCAGTTTTCTTCTTCTTTTTGAATTAATCCATTTTCTAGAATTGAATACTGCCGAAAAATATATGCAAATAGAAAAATGTCACTTTGTGACATCTATAGGTGGACACTTTAAATATTCTTTTCTCCTCTCTCCCTCCCTCTTCAACGAATGTTCAGAGCGAAAGTAGAATGAGAGCGTTTTATAGAGGAGGGAAAACGCTCCTTTTCTGCCGTTATCGGACGAAGATCCATTTGCTAAAAGTATAATTAAGTGACCTAACGCATCTGTATTGGTGATTGAGATGAAACGAACAGATTTAAAGATAAGCAAGATTGGCATAATCCCCAAAAAAGGAGAGAAATCCTTCTATATTGGAGTAAAAACTATATAAAGCAGAAAGCTTTTATATAAATAGAAAGATTAAAAAGAGGGGGAATTGAATTGATAATGATTTCGGATAAAGAAATCTATGTATTAAAACTGATTAAGGCTTAATAGAATATATAAATATAAACATCTATATATATATTTATATATAGTTACAATTTACTATTGAAATACAACTTTCATACATAAAATCATTGTTACTCTCCTCCTATCTTCTCTCTTGAATAGCGAAGACGATAAACAGGTACAGGTACTTTTCACTTTTATTGTAATTACACAGTCATAATGATTATTTACGACCATCATTAAGCTATATTAAGAATATTTGCCATATTTGTTAAGAACGAGCATATGGGTTAAGGGATAGAAGTACCATTGAGAAAATTCTACAACTTTTTCGCCTAATGGCACTGCCAATAGGAAAGAGAAATGAACGACAGAAAAAAAAGAAATCAGAAAGTGATTCTTGATCGAGGAGAAATCTGTCATGGAAAACAGAAGAATTTGACATTCATATCAACGATTAAAAAGAAGAGAAGAGCAAAGGAAAACAGATAAGTCAGATGGATGTCTTTTTTTATATCACAAGTCAGGATTGGGAATTGCTACAGTGCCGATTTCTTTTTTCTCTTCTCCTCTCCTCTCCTCTCTTCTCCCCTCCTCTCCCTCTTCTTCCTTCTCCTCCTCTCTCCTCTCCTTTCTCCTCTCTCACTCCCTCTATAGAAAAAACACAAATTGACATTGTTTATATTAGCCAAATACAGTATAATTAAAGTAATAGAAAAGCAATTTACTTCTCTATTAGCATGGCGCGGCTACAATGTTTCCATATTGAAACGATTACTTTTCCTGGTAGTCTCGGAAACTCGTTTGATCCGCCTCTCCTCGATTAGAATAAAGAGATATATAAAACTTCCTCGGGCTCTCTTTCCCTTATTCAATCCGAAATATTTAGAACGATTGAAATTTTCCCTTCACGTTTCATTTTAAAAGCATCATAAAATATTCAATTTCAACTGCCCAAATCTTCTAAGACCTTAATTTTCCCATTTATTTTTCCTATTCCCCGTTTGGTACCAGTTCCATACTTTGACTTGCTCTTTAACTTTTTCCCTCTATCCGCTACTCATTGGTGGGTCGTAACCTTTTCAAAAGAAACGTAACGTAGGACATTCCAACTTTCTTCAACTCTTATCTTTATCGTCTACTTTCTCTTTAACTTTTTTTTATTTTTTTTTTATATCTAGCCGTGTCTCTTTCTCTCTCTCTCTCTCTCTCTTAATTTTCAAGTGCCATTTCATTTGCCACCTAAATTACGAGGAGAAAGAAGACAATTATATTGAAGATTTCTATGATACCTACAATAATATACTGTATAGATTCGCATATACTGTATATAGTCTATACGTTATACGGTGTAATTAAGATTGCACTAGCTGCACTATTTCCGGTTGCCAACTTGTAGCTAGAAAGTACAACTTCATTCGCAGAGTTGTTGTTTTATTAGAAGAAGCAGGTAATATAGATAATAATATAGTATAGATAGATAGATAGATAGATAGATAGACAGTCGGAGAGGGGGAGGCGAATTGGGGAATGGGAGAAAATAAGGTTGTCAGCCATTTTAGTTTTTTTGCAAATAAAAGACTCTTCGAAGCGAAAAAGTTGATGGCTAAATGCGTTCAACTCATTGCAAAAGTTCAATAATTCCCTATTGATCGAATAATCTCATAAACTCATGCATATTTCCATCTGTATGTTTATATACAAATCTCGTCGGTTTATCTTGCCTCCGTCTATTAACTAAATAGAAACGGATTGTAGTTTGTCAACCTTGTTTACCTAAGCATCAGGCCAAATAAAGGAAGGTGGCTATATAATTCTTATCTAATCTTGTGTCATCTTATCAAACAAACAGGACCGCAAGCAATCCATTAAATTCTTTATTGTTGGTTGCTTATTCATTGGGTTGACGAATAAAAAATTCGAGTTGTTATTTCTTCTTCTTCTTCTTTTTCTTCTTTTTCTTCTACATTCAGACAAAAGCAGCAGAACCGATTAATAAATTAGAGACGAAAGCCAACGAGCCAAATCACTCTCTTTCTATTTTCTTTAGTTCCCTTTTTTCTGTGTTGTTTGTCGATCTGTTTATCCGTACTGTCTGTCTCTCTTTCTTTTCTTTTTCTATTTGTTTCTTTCACTTTTTTTCGTTTTTTCTTTCTTTCTTTCTTTCATCCTCCCTTTCTTTCTTTCTTTCCTTCTTTCTTTATTTCTCTCTCTCTCTTCTCCCCTGCTCCTGCTCCTCCTCCTTTGCCCTCAATCATCGATCTATCTAAACGTCGTTTAAGCCTTGATGAACTTTAAATATAGTAGTCTTCAAGAAATCTTCCATTTGATTAAACCCGTCAACAGATACTACAAGTCGCTAAATTGATTATCAAAGCTATTAAAACAAAAGTCTCATGTTATAAGATCATTTATTTATTGTTCTATTAAAATATTGATATAAATAAATAAGTCTACTTTTTGTTTTTCGCCCATAAACTTGGCTCTATTTTATATTGATATAATTCAAATGTATATACAGTATATACTGTATATATGCGCACAGTATGTATGCTTATTATTTACATACACTCTATATGGAATGTATAACTGACTACAGAGGCAAGACCATTTTAATCAAGAGTTCAAGTGGCGATAGATGAAGAGCTAATATTGTAAACGTTTCGCTTTACATCTAATAGACTAGACTATCTTACTGGCGGATCGTAAATGAGAGCTGGCCGAGAAGGGTAAGATATAGACGTTAGCTAACGGATAGAAGGGAATATATATATATATATATATAAATAGAGAGAGAGAGAGAGAGAGAGAAAGAGAAAAAGAAAAAGAACGGGGAGAGAGAGAGAGAGTGAAGGACGGAAGGAAGGGAAAATAAAAAGAAAAAGAATAAATCAAATTATACCCTTACTTATAAAAATCATAAACGTTAAAAAGGGAAAAAGACATCAACAACAAATGAGATAAATAAAAAGAAAAAGATAGATAGAAAGAAAGAAAAAAAGATAAATAAACAGATAGACAGAACGAGAAAAAGACAAAAAATGGATAAAGAAACGATGCAAAACGGTTACGGAATTTAGGTAAAAAGAAACATAAATAACGATTGTTTGATAATAGATAATACTAGTAGAATAAAAATTTTGACATTAGTTTTTATACAGTAGTTGCTAATATAGGGCTAATTCGTTGAGAAATTATCTTATCATTTACCGATTTTTATCACTATAACAAGAAAAATAAAGCAAAAAAACGAAAGACAAGGATCATATCTTGATTGCAATCTTTTCTTTTTGACATTTTTCCGCCGTCGCGTAATACGAAAGAGAGTAGCTTATAGCCTATCAAAATTGAGCGTCGCTTTGGCGCTAGCAGCCTGCATTCGACGCCCAACCATCGTAACGCGACCGTCGAAAAACTCCTTATCTTTTTTATATCATTTTCGCCTCTTTATACAGTCATAAAGATAAGGTTTATTCATTTACAGCATTCAATTTTCATTTTAATGCCAGTTATGAATGCGACAATATCTACGGAAACGGAAGTTGGGTTGTTGAAGCAAATTTCACTTGGTATTTTCTTAGGATTGATCGTCCTTTTGACGATTATTGGTAATTTATTGGTTATTGGAGCCGTTTTAATCGATTACTCTCTCAGGACTTGTACGAATTATTTTATATTATCCTTGGCCATAGCCGATTTGCTTTTGGGCATTTTAGGCAAGTTTTTTTCTCTTTTTTTTTTTTTTTTCTCATCCCATTTTTTTTATTATATTTCATTATTTATCACATCGTTCTCTCTCCCTTCCTCTCTCTCTCTCTCTCTCTCTCTCTCTCACTCTCACTCTTCTATTTGTCTCGTTTTTTTTTCTTTTTACCCCTACTACCTCTTCTTTTTTTTTCAATTGTTTGTTCGATATCGAGTCTATCCTTTTTAACCTTTGTTTTCTCCATATTATTACCTAGATGTCTGTTCGTATAGTCTTAATAAAGTTTCTAGTAAATGTCCACCCCTCTTCGTTCTATTCTTTCCTTCTTTCGTTTTTTTTCACCCTTATTTCGCTCACTCTCTGCATTCCTACTTACTTACTTACTCATTCACTTTCTCTCTCTTCTCTCTCTCTCTCTCTCTCTCTCTCTAACGATTTTCGTTGGATGAGAAATTTCTTGAGAATAAATAATAAATGTGTTTATTCTGCAACAGTCGTGTACAGCTCCAACAGCAGTGTACACAACTGAAATTTTTACAGTTATTTATCATTTTTCAAACAGTCTTTCCTTTTAAAACCAAAATCTACAATTTCAAGTTGAAAGTGAACATTTTTATCTCTTCTCCTACTCCTCCTCATCCTTCTCCTTCTCTTTCACGTCTTTCTCTTCCTCTTCTCCTTTTCTGCCAACATAACCATCAACACACCGCCGTCACCGCCGCCGCCACAGCAGCCGCTAAAAACGGTCAAAACTACACCCCCTCTTTCCTGGACGCCCACTTCGACAAACATCCGAAAAATGTCGAAAAGGATAAGTGCGCGAAGGAAAGGAGCATAAAGAAAAGGAAAAAAGGAAACCGCCCACCTCCTCTTATTTCTTAGTAGCCTCTTTAGTTGGTATTCCATTGCGGTGCGATAAATTATATAACGCTAATTAGGTTTCCCGCAATAAGAAATCGGTGAAAAGAAAGAAATTTTTTTCGTGCGCTTGCCAAAAAATCTGCAAAGTCTATATACTTGTATATATACGTATATATATATATATATATATATAGTGTATGAAATCAACCAGCCAGCCAGCCAGTCAGTCAGTCGGTGTATTTAACACATGCGTAGAGGATAAAAGTTGAAAAACGAAAGGCTAGGAAAGAGCGAGACGATTAAGAGCCTCTGATCGAGCTTCAATTTCAATCCAGACGTTTATGTTTATAGGCCTAAAAGCGGATATTCATAAAAAATTTACTTAGGCTAATTTTTTTTTTTGCTAGTCAATAAATATCTCATGAAATCATCGACAAAGTCGTTTGGTTAACTCGAATTTTCCTCTTCTTATTCTCTTCTTCTTTCCTTTTCTTCATATAAGACTTTTCATTTCTCCTATTTCACTCTGATATTCTATTCCTTCATCTTCTTTTCGTCTTTCTTCCTCTCTGCCTCTCCCTCCTTCCCTCCCTTTATCAATCTATCTGTCTCTCCTATTTAGTTGATATAAAAAAAAACTCTGCCTCTTTTAAGGAAAAAGAGAGAGGGGAGAGAGTTTAATAGAAGCAAACTCTTTAGAAAAATGAAAAGATAAGAGAGAATTTAAGAGTAGGGCATTATCGGGATGTTTCTTGTAGGAATGCGGATAAGAGGGTGGTAGTGAATAGGTAGGATGACTGAATGGACCGATAGGTGGATGGGTAGTTGGTTAAGAGGAGAACGAGAGAAGAGAAGAATGGTATATTTAGCGCATATATTGGACTGGATAAAATTTTATAAAAGGAAAAAAGGAGATAGAGAGAAATGGGAATGGTTTTATTTTTTATCATTGTCCAAAAAGATTATCAATATTGTCGTAGAGAGAAAGAGAGGCGGAAAGAAAAATAGAGAGGGAGTGGGAGAGAGAGAGAGAGAGATTACTATTGCTAATTGAATTAAAAGTGATTAAAAATTAAGTTACTCTTTTTCTGTTTTTTTTTTACAGTTTTGCCATTCAGTCTATTAAACGAGGTGCTTGGAAAATGGATAATAGGCCAGGAAATGTGCGTTATTTGGTGTGTGGTCGACGTTTTATGTTGTACAGCATCAATCCTAAATTTACTAATAATCTCATTGGATCGTTGGTTAGCAATTTCTTACCCCATGAGATATCATTCGTTCGCCACTCGAAAACGTGCAATAATTGCCATTATATTAGTATGGTTCCTGTCAGTCTTGATTTGTTTACCGCCAGTTTTTGGTTGGCGAAAGGAACCTACTGATGAAAACAAATGTGAGTTAACAGATGAAATTGGATATGTGATTTATTCTGCATTAGGATCATTTTGGATTCCGTCTATTATTCTAATAATTGTTTATTCAAGAATTTACGTTGTCGCCGCAAGACAAACTAAACAAATCGCAAAACAGCAAGCCCAGCTTGGTGAAATTAAAGGTCATCGATCAATCGCCAATAAATTATAGGAGGAAAAAAAGAATCATAAAAATCACAGAGTATCCTACAGATAGAGAGAGAGAGATCAGAATCGTACAGAATATACATATATATATATATTTATATATATTTATATTTATATATATATATGTATATTTATGTTTGTACTTTTATACACATTAGTAAAAGAATAGCAAACAAGAATAGTAGTGTTTATAGGAGGGGAAAAATCCTTAGAAAGAGAAAAAGATAAACTTTTCCTAATTGATAAATTCATAGCGTACGTTTTTATTTCTTCCATTTACCCAGCAGCTGCCCGTAATGGAAAACTCTTTACTTTTTTTCTTCCTTCTTTCCTTTAACCCCTATATCTTCCTCATTCCCTACTCATACGTTCACTTTCTGTTTCTATATATATATAAAGATATATATATATATATAGTTGTCTCTCTCTATTCCTTCGTTCTCAATTTTCTCTAGCTATCTACAAATCTATCTATCCATTCATTCATCAATTCATCCATCTCACAATCTATCCGTCTATCTAATATCTATCCATATTTTTTCCTCCAAATTTTCTTCTATTTTTAAATACAGCCATGTATAGGACTACATATACAGTATATATTGCAGTATAGAACTATAAGATATACGTTGGTGAGTGTGAATATATATATATTTGTTTGTTTTGTCTTTTGTGCTATTGCTTGCGTTTGCGTGACTCTGCTTCTTCTATTTTTCTCTTAACAAGTTCCGTCCCCGTGCTTTCTTTATCTTTCCATGTGGCCATATATTTTACTCACTTACTTGGTTACTTTCTATCTCTATTTTCCCTCATTTCTCTCTCTCTCTCTCTCCTTCTCTCGCACACAATCTCTATCACTCTTCCTCGTGTATTCACTTACCCTGTCGCTATTGGTCAATAGTCAACGCTCTGCATTTGTTCAAGCTTATAGGAAAAATACTCAAAAGGAATAATAAGAGTAGAAGAAACAAAGGCTTTTGTTTTTTTACCTTTCGAAAAAATGAAAATGATAATAATTAAAATAGTTTGGGGTGGGGAATAATTCTTTCATTTACGGATAGGCCTATACTATTATTTAAAAATCAATCTGTACAAAGAATAGAGAGAAAAACAGAGAACGCCAGTGACTGACTGACTGGCTGAATGAATGATTGAATGAATGAATAAATGGACGAGTAAGAAAGTACGCGAGTGAACGAACGAGAGAGCGAGCTAGTAATAGAAAGAAGCAGAGAGGGAAATTCCGAAGGTCTATTAGGCCAATTTAAGGGAAAAATTGCCATAATAGGTGAATACATATTTTTTTTGATTAATGACCTTTAAAGAAGAAGAGACTCCCAGTGTTTCTTCCAGTCCAGCCATTAAGGTCAAGGACGCGCTACCCTTGAGAAAATTGAAGAAATTTGCTAAGGAGAAGCGGGCTGCAAAAACTTTGGCGGTGGTTGTTGGGACTTTTCTAGTGTGTTGGACGCCTTTTTTTACGGTTTACATACTGCACAATTTTGTTAGCGTACCGAAAACTCTATTCAAAATTGTATTCTGGTTGGGATACTGCAATTCGGCACTCAACCCGATGATTTATCCATTCTTTAGCAGAGACTTTAGAACAGCAATGAAAAAAATGCTAAGTAAAATATTCTGTCGTTGGGAGAAGAGTATCGACAATTATAGGAGGTCATCAGGTGCAACAACGACGAGACTTAAAGATGCCTCGAGAACAACGACAATGGAATTTTACGCCGACGAAACAAGTAGAGTGGAACTCCGCCAAAAGAAAGAATCGAGAAGTTTATTGGATAAGAAATAATTTGAAATATTTTAGAGACGTTTCTAATATTCTGTTTATTTGGCGACAATAACAAAGAATCAACATGACGTCCTGGAAATGGAGAGATTAACTTGTAAAGCTCAGTTGTCAGAATAGGATAATCTCGGCGTTCTGTATTTTTGGTTCATTAAACCTGCAATCAAACATTTTTTTTCCTTCGTTAATAGTTTCATCAATTTTATTAGGATTTGAACTATTTTCGTACAAAAAACCAAAGCAAAGATAAGTTGAAAATCTCTTTTTTTAACTAAGGCAAATTCAACAGTGCAATATTGAATACAAAAAGTATAAATACATACTTATGTACACTATACTGTATATTCAGTTTATATATTAAGATATATATATATATATATATATATATATATGTATATATATATATATACATATATATCTATATATAGATATTTATTTATATATTTATTTAATAAAATAATTAAAATATCGAATGGAAGGCGTTGAATTGTAAATGGCAAGAAATAAAACTCTCTCATTCTCCTCCTCCTCCTCCTCCTCCTCCTCTATTATGGACACAACTTAAATAGCTATATATACAATATTTATTTATATAATTCATTAACTATATAGATATATGTTCATTAACTATTTAAAAAGCCTACATTAGCTATTTATCTATCATATTACAGTTTGATAAACTACCAACAACATTAGACGATATTCTTATACGACTACAAATGGATAAAAAAAATCCTATTGAGTATGTAGTTTGGCGATTACGAACATATTACGGAATATATTATACTCTCTTCTCCCTATCTATCCACCCCATCTCTTTCATTCACTCGCTCACTCACCCACCCACCAACCCACACACTCAGTCACTCACTCACTCACTCACTCGCTCTTCGTCCCCTGCCCTATCTCGCCGACTGCCATCCACGTAAACCCATACAACCACCCAGGCAGCCGGAGACTGCTTGACGCAGTCTCTCTCTCTCTCTCTCTCTCTCTCTCTCTCTATCATTCCCTCTTCTCTTGTTTAATCTGTAAACCACATTAAACCTATTTGTAAAAAGAGCCGAGAAAATTGGATAAATTTCTTGTTTATTTAATTAATTGCTAAGATTAGAGAAATGGTTTATTTTAAGAGTAAAAGAAAGAGAGAAAGAGAGAAAGAGAGCAGGAAAAGATCTAGAGGGAAAAATTAAAACAAAACAACTTTGCATTATCGCTAATACCATTAATTTACTTTTCCTCTTCTCTTCTATTCCCTTCCTGTACCGTTTCTTTGGCTTCTTTTAATTAGGCAGTGATAAAAATAATGTTATCGAAACAAAATACAGCGATAATTAAGTAAGGAGTCTAGTTTGCTAAACGCCCCATTCGAGTTGTTGACAGTAATCAAAGTACAGCCATTAGACTCGTGCACGAGAGAAAAGGCGCTCGAGTAGAGGCTAAAAGAGATGCCCAATCGGTCAAACACGGTTGAGAGGCATTGCGATTTAAGCAGTTAATTTAGACGGTTAACCTAACTGACAGTCTGTAAGCTAGCGAATTGACTGGATGACAAAAAGTAATTGGTCAATCTTTAATTAATGATTTAAATGATGGTGTCTAGCCAATAATTTACAATCAAAATATACAAGTTGATTATCCGGTGAAAGCCTACAAAGGAAAAACTAGTTTGACTTTCTATTTCCAGATCAAGAAACTCATTGACCTGAATCGTGACTCGTCTAATAATCGAATCCTAGCATCGATTTGATATAGAAAGTGTTGATCCAAAGGAAATTGACCTGTGTTTGTTGAGCTTTTTTATTTCGAGCTATTCATAGGATTTTGTAAAGCTATACTTGCTTTACCTAAAAAACTTTCAGTCAATAATTTTTCATATTACACATTTTAGAGAAAAAAGATGAAATGCTTTCCAATTTCTTGCCCTTGCTCGAAATCTCCGTCTCTCAATATGTGTCTGTCTTTATCTCTCTCTCTCTCTCGCTTACTTGCTTACTTACTCATTCATTCATTCATTCATTCTCGCTCCCTCCCTCGTTCCCTCCCCCGCTCCCTCTCTCCCTCCCTCTCCTCCCTTAAACAATTCCCCCATGCCTTACGTCTATGTGATTCCTTTAGTTTCGACCAGTCGAACAGACACCCACATAAACATTACTTTTTTTTTATTTTTTTCCATATACAAGGAAATCCTTTTTGCAACAAATCGCGTCTAATTCAGCCTCTGATCGAGAGACGCTTCACTGTCTCTTCATCTCTTCATACCAAAAGTTATGTCTAGCGATTGTTAACATTTCTTCGCAATAATCAAATACAAGAAGCTCCAAGCTTAAATTAGAAGCGTCTAAATTTCTCTGGAGGATGAGTCTTTTTTACTGCTCCAAGATTCTCTTAGATATTCTACAATAAAGGAAAGTCTTGCAGCAAATACTGCCTGCAAATCCATCGAGAATATGATATGCAGATACTTTATTATAGGCCTAAATACAACTAGAAATAAACTAATAGTACTTTTTTTTTTTATCATTCCTCTATATTTTAAAACCAATTTCTATTTTTATTTTTCCTTAATCCTTTACTCTATGTGTGTGTGTGTGTGTGTCTTTATCCCTATCCAGTATATATATACACAATACACATTTATATGTCCCTTTCTTTATAACCCCCCATCCCCGTTCTCCCACTCTCTGTCTCCCTTCCTTTTCCATTTTTCTTTCCCTTTTTTCCTTTTACATCAGTTTATTAGCTAAAATCCATCCAATGGAGTGTATACTTAGTCGTCTACCTCACCTATATATATGTTGCCTAAATAGACAGATAAACGAACTTCACATAGAGCATTAGATGTATCTATTGACGCCCATTGGTACATTTATCTATATATATATATATATATTCATATTTATTTATTCTTATGCTATTTTCAACCATTTCACCTAAATCGAATGTTGAAGACCTTTTAATTTTGCTTATTTGTGTTTATTTTGTTTTTTTTAAGAATAAAAATTCTCCTCTTTTCAAGTCTGCTCACGTTTTTCTTTTGCAAACGCCAAACTTTCCCACAAATCAACTCCCTAGATTCAATAAACAGACGTTGGGTGCGTGATGAACGTTGACCTTTTTTATTCTTCGATCTCGCTTTTCTTCCAATTTATTACGCTCTAAAAGTGTTTACAATCGACGCGTGAATGACGCCGATGAAAACATCCTTTGCATTACTATTTATCTATCTAGCCATCCATCCATCCATCGCAGCCCCTTCACTTCCCGCCACCCACAACCAAATATAGAAGGGTGTAAAATAGAATGGGCGTTACTAACTATGAGCTGCCTAATATTGCATTTCAACAGGCAGAACTTATATAGGTTATACGCAATCTGCAAGAGAATTTCCCAGCCGACATGCCCGCTCATTGCCAAACCCGACAGTAGTAGTATTTTTTTCCTCACTCGTATTATCTCGCTCACTCTTTTCAGCAACTGTAGAAGAAATTCCAACATAAATTTGCCAATAAATGCTCGGCTCTTTTCTGCTGAAAATTACTCAAAATCAGAGTGTCATGCGCTGGAAAGCTGCTACGGAATATTTGTTATAATAAGTCGAATTGAGCATGACTATTCCTAATTGCTCACTGTCACAAGCGCTTTACTAAATCAATCTAAACAACTAGAAAAAAAAAAGTACCAGTAACTTTTTGCCCTAAATAGAAAAAGAGTAAAGGAATACGACAAATTGTAAGATAACAAGAGAGAAAGAAAAGAAGAAAATAACTTTTGACAATTACACAATTATACTCTCTCTTCTTTCCCCCTCGTCACACGCCCGAAACGTCGCCTCTGCTGAACTAATTTTCCAACAAAACTAATAAGACACCTGTTTCAACAATTTCAATATATTTTCCAATAGATAACAAATATTCTACTTTGTTTTTTTCTTTTAATCCACTAACTTTTAACTCTTTTTCACCTCTGTTTTATCTATTATCGCCCTTTATTCAGTTTAGATATTCTTACGAATAATGTTTTAAAAGGCAGCCCAAAAATTTACCAGGGCAGCCAAGTTTAAAAAAAGAGAGTTGAAAGGTATCTTTAGGCAGAATGGAGCACTCTCTCCCTCGTTCTCTTTCTCTTACTTTTTCTTTCTTTCTTTCTTTCTTCCTCTCTCTCTCTCTCTCTCTCTCTCGCTCTCTCTTTCTCACTTTGTCTATCTATCTACCTATCTATCTCCCTTTTCCCTACTCCCTTCCTCTCCCTCTTCTCCCCTCCATATCTATCTGTCTGTCTTTCTTTGACAAAACTCTTTATTCGGCGCTGTCTAAATCAACAGCCCCGTAGCTGCGTATTACAGAAACATTACATAAATCCTTAATTCATTTCTTTTAGGCAAAGAATAACTCATTCGATTTTCATCTCTCTGCCTCTTTTTTATCTTTCGACAAAAATTCGTCGCCAACTTGTTTCCAGATGTCGCTATTAACCCTTGTAAATTTTTTTTATCACCTAGCAAGCCTACTTTCCTTTCAGTCACGTGATTGAATCAATACTGCATAAACACGCAAAAACATATTTGTTTTGAGAATTTACCGGCTGATTCGGAATGTTTTGGTTTTTAACGACACTTTTGCTATTACCAACGATTATTTTGCCATTGTTCTATTGGTAAGTTCAAGTATCGATGATGCATCTTTATATATTTTACGAGCCATAAATTATTGGTAAGCGTTTAATGGGCGAGAAGAACAATAACAATAACAAGAGAGAAAGAGAATGAGTTCGAGGCAGGGAGAGAGAGAGAGAGAGAGAGAGAGAGAGAGAGAGAGAGAAAGATTATTTATACTGGCAACTTTTCACACGGCTAGTTTGCTTCCTTCCTTCCTTCCCCTCCCTAGTTCCTTCATCAACAGTTTAAAATCAATTGATTTACCAACAACACATTCATTTCTCTCTTTTATCTTCTACTCACTCCTCCTCTCCATTACCAAATTCTATTCTTTTGATCATTGTATTGTGCTATTCTCTGCAAGCTTTCAGCCTCTCTTTCGCAGCCCGCTGTAGATCGATTATACCTCTATTTAGCCTATACTTAAACTAGATCACTAAAAATATTGAATAGGTCACGTAAGAAGAAACTGGAATTTTTTGCGAATTTGGGTATCCCATCACCAGCTGCTAATTGGCTACTTGGTAATCTAATCGATTTTAAAGACACGGTAATTGTTTACTATTGCGATTGCTTGTTCTACTCAATTAATTAACTAATAAATTTGATTAACAACCGTGATTTATCCTAATAGAATGTTCACTTGAAATTGATGGAATGGGACAAAAAGCTGGGGAAGATTTTCGGGTATGAAAGCAAAATATCTAGTTACCTTACCTAACTAATTCATTCAATTTTAATAGTATTTACGAAGCAAGCGTTCCAGTATTAGTAACGTCAGACCTGGATTTATTACAAGAAGTATTTGTCAATCAATTTCACGCGTTTCATGGAAGAAAGGTAAATTAATATTCTCTTCATCTCCCTTTTACTCTTATTTTGCTTTCTACCGTTTATCCAATAAGCGTTTCCCCGTCCAACCGGATGTAAACGACTCGAAACGGTGCAGTATCTTTATAACAGTTGGCAACAGATGGAAAAGATTGCGAAATATCATTTCACCTACGTTTTCAACCGCCAAATTGAAAAAGGTATTTATTCTCCGAACTAATTAGTATGCTTAAAGATTTCTAAAAGGCCTATTTTACGATATTACTCCCTTTCGTTTCTACACCAATCAGATGTGGCCGGCATTGAAAGGCTGTACTAGTTTGTTTATGTCGAATGTCGAAAGAAACGTAAAGCGAAATAATAATGGCAAGGACACTAAAGAAGACACTATTAGGAATACGCCTATTTTTAAAGATGGTTGCGAAGTGGAAGTCTACAGGTCTTTCTCTATCTTTAGAGAAAAATCCGTTGCTAACGTTACAATTATTCCATTGAATTTTCATTTCAGTTTATTACAAAAGTTCACTATAGATACGTTCTTTAAATTGGCTATGAGCGCCGATGTTGGAGCTCAGGGCGATAAGGAACTTCCCGTTCTAGAGGCATGTAGAGATACGTTCCGTCGAACTTCGGCCAAGCACATGTCCTTTCTCCCAAAACTAGCCCGTTAGTTCAATATATTTACTACAATTATAATTCACTTACAATTAGTAAACAATTTGCAGTCGTCGTTCAATCAATCCATTAATTAATTAATTAATTAATTAATCGCGTCTAATCAATCAAATAATTAGTTAATTTTAATTAATTACGTTCATCAAAAAGAAAATTAATTAATATTTTATTATTTCGTTTATTGAGCAGTTATAGTTCCGGAGGTTAAAGGAATATGCCGATTCATATTTCATAATTCAAAGAGGCCGAACGAAGATCTAATGAAAGCGTTCAATTCGAATATTGTTGAACAGAGACGTAAATTGATTGCGAAGGGTGAAAGTAATCATTTTACGGACATGGTACAGTTGCTTATTGACGCGGAACAACCTTTAAATGATAAAGATTTACTGCTTGAAGATGAGAAAAAAGGATTTGGTAAAAGTTCAAAGGTTTTATCTTCAATGGTAAATGCTTTCTTTTTAATTGTATCCCCTCTCTCTTTTATTCTTTCTATTGATGACCCCATTCATTCAATCATTTCTACATTCATTCCTTCATCTATCCCTCCATCCATCCATCCATCCATCCATCCATCCATCCATCCATTTATTCACTCATTCATTCATTCATTCATTCATTCATTCATTCATCCATCCATTCATTCATTCATATACAGCATTTATAAACATACATATACATATATATATATATATATATTCTTTCACTTATCCTTCCATTTCCCGCTCTTCAGGAAGTGGTTAATCAACTCGTGCTATTTCTGCTCGCTGGCTACGAGACTAGTAGCACAACAATGGCTTATGCCTTCTACTTACTCGCCTTAAATCCAAAAGTTCAAGCAAAATTACAAGAAGAAGTCGATAAACTGGACGAAGAAGAGGTGATTATTTTACTTTTCAACCATTAATTTATTCCATCCTCTGTTCTTTAACAATATTTTAGGCTAACTTTGACACTGTTCAAGAAATTCAATATTTAGATTGGGTTATAAAAGAAACACTTCGCCTTTATCCCATAGCTTCAATGTAAGTAGTCCTATGTTTTATTTTCAAAAAACTGCAACAACAACAACAACATTAAAACTAACTAATATACTGTACTAGATTACTTTTTTTTGTCATTTACTCTCCTTTAACCCAACAACAATTGACAGGGTAACTGCCAGAAGGGCAATGAAAGATGTTGAAATTAATAATGTCAAGATACCGGAGGGAACGTCTGTTTTGGCCAATGTATGGTCAATACATTACAATCCGGATATTTGGGGACCAACCGACCCAAAGGAATTTTATCCCAATAGGTTTGTCATTCAATTTTTCTATCAGTATAATTTGCTATTTAGAATTTCATTGTCGTTTTTTTGGTCTTCAAATAGGTTCAATGGTAAAGAATTACATCCAATGGCCTGGCTGCCGTTCGGAGCTGGACCCCGAATATGCATCGGAATGAAATTTGCCATGATGGAAATGAAATTCTTACTCTTTCAATTCTTCAGAGCCTATACTATTTCAACAGTTTAGTCTTATCGTTTACCTTTTAAAATAAGCGTCGCATAAACGAATAACCGCAATAACCATCTTTCAATACAGACTGAAAATACTGAAAATCCACTTACTCTATCAGATGGCGCTACAACAACTCCAACAAACGGCGTTCACCTGAAGATATCTGTTCGCCACTAGAAGTAGAAATATATAAAGAAATGTCGTTGAGTTGAACAGAAGTTATTGAACCGACTGCACCTTTAACAATTGAATACGTAATATATACGTAATCATTGTAATTCATGTTTTCTTTCAATTAAACTATAATGAATAGAGAAATTAGGTTGAGGGTTAACACCCCTTCACCCCTTTCAATACTCTATACTGTATATAGCCACCGACCAATTAGTGCTTTAAATGCTCTCCTCCTTTAGAATTTAATAAAGAGAATATACAACATATTCTATTATATTTATCCTATTTATTAAACGATACTCGTTCTCTTTTGGCAAAGGAAAACCGATAGGATTAAGCTAAATTCAATCAATTTACTTCAGTAGTCTTGTTGAAAAACTATCACGAATGAATTGTTAATGATATAGTATCACTTATAAATTACTTATACGTAGCTAATAAGTAGAAGGAACCTTCTACCGCCCTGCAATATTCGCATAGCTTTGCGAACGATTTTATTCGTCCAATTCGCCAGTCCATTAGCTATTAAGGAACGGATACAAATGCACGTTCTCCCCCTCCCATATACAGTATCTAAGCGAACGGCTTCAATCTAAATAAAAGGGCTAAATCTCTTTCAACAGTATAGATCCATTGGCGGGGAAACTGACTAAATGAAATTCTTTTCAACCGATGAACTATATTTGACGGATATATTTTACTTTTTCAAAGGAAATAAATTTCAACACCGAAACAAATTATTCTATTGAATTATCTCATCATTTTCCAGATCGGTTCATTCCATTTTGTTCGCTTAAACCTATTGACTGAACGTAACTACAGTCATTCGGCAATGGAGTAATTTTGCTCTACACTTGGAAATTATTACGTCGAAGAGGAGGAAGAGGAGGACGACAGTTGCGAACTATTTATTAATGATAAATCGAAAAGAAAGAGACCAATAGGAAAACTCTATCGTATTTTTAATCTTTCGTAAATAATGTTTAAGTTTTTAGAATCATCACACAACGCTTTCATCAATAATGTTTGTTTGTCTGTTCGATAGACGATGTTTACCCAAAACTGGTCTAAAAGGAAATTAGTCACAAGATAAAAATATCTTCAAGTTTAGGTAAAAGTTTGTAATAAATGAAACGCGTAGTGTTGAGTCTTTTTTTTACAAGGCAACAGCAAATGCTGCAAACTGTACAGCTTTTCCTTCCACTCTATTTCTACTCACAGCAAAAAGTGGCTCAATGTTTAAAAGAAAATGATTCAATGAAGCATTTATTGACAAAAGTTCATTTGCTAGAAAGAAACAAAGTTACGGGGTTAGATGATAGATAATACGTTTATACTGTATATATTGAACAAGTTTTACTCATTTTGGATTTAGAGATTCGCCTTTTTCGTATTTTCTCCCCATCTTCCGTTCGTAACGATCCTAAATTCGCCCTCCATATAAACACCCCTCATCCAATCGATAATCTCAAGTCTTAGTTCGCCAAGATCATCCTTTTTTAAAACAAGCCAACATCGACCTATATCCGATTGTTCTATACGGGGAAGGCGTTAGGTCCAATAATTAAATAGTTACCAATTGAGAAGAGTTGTTGGTGATTGTTATAGTAATGGTTCCAATTAAACTTCTATTGATTAAAAAATACTTGAGTAGAGATGAGAAGAAAAATGGCGATTATCGTTGTTCCTAGTTCGTCAGCGCACATCGATAAAGAAGCAATGATTTCATCATTAAACGATTGACAATTGATTTTCTTTCTGTGGACATTTAAGATAGAGATTTAAAGAGAAGAAGAGAATCAAGAATTTAGTTTTCAATAGGCAGACTGGGCAGTTGTAAGTAAACTCTATTAGAAATTCACAAAAAACTATCTTCACCGTTCCTATAATTCGTTTAGACCAGAAGCTCAACTGCAATGTATCATCGTCTCGGAACTGAAAAGAGTTTATTTACTTTTACGCTTCTTATTCTAAGAGTCTGTTACGGGTTTATTGAAGAAAAGGAGAACATTGCAAGGAGTCTTAATGCTTATCAATCGTATACTATGTCCGATGAATTAACGGCTGTAAATGCCATCAATTCTTTGGATGACTACAAGAAAACTTCAGCAGATGTTGCTCTTAGCGGTTGGTGGGCTACAGACTTGAATGGTTTCTATCAAATAACTGAAATATGCTTTTGGAATAAAGAAGATGAAAGTATAAATATACTGTATATACTAATATATTCGTTTCCTTTTCCTTTTCCTTTTCCCTTACAGTTCATTTTGCAAACTTTAAGGTCTATGCTGAGACTAATCTGCTGGACGAGGATAGCTTCTGCTTTGAACAATTGACTGCAATACATCAAAAATTTGTTGGGGAGAGCACCAGCTACTATTGTAAAACGTGCAATTGCCAAGGATCGTTTGTTCGAATAGCAAAGAATCTGTCAAATCAGATGAGAATTACTGATGTCAAAATTAGAGGAACGCGCTTAAGGGATTCGGGTAATATTTTCCATCATTTTTCTTCATTTTTTGTCATTTCTGTGCTCTTCTTTAACCGTCGCAGATGAAACCCTTATCCAATTAACTCATTCCAGCATGTATTCAGGAGAAGATGTCCCAAATATTAATACAATCCTACTGGACGGTCTATTCTCCACGATTGTTCTTACTACAAAGCGAAAGAATGGAAAAAGTTTCCTAAGAGTTGATTTGAACAACCTAAACCGAGTGAAAATGGTCATTTTTGATACGGATAACAATCTAGGTACTAGTATTTTAGTTCCTTACTCCTTAGATGATCAAAAACAAACTACCTAGTCGCGATTGTATTTAGTTTGTTTACGATCATTTCATTCCCTCCCTATACCTATCCCTATCCCTCTCCCTCTCTCTTTTAGATAGTGATATTGTGAGTATGAAAATTTATGTCAAGTTCATACCGGATACTTTCGAATACGACTCAAATTATCTTCTCGGTGAAATTCAACAACCGTACGAATCGAATCATAAAACCCATGTTGTCAGACATCCGCAATATCTAACTGGAAGGTACGTTCTCTTTAGATCGTTCGCCGTTAATTCTATAAAAAACAACTATATAAGAATTGCCAACATTTTCATCTATCGCCATGCAACCGATGAAAGTAAGCGAACGAAAGAAAGCGAAAACAATTCCGAAAATACTCTTTCATTCGTGTCATCTTTTTCAGAAATTAACAATAAAGTTGTATATAAAAATGTTAAAGTTAAATCGATTCTCAAGTCGAACGTGAAACTGACGAATAATCTTTTTGATAATCAATTTACAAGCTCGTCGAATGGTGTTACCATTCAAAATGGTGAAATTTTAACATTGAAGATGGAACCAACAGTTGTCAATTGTTTTTGCGCCAAAGGTAGATTAAAAAAACAAACAAACAAACTAAAACATTGTTTGCATGTATCTTTTCAGTTTTCACATTTGGAATTGAAATCTCCAATGCATTTTCATTAAAATTGCATTTAAAATTTTTAAATACCCATCAAATACCTTCTCTAAACGCTAATTTCATTGCTGAACATACAATTTGTACTAGTTTTTCCGAGCGAATTCTTACGGCTGTCGAATTGATAAGTCAGGCTAGAGTTAGAATTGATTCTGTTGCATTAATCGTGCATACTTTTCGAGGAAATTCAAGTTTGTATTTAAAGACACATTCGCTCAAGAGCTGTGTACCATTTAAAGTGTTTCTCTGCTATTTTCATATTTTCAATGCTATCCAGTCGGTATAGAACACATTATCAGTCCTTGTAATCCAATGCGACACACCAGGATAACTATTCCATCGTCATTCTTGCAAGCATGTACTGGAATTGGATTCTACGCTGACGGAACCAATATAAGAACGCACACCGGTACTATAAAACTCGACGATGTGACTGTAATAGGAGAATGGAATAATAAGCATCAAACTTGCTTTCCGGCTGGAGGAGCCTACAGCGAAAAACTTTTCAATTACGTTTATTTCTTTATGTGTAGAACCAAATTGATCAGTGCCGATATTTTAATCTTCAACGCTAACATTTCTATAACGGCTGTCTTCAGAATTGAATAACAAAACAGACAAACTAACTGTTTAGCACAGATATTGAAATTCAATATCTTCCTTGTAATAATTCTCTTGTCAATTGATCTTTATGCTTGATTGATTGATCATTTTGCCTAGTTTATTATTTCTTTGCAAAAAAAATAACATTAATTAATCGAAAAAAAAAGAAGAAAGAAAACTGGTAGAGAATATTTACATTCATTGATACGAAAAATACAAAAAAGCTAATTTCAGTTGAAAGCTGATTAATCGTCCGAATAAAAATGGCGTTATCTTTCCAACTGAAAATTTTCCCCTGATTGGAGAATAGGGGGATAGGAGTGATTTGTTAAAGAAATGAGTGTGTATTCTCGTTCAAAAACATCGAAAGCCAGTGGGTAACTTGTCGTTCTTCTTCTTCTTCTTCGCTTATATGTCGACGTTTACGCCAAGTGAAACGCTCTGCAATACGCGGCAACTAGACAACAGATTACGTAGCCAGTTAGTTTGAGCTTCGGTGAAGTAACATTCCAAAACGCAAAGCGAAAGAAGAGAATTAGAAGACGAGACTAGTCCGTCGCATATTTTCTCAAATCCATCTCTCATATTGTAATTATGACTTAAATAAACATCTTCCAAACAGCAACATTCCGTTAGAAAGTCGGCCAAGCAAACGCTATTCTCCTTAGTCAGACGACAATCGGAAAGGTTTAATTTCAATAGAGATTTCGAAGAGGATTTTAAACCATCAAACACTTTACTATAACATTTTCCCAGTGAATAATTATAACTCGAATCAGCTTTTTTCAACCCTTTACACTCTTTCAAAAATTCACCAACACTGTTGAAATGCTCCTCAACTTTTAAACTATTCTTAAAGCTAAATTTAACAAGCGAATTGGCCAATGAAGTCTGTCGGCTCAGTACTTTCCTAAAACCACTTCCGCTGCACATAAAATTATCAATATGCAGTATTCGTAATGAATTACATTCACTCAACAGGTTGCCTAGACAACAACACTGTTCATCGGTTAGTGAGCATTTGTTAAGTTTCAGTTTGAAAAGAGAATTGGACGATGATTTCAATCCGAGGCATACTTTAACAAATCCATTACGAAATTTCTTACAATTTCCTAAATTAACACTTTCCAAGCGAGTGCATTCTTCTAAAAATTCGCCCAACCAATAACTTTCATCCTCCGTAAAGAGATTATAGCGAAAGTCTATTTTCAATAGAGAATTCGAAGACGACTTTAATCCGTTGCAGATGTTCTTGAATCCGTGACATTTATTATTCCATATAATCGTTTTTAACGAATGGCATTCTTTCAAGAAATCTCCCATCCAAACGCTTTGTTCTTCGGTGAATGCACAATTCTCCACGTGGATTGTTGATAGAGTGTTTGATGAAGATGTTAATCCGTTACAAATACTACTTAATCCATCATCGCAATTGCATAGATAATCTATATTGATATCTTCCAGACGAGTGCACTTTTCCAGTAAATCGCCCAACGATACGCTTTGTTCTTTATTCAAATTCACTAAATAGACAGCAATTGTCGACAGGGAATTACAAGATGACTTTAACGCATCGCATATCGTAATAAATCCACTCTCACTGTTTGTTATATATACCAAATTAACGTTCTTTAACGAGTGGCATGCCTCCAGGAAATTCGCCAACCAAATGCTCTGCTCCTCCGTCAATTGACAACCGTACAAGTTGAGATTGAATAGAGAATTCGACGACGATTTTAATCCTTTACATATTTTCTCAAATCCACTTCCGGTGTTTGAATTGTAACATAGACTAATGTCTTGTATATTATTGCATTGTTGAAGTAAATCGCCTAGCCAGAAGCTTTGTTCCTCGTCTAGATTACAGAATGGAAGATGAATGCTGTGCAGAGATTTCCATGAGCATTTCAATCCGGAGCATATTCTCTCAAATCCTCTCCAACACTTTGAATTCGAGCTCAAATCAATTTCCTGTAGTGAATTGCATTCTTCTAATAAATCGCCCAAGTAGACGCTCTCCCTTTCAGTCAATCCGCAATTGTGAAGGTTAACCTTTGATAGATATTTCGAAGATGATTTTAATCCGTCGCATATCTTCTGAAACGAATCTCCCCAACAATTTCCGCTAAAACTCAAATCAAACTCTTGTAAACTGGTACACTTTTCTAGAAACTCTCCTATTATAAAGCCTTCCTCCTCCGTCAAATCACACCTTGTTATTGAGATACTAGAAAGAGAATTCAAAGATGCCTTTGGCTCGGAGAGGTTTACTTTAAAGATAATACCAGCATTGGTGATTTTCTCAAACGTTAAACTCTTTAAATGGGGACAATCCAGCAGTTGTTCACCTAGAGAAAGATATTCGAAATCTTGTAGATTGCAATATTTCAAGTGTAGATGTTCAAGTGTATATAACGTTGGCAAGTTGAAAATGGAACTAAACGCGTACAGCGTCAAACTCTTAATTGGATGATTAGTTAGGAAAGCTAAATCTTTTGCTTTTCCGTATTTCGCTCCTTTTAAAGAGACTGAGCTTAACGATACAATGTCATTTGTGAAAAAATTCAATTCGTTCACCGTAAACGGTTCATCAAAACTATTGGCGAATTCGAATATTTGTGTACCGATTAGGCTGGGTATGATAATAGAGTTTTCTCTACAAATCCTACTTAGCAGGTGTAAATTGTCTGTAATAACTCTTGTCGACAAAATTCCCAATGTTGAAACAACAACCATTTTTTCCTGTCGCGTTTATCCTGAAAAATAATGAATACTTGAATTTTTATGTTTCCTTCTTAAATAGAAATTAAAGTTGCCATTAATCGAAAAAAAAATAACAACCAACGAAAGTAGCGATTTTATACTTTTTAAATTTTCATCTCTTAACTTTTCTTTTAAATTTCACTCTAGAAATTTTGATCTTCACTGCTTCAATACGAAACAATAGAGAATCTCAACAAATTATACATTAATTACTCGTTTATGCGTTGATCTGTTGAGTAAGCACGATTTGTTAATTTATTGGCAAAACACTCGCCATGTCACCTTTTGAGGTAAAAACCGGGTACTCGGTAAGGAGCCGGCAGGTTGCACAATTTAGCAAATAGAAAATTATTTATGAATCTCAAACTTGAATAACAAAAAACCACTTATAAAGAATTTTGAGTTTTATTCAAATTAACAAAAATATCCACTTTTTCGGGTCAGGTTGACACTTTTTTTATAATAAAGATTTTTAGCAAAAATTGAACAATTTTGTCAAAATGTGATTCTTTAAAGTTTGTTTAAATTAAAACAAAGATAGTTTTGGCTTCAAATAAAGTCGGACAATCAAAGAAAATAGAAAGAAAACTTTTTCAACTATGAAGTAAAGTGATCAGTAAGAGAGACAGGGAGATACATACACACACACACACACACACACACACACACACACATACATACATACATAGAGTAAATCAATCAGCTGTACTCTAACCTTGGACACTGCATCTCTTCAGTGGAAGACATTTTGACAAGACATTAGGATGTAAATAAAAGAAATGCATATCTCTGCCATCATTTTAAGCCTATCTTGTTTATTTAAGGGAAATTACAATCAGCTTATAAACTTTTGTTACTGCTAGCAAGGATTTATTTATTTTTTACAGCTTAAATCGTTATAATAGAGGAAAATAAATGCAATCTTATGATACGCTCTATTTCGTAATAATCACAAGATAACAACACTTTTTCGTGTGAAAAAAAAAGAAAAGGATTATTATACATCTTGAAGGAGAAAACATTAAAATTACCTATCCGTGACATGTTTTCCAATTGAAGGCGAAACATTAGAAACATAAAACTCCTTTCTGTTTGTCAAGATGTAGTTTGTCTGCTCTTTTTTGAAGAGAGTTGAAGAGAAATGCCAATTAAAACATTGAAATATCTGTCAATAAATTTCATTAGGAATTATTTATATTTAATGAGCGAAATATGCAAAAGAAATTGTTTATTTCTACCTCATTCTGTTGGTTTGGAAATTTTTGACTATGCTAATAAAGACAACCATCCATTCTCCATCTATGAATTGAAATTCTTCTCTTCCGACATTCTAAAGCTAACTGCCGCCGCATTAAAGCAAGAAAAGTTTAAGATGGTTAACAATTTGAGTTTTCTAAATAGTCATCCAATTCAATATCTATCGCTAACTGGATTTTCATCAATATTAAACTTACACTTTAATTATAATACAATTGATTTCTTGGAATTAATAAACTGCAATCTTGGACTGGAGGAATCTGTAAAATTAGGCCAACAATTGTCAAATTGTCACCATTTGAAATCAATAAAATTGGAGAAAAGTAATAATGCAGGAAATATTTTTCAAAAGAGTTTACCAGGAAAAAGGTTAATGAAAATCAGAATTTGCAATTGTGATTTGACAGAGGAACAAAATCATTTTCTTGGTCGTTTCTTGAAAGATTGCCACTCCTTACAAGAAATTGATGTCAGCTATAACGGAAAGAGTGGAAACGAATTGAAGCCTATCTGTAATGGATTAGAATCCTCTTCGAATAGCATTTTAAAAATCAATTTGGCTGGTTGTTCTCTAAATGAATTGACCAGTGGATTGTTGGGAGATTTCCTCCAACAGTGCAATTCATTAAGGACAATTGATCTTAGCTTTAATTATCTCTGCGGACAGGGATTTCAGAAAATCTGCCAAGGATTGAAATCATCCTCCAAATCGCTCTCGGAAATGAACATTTACGAATGCTCTCTAACCGTTCAACAGAGCTGTTGGCTAGGTAATCTTTTAAGAGAATGCACTTCGTTGCAAATTATCGATTTCAGTTGCAATGACACTTGCGGAAAAAGTTTACAAAGTATATGCGAAGGATTAAAGTCATCTTCGACAACTCTTACGAAAATCGACTTTAGCGGATGTTTCCTGTCTGACGAACAAAGCTACTGGTTGGGAGATTTTTTGGAAGAGTGTAACTCCCTTAAGGAAATTGATCTAAGCTTTAACTCTAACTGTAGAATTGGCTTTAAAAAAATATGCCACGGTTTAAAATCATCGGCGAATACTCTTTTGAAAATCACTTTAGACGGCTGTTGTTTGACGGATGAGCAAAGCTATTGGTTGGCAAGCTTTCTTCAATACTGCAATTCATTGCAAGAGATTGATCTCAGTTTCAATTCCAATTACGGAAATGCAATTAAAAATATATGTAACGGCTTAAAAACATCTATAAACTCTCTCTCAAAGTTAACTTTAGACGGATGCGATTTGACTGATGAACAAACCGACTGTCTAGATCAATTTCTCAAAGATTGCATTTCATTAAAAGAATTCTATTTCACTTGAAAAATCTGATAACAATAATAAAAATTCACAAGAATTTGCATAATACTTCCGAGAAATTTCACCTTTTTTCGCCAATCGTGTCCTATCCAACAACCCAACAACTCTGGGAGAGATAGGATTCTAATGACCCGTCTTCGTGGGTAGTATTCTCTATCGTAGGCATAGAAACATTTCCAACAATTTACAATGTTCTCGTAGGCGAATTATTTCATTCTGATGTCTATAGCCTTGGCGCTTGGTGCTCTGTTCTTCCATTCGCCCAACTAGTAAATGTTTCGGGGCTGACGTGTTCTATTCTGCAGACATTTTCCAATTATCACACTCGTCTACGGGCTATTTGGTTTTTTTCGGATTATTCGGACCTGCAGGTAGGGCAGTGAGTTAATAGACGCTTTCCGTTTTGTGCACTCGAAAGATCAGTCAGTCTGGCAGTTGAAGAGAAAAAGAACGATGCTTTACAACGACAGCAACATAGTTAATATCGCATTATTGGCAACTCAAAAACTACAACGTCTGCCTAAATATAAATCACAATAGTCTCTTTGCTCTTTTGTTAAATCACATTCAAAGAGACCAAGATCCTTGAGAGAATTTGACGATGATTTTAATCCATCTATAATTTTCATAAATCCCTGCTGAAGATGTTTATTTCCGTAGAGAGCAACAATCTCTAATGAATTACATTCCTTAAGAAAATCACCTAAAAAACAACCTTGCTCCTCCGATAGTTTACATTGCCAAAATTCTAGTAATGAAAGTGATTTTGACGAAGATTTTAATCCATCGCAAATTGATCTAAATCCCTCTCCGCATTGGTCATTCTCACCAAAACCAAAATACTCTAGTGAATTGCACTCTTTCAAAGCGTCTCCCAACCAAAAACTTTGTTCTTGATTTATATTACAACAGCCTATAGTAATTTCCAAAAGAGATTTTGACGATGATTTTAATCCTTCGCAAATTGCTTTGAAACCTTTACGGCAGTTTTCATTCCTACTTAAACTGGCCTTTTGTAATGAATTACACTGCTTCAGAAAATCACCGAACCAAAAACTCTGCTCTTCATTCAATTTACAATTGCTAAAGTCAACTTCCGATAGTGAGTGTGACGACGATTTTAATCCTTCGCATACATCTTTAAACCCCTTCCCCCAAGAATCGTTCGACCATAAAATTGCTCTATCCAACGAATTGCATTCTCTTAAAAAATCTCCCAGCCAATGGCTTTGTTCCTCGTTGAACTGACAGCCACCGAGGATCACTTCCACTAGTGATTTAGCCGAAGATCTCAATCCTACGAAGATACCTTTAAGACTATTTCCGCAACGACTATTTAAACTTAAATTGACTTTCCTTAATAATTTACATTCCTTTAGTAGATCAGCTAACGATAGACTTTGCTGTTCAGTGAGATTACAATTGGAAAAGCTCATTTCAAGAAGCGATTTTGATGAGAAGGATAATCTATAACATAATTCTCCAAATCCGTTAACATCGTTGCCGCCGTCGACGGGTGGATTCTGATTTATTGAACTAAAGACGCTTCGCCTAAAATTGACAGTTTTTAGCAAAGTACAATTCGACAATTGTTTGATTAGAAGATTAAATTCATCGTAATTATGATAGCAATTGCAGAAGAATAATTGAAATTTATCCAGCGACGTCGGCAAGTACAAATTGGGAAATGAATGAAAGTCCATTAACGTCAAACTTTTCAAAGGATGACCTCTAAGAAAACTTAAATTGTAGTCGTCTTCTTTAAAGAATCGTCGTTTTACGAGAAGACTTGTAAATTGAAAAATGTCGGATGAAAAAAATTCTAGTTCCTTTGTTGAAAGTTTATAATTATTTTCAATAATAAATTCAAAAACTGACAAGCCCAACAATTCGGGTAGAATATATCCGCTTTGTCTATAAATTTGACTAATTACATGTAAATTTTCGACCACTGTACTTAATGCGAAATTTTTCAATTTTATAATAAACATAGTCATTGAGAAATATGAAGAAATTCTCACGAAGTGAAACGCCTCAGTCTGCTATGGAAACTACAACTGGTTGAAAAATTGAGGAGCGCTTTTAGGTTGCAAATAATTTATATATTCACAATTTTTTTCCGTTCAGCCTACCTTTTTTTATGCTTTCAATAATGGAAACTCTGAAAGCCGGATATTTTTTCTAGTTCTATTAATAGATTGTCGTTTGTTCGATCTCTTATTCCAAGAACAAGACTTAAGTCGTCGTCGTTGTTTGTTTGTTTATTGATTAATTAAAAGAATATTTGGCTTGTGTTTTTGTAGAAAGGACATAATTTGGTTAAATTTTCTATTAAAATAGTTTGTCTCTCACTTAAATGACAATTGTTAAAATTAATTTTGTTTAGGGAATTTAACGAAGACTTTAACCCTTCAAGTATTCTCTCGAATGCCTTTCCGTATCTTGTATTATTCGATAAGTTTATCTCTTGCAATGATGAGCACTTTTCAAACAAATCTCCCAAACAGTAAGCTTCTTCTTCGTTCAAGTCGCAATCGCTAAAGCTTATGTTTAAAAGCGTTTGCGAAGAGGTTGATAATCCGTCGAATATCTTCTCGAATCCTTCTCCGCTCACTCTACTCTTCGTCATATAGAATTCTCCCAACCAAATACAATCTTTCAATAGAGCACCCAACCGGAAACCCGTTTTTTTGTTCAGTTTACACCCTGAAAGACAGATCTTTGACAATGAACGACACGAAGTGCCAAGTCCCGCGAAGAGTTTCTCAAATCCTCTTTCGGCGCATGCGCTAGAAATAAATTGAATTTCTCGAAGAGAAGTGCACTGTTCTAATAGATCACCCAAAGCAACAGTCTCCCCATCGTTGAAAGAATATTCGTCATTGTTGATTTTTAAAAGATTGCCCGAAGACGACTTTAAACCGTGAATTATTCTTCCGATTCCCTTTTTTCCGTGCTTATTATCCGTAAAGAATTTCATTTGTCGAATTGAATTGCAGCCTTTGAGAAAATCACCCAACAGACAACACTCTCCCTCAGACAATTGACATTTAATATTTATCTCTAAAAGGGAATTTGAAGATGATTTCAATCCTTTCAAGATCTTTTCCAATCCATTTTTTTGGATATCATTCTCGTTCAAGCGAATCTCTTCCAATCGCCTACAATCTTTTAATAAATTGCCTAATTTGGCACTTGATCTTTCACTTAAACTCAACTTACCGAGCTCAAGTTTTATTAGGCAATCCGACGATGATTTTAACCCATCGAATATCCACTCTAACCCCTTTACGTAGTTGTCGGCGCCTTGAAAATGGATTTCTCTTAATGAATTACACCGTTTGAATAAGTCACCCAGCGAATATCCCTCCTCTTCGGTTAGACTAACGTTTACAAGGGCAATCTTGAAAAGAGAGGCTGAGGAGGATTGTAGGGCGATAAAGATTTTCTTTTTCAACTCGTGACCGTAACCACCGAGCGAGCACAAGTAGATTTGTCTTAACGAAGAGCATTGCGCTAAAAAGTCCCCTAACCAAATGCACACCTTTTCGTTTAGCTGAAGAGATAGTTTAACGTTTAGGAGATGTTCCACTGAAGATTTCAATCCGTCGAATGTCTTCTTCAGTCCTTCTCTACATTTAGTGTCAAAGCTCAAATCTATTTCTTGCATCATAGTACACTGTTTGAGTAAATCGCCTAAAGAGGACGACTGTATTCCAGTCAGGGAACAGTCGATCACTTCGATTTTTACTAGACAATTTGACGAAGATTTCAATCCTTCGCAAATCTCTTGAAATCCTTTTTGCCAAGTTGCCGAATTTAAACACTTCAGATGATTTACAGTTTCTTCCAGCCGTATCACCTTTATCCAACAACAATTCGACAACAATCTTCCCAAATAGTTGATATCCGACGACTGAAGATTGCAATTAATCATTTCGAAATTTTCCAGCAAAGGTGAAAGATGTAGTTTATTAATTTGATGATAGTTTGTTAACGATAAGGATTTAACTGGATGATTCCTTAAAAATCCACCATTCAATCCTTCTGCTAAGTCTTTATTCTTCATCTTAACCGACGTTAATTGCATTATATTCGAAGAGAAAAAGTTCATATCGTTCAAACAGTAGTTGTACTGATCGTTACAAATATAACTAAAAATTTCCATACCAAGCGAATGAGGTATAAGCAAACAGTTCTTTTTACAAACTTCACTCATCAGACGTAAGCTTCTCACGACAAATCTAAGCGACAACTCTTTCAACTTTTCAACGTACATCCTTCTTCTGCTCTTCCTCCTACGATTATGTTTTGTTAGAGATGGGCGAACAGTTAATCACTACAACATGATTATTCCCATGGTATCCTTCCTTATAACAACCTTACCAGCCTAATTCGCAAGTAACCTTACCAATTGTTTTCCCCCCCGGATAGAGCTGATGATTTTTGATTAATGATTGCATGCTATTATTTTCTTTACCGTTGTCTCTCTCTCTCTCTCTCTCTCTCTCTCTTTCTCTTTCTCTCCAAACTTTTTCTCTATAAACCGTAACGCTCTTAAAATGTTTGTTTGAATCTTCTCTCCTCCACTATCCTCCAATTCAGTGTTGAAAGAGTAAATACTTGCGAAAAGTAAAGGAAAATGACCCTTTCTACTCGATTTTATCCTCGGAATAATGATAGATGATATATAAAGAATCTACGCTATAAATCTTAATCATTTATTCAAAACGAATATAGTCACTTATAATTTAACAAATGATTAAACGATTTGAATAAGAACATTCAACTATAACCATAGTTGCCATGACTATTCCGTGGTTATAACTACAGTTGACTTTTAGCGGATGATATGAGAACTAATTAATGAATTTTATTTTCCTCCTTTTTAATTACGTCTAATTAATGTGAACAAGGATACGAAAATTTTCATCACACTTTCAAAATTGACTTGAAATTAGATATAAATTTCACATTCAAAATTCTGAAGATATACTTTGCAATAAATCACTCAGTTACAGAGTCTGCTTTTCATCTAGATAGCGAATGCGATGATGAATTAGCCAATCGGCTACACACTTTTCGATTTGTACATCCAATAGAAAAGCATTCCTTTTTCGTTCAAACTACACAGACTACTTCCAAGAGATACAAGTTGATTTTCAACAGAGAAATCATCTTGAACAACACCTTCAAACTGGTCCATAACGTCATCTTCATAATCACTATCTTAGGTGGTGAACGAATAGTCTCGAACTGCAATCTACTGCAAAAGGGGGGAAGTAAAAATTGAGAGAAAAGCTCACGTAAAAAAAGAGAACGTTGAAAATTTATTAGAGTATCAAGTTCTAAATATTTTAGCAAGAGAAAATTTGTTAAAAGAGACAACATCGAAAACGAGAGGTAGGAAAGGAAAGAAGGAAGAGAAGAAATTATTCTTCATCCTTCTGTTCGTGATCAACTTTGATAACTACGTTGCCCTTCTTATGTCCTCCTTCGACGTAGATATGAGCTTGAGGTATTTCTTCAAGTGAATAGCATCTGTCAATAACTGGTACGACTTTTCCAGACTCGGCAAGTTCTCTCATCAAATCGTAATATTCAAGTACTGCGCCGGCTACTGAGCAAATGACTTTTGGTCCTCCGACAACTTTACGCCACAACATTTGGCAAATTTCGTACATGGCAAACACGGCCATAAGAAAATAGCCATTCGACTGTAGAGAATATTTACAAGACGAGTAGCTCTTTTTGCCAACTGTTTCAAAGATAATATCGTATCTGACCCCATTTTCAGTAAAATCTTCCTTCGTATAATCGATAACGTAGTCGGCTCCCAAAGATTTCACCATTTCCATATTGGTTGTACTACAAACGCCAGTTACTTCGGCACCGTAATGTTTCGCCAATTGAACTGCAGCCGTTCCAACCGCTCCAGAAGCACCGTAGATGAGTACTTTTTGACCCTTTTCAATATTTGCCTTTCTCAGGAAATGTATTGCAGTTTCAAGACCGAAAGGAATCGATACAGTCTCCTCGTGGCTAAGATTTTCAGGTTTTTTCGATATGCACGCAGTCTCTGGCAGGCACTTGTATTGGGCGTAAGTTCCAAAACCAAATTCGGTCGAACCGTACACTTGGTCGCCCTCTTTAAACAATTTCACATCCTTACCGATCTGTTCAATTTCACCTGAAAACAATAAACCCCAAATAGGTTGTCGCGGCGATCTTAAGCCAAACATAAGTCTGCTAGGAAGCCAAAAAGACGGCGGAATACCCCGAAAACCTCGAAGTTTACAATCTCCAGATGTGACAACTGTCGCTAGTATTTTAATCAAGACTTCATTGGCCTTCGGAATCGGTTTTGGAATGGTTTTCAATTCAAATACACGGTCGGCTGGCCCGTAGCCATTGCACGTCATTGCCTTCATCATTCTTACACCCGGAATGGCAGTCGCTGTTGGAAATACTTACGTTTTTATATATATATAGCAAAAATATACAAGGCAAACGTGTACCTATAGTACGTTACGTATCTGAATCATGGGATTTTCTACTCCTAACCCTATGTAGTCTATTATCTCGATAGGTTTTTCATTAATCTACACCAAGTTTAGTTTGCTTATAAACATATATTCTATTGTGAAAATTCGAGTATTTTCAATTAAAAATACGAAATGTTCAACAATCTATCGTTTGGTAGAAGACTAACAAAGATAAAAAGTCTTATCGATCTTAATAAATCATCAAAATACACGGAAAGTATCGCTATATATTTACCTGAGCACGCTGACTAAATACAACTCCAACTTTCTATTTACAGTGTCCATAAAGGTGTCACTTTAAAAAAAATGCTACCCAACGTTCATTGGAGCGTATAGAGTGATTTTCGTTGAATAGAAAACCATCTACTAAATAACTATAATTATTCTTTTCATGTTGATATGATCGTATTTGTTCCTACAATAAAAAAAAACAGCCAAGATTAATCAAAGCTTTTATTGATGTCCGAATATTTTGGGCGTCTCCTCTATTTGCAACTTTACAGACTCAAATCCAACGTCAAACATTCATAGTAGAAAAAAATTCGTCATTTTTTAGAAAAAAGCGATTGGTTCAATGTTCCAATGTTTAATAATACGAATTGGAAATATCTAGTTAGGTTAGGGTTCGCTTCGTCAGGCGATGTTTTAAACGTAGTTGGTTAAAAAATATTGCTATTTTAACTTGTTCTAAAACTATCTACCTTACCCTCACGTGACCGAGTGTGGTAACCCCTATTCTTAGGTGCGTCACTACAGTGTGTACGGAATGTTACCGTTGTGCATTTTTATTTGTTGTCGAATGTCTCTTGCTGCCCAGTGTGGGATCTGCACTTGTCGGCATGTCCCGCATTCTATGTCCTCACACTTTCTTGTCGGCATGCTGTCTCTATCCCTTTGTAATAATCCAAGTGTCGTGATTTTGAAAAAACCTTGCCGTTTATATATTCTCGTGCCAGGTCCCGCTCCAAATGAGCTGTGTTAATGCCAGATCATGAAATTGTCGACGTTATAGCCTGTGCCGCCGTCGTTTGCTAAGACCGCGTGACACTGTCACAGGTTGATGTTATAGCCTGAGCCATTCAGTGTCGTGCGGACTTGTTCTTCATAGCCAGCCATTTTCTTGTGTACCGTTGTAACATTGGGATTGTCTGTCATTCCGTATTGTGAGAGCTTTCTTCCTTGATACTAATCACCCCTTCGTATACCGTTTTTTCGTTGGGGTACCGCCCAATACAACGTTTTCACTATGTTCCGTCTTGGAGTGATCTCCGTTTGAGGGTTAGGAAAAAAGTGTATCCGTGTCCGTATGCTCGTTCCACTAAGGGGTTGTGTATACTGCCTCCATTGGATGCTGGAATTACGCGTGTGTTTATCTAGCCGACTCCATTGTATGTCAAACTCCCTTGCCCCTGTTGTAATCTACCGTTTTGTTTACCGGATAGTTATGTGTTGTCTTTGATATGTTCTATGCCGTAACTGTCCTGTAAAGGTTGAGGATTTCTTGTTCGATGCTGTTATCTCTTTTGTTTGATTTAGCCTTCCACGCCGTTTTCATAGTGGACCAATGGTACGTTAGTATTAATGGAATGATCTCTTTGCACATAAAGCCCTCTTGTTTATTTAATCTCTGTGGTATTGTCGTATCTAGCTTCTCAATCGTCTTTTCTTCCTCTCTGTAGAGTCAAGTCGTTGGCTTTGTCTCGTCTGCTACACGTCCCAATTATATCTTATAAGTTGACTCATAAGGATGCTCCTAAAGTTTTTGTTTTCGATTCGAACCGTGTTGATGCATGTTCTATTGTTGAACCATTGTAGTTTTAATATCGTCCGTCTGGTTGTTTAAATCCTGTTGAAACTGTTCTTGCTCTGTGTTCTTGATGTCAATGGAGAATTTTCTAGCTAGCTTAGCTAAAGTAGAATTCAACGAGTTTGTGTATAGATTGAAATACTAATATTAAAAGTCTAGTTTTAAGGTTAAGAAGAATTTGGAAATATAAACACGAACCAAGTATTTGGAAAGGAAAATGCATCAAAACTATTCAATCTTCTAATTTGAACGATGAAACATTTCAATTTGAATCAAATCGAACATTGTTTCTGTTTGTCTTGTCTGCTTCATAAAAAAATTGTTTGCTGTTGTCCATTAAACTAGG